GAACTACTAGATGGTGGAAGGCAACTAGAGATTGGTGGTTTTGGCCAACAATACTTGGGCCAATCATAATCATCATCCTTTCCACACCCACCTTTATAAGTATATGATTTAGTAAATGACCACGACTTACAGAATGATGTGAAAATACCAGAAACACACCAATCGTATTTGATCAGGAAATCTGGTAAACACCATTTATCTCCGTGATCTTCACAATCAACATCAATGGTCTTCAGCCACTTACCTGGGTTTATAAGCCCTCTCTTATTCTTGTGTTCAAACAAGGTGGCGGATCCACCAAGATCAAACGACAAAGAACCTAAAGCATTGACATCTAAATTAACCAGACTTGAGTAGCCAAACGAGATCTCATGTTTCTTACCTCCAAGGTATTTGAGCTTTTCAATCTTAAAGTCACCCTTAGGATAGTTGTACTTCTTACAACGATCATTCTTTGGTGTACACTGAGGAGTTGGGATCACTGTTGCTACGCATGAACTAGGAGGTGGTGTACTACTAGCTGGTGGTGGTGTGGTTTTAGTACTAGATGGAGGAGTCTTAGTACTAGATGGAGGAGCCTTTGTGCTAGATGGAGGAATTTTTGTGCTAGATGTTGGATGGCACTCCTTCTTCCAACAGAAATTTGGAAGCTCGGGTGTGCTGCATTTAATTTTGTTAATTAGGTTAAGATCAATACCAAAATTCAAGTTTCTTGACTCAATATCCTCTTGGTCTCTCTTGAGATTCCAACTAGCATCTGCAAAAATGTCCAAGCTGACGCTGGAGGCGATAGAAAAATCTGGCTTTTTACAGTAGTACTTCCAACTAGATTGAAAGTTCAGAGACCAGATGTTAAATATATCCCAACTTGAGGCTGCTGCAAATTGATACTCTATTCCAAAATTATCAGGTAAACACCACCAATCACCATAATCTTTACCCTTAACAACTATGGTAGTAGACCATTCGAAGAAATTCGAGAAGCCCCATAATGATTTGTAATTTGAAAAAATATCATAGGAGTCTATGGGCCCACCGCAGCCTGTCACTTTAACGTAGTTACATTGCTTCTTGAACCAACTGAAAAGTTCTATGGATTGGGCTGCTTGGAAATTAATGCTGACTTTATACAAGTCATCCCTGACAAACTCAACATCAGACACGGTAAAGCCTGCTTTAGGGTAGAATCCACCTCCACGTTTCTCGAGAAGGTCTGAGCTGTCGTGGTCTCTTTTTTTAATATCTTGATTTTTCCCTATTTGACAAATATTTTTCTTTTCACATTTCTTAGTACTCGAATAACTCAGAGAAAAATCGTGAAAGTCCGAAAATGAAACATCATAAGCAATTACCTGTTGTATCAAACCTAGAACAATTGCAATTATTTGCACTATCTTGATAAATGAAAACAACATATTGACTTACAATATCCGAAAGAAAAAATGAGGTTGCAAAAATCTAGGTCAGAGATTAAAAAAATTTAGAAAAACTGAATTTTCCGATGGTGCTTTTATATATATATATACATATATATATATATGTATGTATATCTAAAGTCAGTCTATTTTTACCTACCTGCTAGCTGACTGTTGCCAGTATTTACTTAAGAATAGTAGGAACTTACTGAATTATTATTTTGGAATCTCAATTTGGTAATTGCATCCTCTGATGCAACCTCATGCATATGCAGCCCAACTACTTGGAGATAAGCTTTAAGCAACAGAATAACCTTTTCCTGTATGTAACGATATGCATATAAGCGATCGATGCTCATTTAGGCGATATCTTCTACAAAAATATAACATATTATTCGGCAAAAGTTATAATGTTTGATTTAACTGTATAGGGCAGACTATGTTACTTTGCATAATCAGTAGGTTTCAAGAAGTAGATCTCAAACTTTTCCCCTTCGAGTTGCAGCTAAGGACAATGGCCAAAAGGAAACCTTAATATTGCAATTTTTCATTGATGGACTACCTCCTTTTGCAAAGAAAAAAACATAGTGAGGTACAGTGCATGCGCCGCACGCCGCTAGATTTCTAGTGTGGCCTAGAAAATATGATTAAGGCATCGAGAGACAGGTTATTCTTTTAGCTACTACCCTATAAAGTTTGCACAAACAAGGTAAAGCTTATACAAAATCTCATGAAATTGTGGGCTCAGAAACTATATTCTAGGCTTAGCAGATACTCGGTTCGAATAATTTCTGTGAAGTAGTATGGTCTGGATGTTAAATAATATGCAGTGGATGGTACGCAACTTGCATACGCCAAAGGAAGACAACTTCATGGAGAGGGGAATTAGAGTAGTCATTTCCGTAAAATTATATTTAGTATTTAGGATGCTTAATGTTTTAAGCTGGTATTTTTTAAATTCTCGAAGCTAGTTTGTAATGGATGTGTGGATAGGACGCGAATGCTACTATTTTCCGCAAGTCTTCCAAGATTGAGTATCGTAATTGAAAATGTTCGGAATACATCACACTTAACATGACAGAGCGAAACATCAATGCTCATCTTTTTAGAAAATAGAAAACCACAGTATGAGAGATAATTCAACTCCAATAAAGCTTCGAAAAAGGTTCATTAAAAGTAATGAACGACAAAGAAATATTCTCTAGGCAAACCTTTTTACTAGTCTACAGTGAGTATTCTTGACCCCTTTCGTGCATGCAGAAATAAAGCTTAGATATTAGTTCTAGCCATGTACAACAAATAATTAGCTTGATAACCAATACTTATTTTTAGCTGGAAATCCCTCTATCTTCTTTTTTTAGTATCCTATTGACATTCAAGTGGTATCTCAATCGCTCTAGAAAGAATGCTCTTCAACTTGAATGTAATGTGAAAATTAAAATTAGTCTAGACCGTGTTACAAAGAAATGAGTGTATCGCAATTCCCAAATATTTAGAATTACCTATTTTTCCCTAAAAGACACTGTATTGGGAACTGCATAACTAAAATTCTGTAAGGAGTAATTAGTGTAGTAATTCGTAATTAGCCTCTCTTGGCCAACATATTTTCCATAGTTTCTTGGTATCCTTGGTTTCCTTGGTCTCCTTGATATGGGGGGTGTACTGTTATTTCGGGCGGTTACTTACATTTGCACATTCTCGTTTAAGAGGTTCCCTAATGGTGTCTGGAAGTAAGGAAGCAGACCCTGCATGAAATCGTGCGTATCAACATGATCTACCTACCCCTCGATCAGCTCAGAAAATTGAAAAATGCAACATGACCCTAGTAATGTGAGCGAAAACTCCTCATACGAACAAAAAAAGACTCCTTAAATTATGGTGTTACAGTAGAGGGGGTTGCATCAAGTTTATAGCTTCGAAAAGGAACTCGCCTTCAATAACTCAATTTTATTAATTACATGTATATAGAAGCAAGAGGTGGATGTTTCTGTCGTACTATTTTTAGCACCTCTATTTTTGTAAGAGTTCTTGTTTATCGTTTTCATGAGATGATTTTAGGTGTGCCGTGGTCCCTTTTTGATGTAGATACGGCGTTCAATGAGGTAAAAGCCCCGATATTTAAAGTTAATGCTGTACTAACTCGCAATAATCTGCTGAAAAGAGTTTCGAATACTTACTTTACAAGACTAAAATAGAGTATGTTGTCTTCTTTTGTTGGCTATAAAACTTTATACCCCAAATCTGAAAAAGTTTAGCTATAATTAGCAAAACTAGGGAAAAGTACAAACAATAGCTGTTTATAAACTCAAGTAAATGGTAAAAGCGCGTTTGAGGAGACAAAGTTGAGTGACCGATCGATGCTTTTGTCTTTAGGCAAGTTAAAATGACTTTGGAGAAGAAGCATCGTCAAAAGTAAAGTAAATCGTGTTCCGAGTAGATGTAAATAAAAGTTGGCAAATAGAGGCAGTCCTAAAATTATTGCATCAAAGTGGAGCCGAGAATTCCTTTTGTAGAACCGGAGGTAGTAGTTGCATTTCCCGAGGGTACTTCGGGAGTAGTAACTCCCAATTTTTTCAACTTTATCACATTGAATGGAGAATAAACTACAAGGTATCTGATGATTAAGTATCAATTATATTTGATAGTTATCAATGAATTCTAGAATTTTTAAGCTTCAATTGTCCCTTGTTAGACACTTTGTCAATGTTTTATAGCTACTCTGTTGAGCAGAATTCTTTTACTTGCGAAGTAAATGATTGGTGGTAGAACTGTCGGTATCCGAATCCTCACTATCAGAACTAGTCGGATTAGCCTCGTCGGGATTCCCATCTACTTCCGCTTGCCCATATCCTTCATCTTCTTCTTCAACAGCGTCATCCTCATCTTCATCGCTTTCCTCTATTTCGTCGCTATTGTCACTTTCTTCATCTTCATCGTCGTCGTCCTCGTCGTCGTCTTCATCGCTTTCTTCTTCTTCCTCATCTTCATTCCCAAAGAAATCATCTAAACTTTGAAGTCTATAGGTCTCCTTAGGAGTAATTTTGGGAACACCCAGTTGAAAATCCTTGGATGAAAAAGCATGTTCCGAAATTGGAATTGGAGATTGTGATTTGCTCAAAAAGTTTTGAGAAGAAATAGAAGTAACCACATTTTCGTTTCCTCCATTCAACTTACTTAAAATTTCTTTACGAACAGAAGCTGCTGGATGTCCAGAAGGATCTGCCCAATCAGGAATTTTCTTGTAATATGATTGGAATATTTCCGAAGAATTAGCCAAATTTGTGTTCTTCCCATCCCCATTTCTGAAGCCTATCAAAGGTGCATTCTTTGGAACCTGTAAAAATAAAGTTGCTAATTTTGATTCATGGTGTTGTCCTGATAATAAAATGCTTAGCATTCTTGCTCTATCTCTAGTATCGTAACTATTGTCGTATTTACATAATTGCAAGATGTGACTGAACATTTTCGCATGAATATTCTCTTCAAAGAAGTACTTGATTTCATTCTCGCCAACTATTGCTTCTAACTCAAAAGCCATTATTTTTGCAGAAAGGACCAACACTTGATATCTAACTATATCAGCTTCGTTAGCGAAATTGGGAATTAATACCCTAAGGACGTCTGGCCCAATCTGATTATATGTATGATTAGTAAATTCTCCAATTATCCAGATAATGCTAGCCTTTGCTTCACTATCTATTTTATTATCACTGTTCGTTATCAATAGTGATAGACGATAAATTGTTTTGGCAAGACTGTCATTAGCAGTTGTGTGGTTTTTTGTTTGTACAAGATATCGTATACTCGTGAGTAACTCATCAAGTATTAAACCCTCTGTTTTAGTAATTTGCTTCAAGCACCATTTCAATATCCTCTGGTTCCAAACGTCAGATATTTGAGAGCATCTACCAATACAAACGAGTGCTTGTTTTGCAATCAAGTTGGAGTTCGAGTTGAATACAATGCTTTTCAATTCTTCAAAAATTAAAGGCATATTTGATTCATTAGCCAACATCGATAAAATTTCAAGCTTCAACTGGGCTATGGAAGGTAAATCATCAGGGTAGATGTAAAACCTTTTGAAGTAGTGCTCATATATAAATCTATTCTGAACAACTACGCTTCGAATAGCTTGTAATGCAAAATAAGCCACTTGGAAGTTAGATGTAGGTGAAATTAATCTTATGGTGACTGGAACCAACTGCATTTGCTGGTACGTCTTGGGTGGTGCTAAGGACATTAATGCCTTGGAAATACTTAAAATGACAAACTCTGAGTTAGTGTAGATTAAAGGTTTCAAGGAATCAATGAAAAGTTGGAGGTCTGCATCCATTGACACTTCATAATTGTCTATATTATCCTGCGCGGATAGCTGATCATAGTCCGATACTTCTCCGCCTTCTCTGTAAATCTTAGGTTTGGGTAAGAAGAGCCTACTGTATTCAGTCAAGATATCGATCAAGAACGATTGACTCCATTCGTCTAGTGTTGGTAAAAGCCTGCAGAGCCTCCTGAACAGTGCGTGTAAGACATTCCATTTCTTCTTTTCCAAGGACTGACTGATGGACGACGTCAACACACTATCCTTGATTTGGTAGAAAGTCTTCAATGCTGACCCAACCACTATGGGGTTACTATCGGACAAAAGTTTGGTCAAAAACTCAAATAGTTGTTTCTTTGTCGAGCTGGAGATATCCTCAAGGCCGTACAACTTCCCTATGGCGATTGCGGTGGCAGATCTAACGTCGGGATGCAAATCAGAAACGGTCCTCTTTATGCAAAGCAAAGTAATGGGAGAAATCGACGAGATCTTAATTCCGGCCATGGCCCTAATCGATGTATACCTTGTAATTGGATTCTTATCATTCAATGACTTCTGGATCGTGTTTATAGAGAGCAATGCCGTGTCTGGCTCAAGCTCGGCATACTTGGTCAAATAAATCAATATTAAATTTTTCACCACGGTATTGCCACACGTTATGTTCTTCACCACATCTCCAAAGTATCGGAGAGCATCCTCCGTTCCGTTATCATCTGCTCCTGATGTAGAGCTTTCTCCTCTAGATATCAGTGCCATCACACACTTCATTCCACTGAGTATATCTCTCTCATTTCTAGAGTTTAGCAATTTGATCACTTCTTGGTACCCCATAACCGAAGGCAGTGTCTCTGCAAATCTGGACGAAGCAGAAACCGCAGCCTCAATCGTGAGGTCTCTTGCAGACTCTAGCATAGAAGATATTTTAGCGAACGGCTGCGTCATTTCATGCCTTTTGTCTATCTAATGCTGTCGAGTAGTACAACCTTCTGGTGTCTAGTACTGCGTCCTTTCGGAACAATTCATAGTCCACTATTGAAGATCCTGTATATAGATGAAATCTAGACTTCCTAATCGGGAATTAAGAGAGCGCTATGGAAAATGCGATCTAGCAATTGCTGATCTATGGTAAGGGTAAGAAAGTATTACTGATATCACTTTGGCTTTCATTATATGCTTCGTGGCTCAGTAGAGATTAAGGGCTAGCTGCTCGGTCCAGAATATGTACTGTAAGATCTAGGTCAATGCACACACATTTTTGAGTTTTAGAATATGATTGGCTACAAAATTCAGGTGTTCACTATCCACTGTCCACTGTTCGTAAATCGTAAATCGTATATTATACACTCATTTTTATTCTTTAACCCGGTCAGGTCATCTTCTCAACTTATCTGTCGCCTTTTTCATCCTCTTACCTAGGGTTAATTCCTTTCTAGTTTGGATCAATTCTTGTGGGAAAAATTCTCCCAATGTGGACTGGGTTCCCTCAGTCTTCTTCCTATTGATGTCCCGGATTAGGGGAACCAACACTTCATCGACTCTTCCTTGAGTCCACTTAACGTTGTACATTAAGAATGACCTGATGCTATCCAAATTTGGTACACCCCATTGAAATTTAGTGTCGTCCTTATCTACTTCGGGTCTTTTGTAAGCATCAAATACTACTCGGTCTGGAAAACTCTCAGGTAAGAAGAATTTACCTGTTTTAATCTTTGAAAGTAAACTTTTCTTAAGGCTAGTGGAATTGTCAGCATCTGAAAGTTTCAAAGTATTTTTGTCAAACCAATCTTTGAAATTTCTTAGTGATCCAAATTCTGCAAGAATCTCCACTGCTAAGACTGGACCGATACCCTTGATTCCTTCTGTGTAATCACTTCCTAAGAGCAACGCTAACTCAATGAGCTTTCCTTGGTCTAATCCAAGTCTACTGTCAATCTCTGAACTAATGTAACACTCAACATAACTTTTTTGGTTAAACATGTTTTTGTAAACTCTATCCCCTCCAAAGAGAAAGCAATCGCTATCATCAGTTACAATCCCATCCACTAAGTTCAATTTCATTAGCTCTGCACATTGTGCTTCGGCTTCCATTGGAGCTGTTATAAACGGAATTCCAAACCTTTTTAACAATTCTTGGACATCTTTGATCATTGTTTGTGTCACTTCTTCGGAATCCCTCTTTGCCTTTTGGAATTTTTCTTGTAATAATTGTTCCTCTGTAATGCTTGAATCCAACGCTTGTAATGGGTTATTTTGCTTGATCTTGTGTTTGAAATCCTCATGCTCTAATTCTTCTTCTTCGATCTGTTGAATGAGTTTTTCTTCTTCCTCTTCTTCAAAGTCATAATCTAGAGGAGCCTTCTCGGGTTCTTTCACTTCGTCCCCTTCTTTCTTTTTCAAATCTTCAACTTCTACTACTTCTTCAATTTCATCAGATTTTTCAATATCAGGATTTCTCTTTTCTGTCGACTCATCTTCCTTATTTGATACTTTGTAATCCGTTATCAAGACCTCATCTTCTTCCTCTTCTTCATCAGAGGCTTTTTCTTCCCCTCCAAGCATCTGTCGAGCATCACTCCAGTCGACTAATCCGGCCCTTTCATCCTCTAAGACCACGTTAGTACCTAAGCCTGGTTCTGCATTAGAAGACAATTTAGATTCAACGACTTTTTCATGCTCTTTCTGAATGTGAGGATTAAACTCTTCATCTACAGTGCTGTTGAACCACGAAGGTAGCTTCTGTACAACTTTGGGAACAGCTGCTTCCCTTTCAGACTCCTCTAATTCTTCGTCTTCTTCGCTGAATTCTACTACATCTCCTGTAAACGCAGACACAGGAAGAGTCCCTTTTCCGTTGTTTGTTTCAGCTTGGATTTGCTTCTCTTCTATTGCGTCTGAATCCACCCCTGGTGCATCATCATTGTCAATACCTGATTCTTTTGATTCATCAAAGTTAAATAACATAGAGTTTTTGAATGAATTAGGTTCTATCCTTAGCTCTTTATCGGGGGTTCCTTGCTTCATAGCTGAGGTTTGCACTTTCTTCTTTGAATTAATATTGAAAACTTTCTTCTTCGCATAATTCTCTTGCTTCTGTAGACTTATAAGATCATTCTTAGATGCAGCTATAGCATTCTTTAATTCAACTTCATCGAAGCCATCAATATTTGTATTGATCTGGGTATTGTTTGTTTCTTGATCATAAATTGACTGAACAAGCGCCTTTTGAAGTTCATCTTCCTCCGCTTGCTCTGTGGTTTTATCACCTCCTTCTGGTTCTATTGGAACGTCCTCAAAATCCGAATCTGAATCTGAATCTGAATATCTAGCCATTTTTTCCCTTTTTACTTCTGGTTTTTGATCTTCTTCTTCTTCTTCTTCTTCAATAACGTTTCCGAATTCATCCAAATGTATTGGTTTATCTGCAGATTTTCCACCAGAATCCAAAGCCAAAGTCCATCCATTTTCACTTCTAGCTAACGAATACTCACGGTCTTTACTCCCAGCAATTCTTCTAGTAATATTCCCATCATCTGTCATTCCACTAACTGTCATGAGCCGCTGGGTGTAGAAGTTCCTCTTCTGAACTTGTTGTATTTGAAACTTAGAAAATTCCATACTGTTTGGGAAAAGACTTTGTAAGTGATCTCTATCATATCCCATTCTTAACCTAGATCTAAGTCTTAAATGAGACAATATCATATACTGTGTAGGCATGGGAAGCTCTTCAAATTCCTTCAGAGCGGGATCTACAGAATCGATATTTATACCATCAACGTAGTCGAATCCAAGCTCCGATAACTCGTTAAATTCTTCCTTCGGCATTAATCTCTCATCCTTTTTGTCTATTTTAATCTCACCAATCCTTGGCAAGTGGTACTCATCTTTCTTCCTAAAGTTACTAAAATCGTGATCTGAGGTAGCCAAGTTTTGGTTACCAAGCTGTATGTTTTCCATATCTTCCATATATTCTATATTACCTTCATCGTAATCGTCATTCTCACCTTGAGTCTTAACCATTTTCCTCTTTTTCGATACAGGTCCCCCCTGAACTTGTCTTTGAACCTGAATAGCCATCAATTTCCTTGCCGTTTGCAACGTACTTTCTCTTTGCTCATCTCTTCGTTCCTTTCTACGGTTAATGGTCTGCCTTTTCAAGGCTGGCGCTCCACCATCAAACACAAACACAGGTAATATCCCAAAATATAGTAATTTACAAATTCTTCTGAAGAATCCAACGATGTGAGACAGTGGCAAGGTATTCCCTTCCGCATCTCTCACTGCTTTCAAGAATTGATATATCCATATTGAAGCATCGATTGCCAACTTCTTTCGAGATAAGGATTCTAGTCGAACCGGACGTGCTGTTTGCCCGACAATGTCCCACAACGAATTAACACCCATCTAGATATGCAATAGGTTATAAAGAAGCTGAAGCAAGGTGAAGCAATGGAGTCATCAGTTCTAATCTAATCTATAGTCTGTGAAATCCTGCATATGTGTGTTAAGTGGGTGTAAGGGTTATGTTGCAACACTACACTTTCCACCTTAAGCTTGGGACAAGAAGAACATGATACATTGGAATATAGTTGGATACACGTTCAACTAGAGTCTAACTAAGATTTTCTAACTCCTCGCTATAAAAGGAAGAGTTTTGAATCAGCATGGCTATACTTTTTTTAATGAAGATATCATTTGTGTAGACAATTGCATTATTCGTAAATTATTTATGTTATCAGATTTGTGGTACAAGGTGTAAAGAGACTCACAAATAGCAAGGCGTCAGTATGCCATAAGTGGTTCATTTCATTCTACAAAAAGTATTTACTTACTATACATTACTTCTTAACTTTGCCAATATGAATAGCTCAAGTCCACAGGTCGACTCATATTCTCGTGGTAGGATATCTGGAGGTAGTACACCTACTCCTATCGGTCAGCCAGGATTTGCACCCATTGATGGGTTAGGAGGAAATTACCTCTATGTAAAGCAGACCCCACAAAACTATACAGAGATGCAAACAAACTCATCTCCATACAGACAAGGACATCTAATTTCTCAAAATAAAAACGCTCCTGAAGGGTATATTTGCGTTGGAAAGGTATTGGACTCAGAGCACAAGTCGATCCAGGTATCCACTAATAACCCAAAGAAAAAAGATCTACCAATGGACCGCTCGACTTGACCAAACAGTACTACACCTATAGCGGGACTCCTTCAAATTCAAATGAATTTCCTCCATCTTTCAACCCAAGGATTGCTTCTAATATGCCTGTTAGAGAAAAAGTTACGAATTGGATCCAAAAAGTACCAGCAGTTGACCACGGCGAGTTAGGTAATTCGTTCGTTAAATGCTATCCTGGAGTTGCATCTTCTTCAAGTGAATCAGGTGATGAAATAGTGGATAATTCTGAAGTCCAGGATATCATTGAGTTCCAAGCAAGAAGAATAACTCACTATGTGACTCAAATTTACAAAAATGAAGTGGAGACGATAGCTCACTGTGATCCTTCAGATAATGAATACGATCTACACCTTCCGCTGGAAGCTGAGGACCTAATGCATCTTGAGCATTCAGTCGACAATTATTTAGATGGGCTAGCTGGAAGAAGACTGGCTTCCCAGGATCATTCCTGGAAAGTAAACATCAAGTAGGGAGCTCCTAAAACTAGCAAATGTATGCATAAATTCTGTCGAAACTACATAAGTCTATACAAGTTGCATCTAATCCATGATTTCCAATTCACTGAATATTTCCTCAAAAGAATTCCTTATAATATTAAACTAAGTTCTTCAATTTCATAAGATTTGTCTTCAATATTAGTGAGAATAGGATAGCATGGAACCAACACATCACTATTCTGAATATATGCCCTGTTATATGCTTTCCAAAAGGGGGCACGAACCTTTCTAGCTGGATGAAATAATCCGGCCCAAATGTAATTCATGAAAACCCCGGCACCTATACTGACCCTGATTGAATCCATACTGTCAAATATACGATTAATGACATGAGGAGAAGTTTCATAAATATTTGGAATAATTAAATTCAAAAAATGTATGAATAATTCGTAGTTTTTGTCATCGATCAAAGTAAAACAATTAATAGCTATCTTCTGAACTACAGAAGAAGCTGTTTGACGATGAACCAAATCTCTATCAGTTAACGCATCTTCCAACAAGGGTGTTATTGCATATAAGTAGTCCTTTGTAACGGAGCCATCAAGGTATTCAAAAAGAAAGGACATTGCCTTTAAGACTCCATTTTGAACATTTTTATCAGGGATTCTGTACTCATTCATTAGCGAAGGTAAAACCGTGAAGGGGGCACAATTTTCAGCAACAATTCCAATGGCAACGGCTGTGCAAACTCTCAATTGACGTTCTTGGACTCTTAAATTATTCAAAAGCATTGCTAGCACGTCCTGTGGGCCAATAGTCTTTGCAATATGGCCAAAGGTCTCATTCGATGCAACCCTGATCCTTTTTTTGGATGATTTAAGCATGTCTAATAGCTCAAAGCAGACTCTCATCCATTCCTTTGCATTAATCGATTCCGCATTCTTCTTAGCAATGAGTCCAACCAACTTTATGCATGATTCCTGGACTTTATCCTGTCTGTTCTTCAAAATAGGAGTCAAAGTAGGCAAAATTTGATTGATGGAAGGATTTTGCATGGTGAAGAGCGAAATAACTTCAATGCTATCTATACATGCATACAAGGCTAATAAAATTGATCCCAACACCTCAGGATAGACTTCTCCTAAGGATTCGTACAAAATGAGAATTAATTTCATCAAAATTTCATTGTCATCATTGTAGCAAACCTTGATGACTGGTGCAATTGCCGAGATTAAGTCTGAAGCTTGTTGACGGACTTCTGGAGATTTATTTTTCAATCGATACAATATTGTACTTATAATAGAATTCATATGTGGTTTAAGCCTGATTCCTAGCGATTGGCATACAGTACTTAAACCCTGAAGGTACACTCTACTTGACTTGTTATTATTATTTGCCTGCAGTTGGTTCTGCTGCTCTTGAAATGCATATAGCACACTGTCAATTAAAGTTAGCTCTAACTGCGAGTCTAATCCAAGTAAGCCATCAGGGCTCAAGCGAATCATCTCACTTATCGAGTCAACACTCATTCTTCTAAGATTTTCATTCTCATCTTTGGCGTAGCCCACTATATTCTCTAAGACTTCAAGTAGATCGAATTTAATGGCCAATTGAGTAGTAGCCTCTACGACCAATCTAAATAGTTGGTTGGAGTCGGAGGCGACTCTTCTATTCCAGTATGCTTTGAAGAAAGGAACAAATATTTGGGTAGGATAGTTGGGGATAATTTCTTTCGAAAGCGGTAATGTCGTTAATATTCTTAAAATCGTTTTCTTCATGTCCTCATCTGGGGACTGAAATTCTCTTGAAATCACAGCCATCAATTCTCTTGAATAATAATTCGAATATTCTTCATAGTTGGGGTCGTAGTGCATCAAAGGAATGATAGAACCAATACATTTTAGGAAATTGGCCAATCCCTTCCCTCTGTGCCTCTTAAGACCTAATAATACCGGTTCCAATATGGGCTCAAAGGCATCAATACCGTATGGTTTCACATTATCTGCCAACTGTGAGATGGCAAGGGCAGTTATAGTTCTTACCTGTAATACCTCATCTGTCAATCCTGGTTTCAACACTTCTATAAGTTGTTCGAGAAATGGCAATATCGAATTACCATTCCCCCCACCTAATATAATACATAGCTGTTGAATAATCTTGATTCCTGTGTGTCTTGCCGTCCAATTCTTTTTGGACTTGATTACTGCTTTCAAAAAGGGCAAAAAATTAACCAAACCTAAAGTATTGGCTACAATAGCAAAGACTCTGGAAGTTGTATTCCTAACAAATTCATCAACATGGTCTAGATCAGGTCTTAAATTGGAAATCATATTAGAGAGACCTGCAGCTTTAGAAAGACTTGATATTATGTCTCTTGCTTCCAATCTGGTGGTAAAGTCTTCATCTATAAGTAAGGGAGATATGACAATTAAGATTTTATGCGTATATGGTCGTATTAAATCGTCAAGCTGGAATAAAATTCTTCCTATTAATTTCACAAGTAAGTGCCTTTCTTGGTCATCTAAATTAGGTTCAAGTAAAATTGGTAAAACCTGATCAAAGATTATCTTGGGACCGAACTTTCTGGCATTGTCAGTTATCTGACGTAAAGACCTCTTTCTTGCAATCTGTGAGCCATTCTTTACCTTCAAAAGTAACCTCATGAACCTGATCTCCAATTTTTGTTCCTCCGTCTGAATAGAATCATTCTCTGTGACCTTAGAGAGTTTCCCAAAATATTTCACGTCCTCTTCTTTGAAATATTCTATGTCTTTCATTCCTTCAAACTCTACAACAATTTCATTGTTATGAAGCTTCGTTTTATCCGAAATTTGTGATTCCACTGTCAGGGGTGGCACGTAATAGCTTGTAGGTGCCTCTATCAAGTCTGGCGGCAAGTTAGCATCAAACGGCTGATAGTCTTTTGGAAATGGAAGTATTTTATACCCACTGGGGAGGATCTTGTTCAAGATTGAGTCTACTAATGCTATTCCATTTATAATGGGTGGTGTCTCGATTAATGCTGAGGATGTGATGCTCGAAGAGTCTAGCACTATGCTGTTGTTTTTTGCGTATTCTTCAGGGGTGACATCCCATCTCTTCTTCCTTTGTCTTTTAGGTGAAGGCTGAATCCCATCTTCTTGTTTCTCTTTTATCAACTTCCTTACTCTCTCCTCTTCTCTTTCTAATTCTCTCACCTCCATTTTACCTCGATATGTACTTGAGGAGTCGTCCAAAGAGATTTCACCTTTCCTCTTATACTTCCTATCTACATAATCATTCTTGGTGATATTTTCTTTTAGTTGATCACTGGATATGGAATCATCAATTTTGTTTTCTCTCTCTAGTTCATCTACTAGCGTTTGAGGAATACTGTAATTCCCTATTAGGTTCCTGGCAGCCATTCTTACAGTATACAACCTTGAAATAATATGTATATATATATATTATACGAAAACAATAAATAAAGATGCCACTTTAGATGCGATAAATTTCGGTGATCTCTATCTATTTTTCACTATACTGGAAAATCATATGGAGCATCACCATCGATACAGAAGAACAACCTTAAAAAAAAAAAATTGAAACCTAAAACTTGAAAGGCTCTCAAAGAAAAAAGAGTTGACTACTATTATTGTTACAAATTAGCTGAAGAGGAAGAAAATCAACACCGCTTCTCGCTTTTCTCGGCCATGTCTACAAACCAAAGCTCAACTATCCTTTTAACAAGGTTGCTATCACTCAAGGAAAACTCACCTTTCTTGTTGGTGATAGATTCTCTTGCTCAGACATCGTTTCACTTTTTGAATGAAATAATTTCAAGAATCTCTTCCAACACTAAAGTAATATACTTATCCTTCGAAACAACCAATAGACCTGCATACGCTACTGAATTCATCGAATGCTTGGACTTAACTACCGCCAAGATCCTTGAGCTTGTGAAGATACATCTGACCTCATCGCAGCCGTCTTCACTTGCAAATCCAAAGACATTCGTGATAATCGACTCGCTTAATTATGTACTGAATTTAGAACTTTCCAGCTTCATAACTGGCTGCATATCACCCAATGTATGTCTCTTAGGATGCTTTCACAGCAATATTCCTGAACCACAGCAGCTCATTAACACAAACTATCCTTCATCCTTAAGTATTTTGTCATTTATTGCAAGTTCAATCTTTGAAATTGATCCCTTATACGACGAGAGAAAGATCGACGAAGAAACCTTGGAAAATTCTTTACTGACAAAGTTGAAGTTTCCCATCAATTGCAATTTAAATAGTGAAGTCTTCAAGGTTACATTGAAAAACAGAAGAAAGTCAGGAAGATCGCTAACATTCAGGTACATCTTGAACACCTCCAGTCACACCATAGAAGTCTATACAAAATCCACAAGTGAACAAAACCAAGAAGAGGACGAAGAAGAATTATTGAAGGACTTGACCACATTCAATCTCACAACGAACTCCAAGCAAAAAATTGCTAGAGAACAGGTGGATTTACCGTTCATGCAAGCACAAGAAGCGCTTGGTTCCGCAGGAGGTGCAATTGTCTATGAGTTTGAGAAGGACGATGATTACGACGAAGACGATCCATACGAAGATCCATTTTAATATCATAGAAGATCAAATACGAAAGACATCGGAGGCAGTCTCATGTATATAAGTCAAGTAGTAATAGAGGAATATATATATGTAACATATTTATAAAATAGAGGTATTGTAAAGAGTAACATGGTATAACAAGTACATCAAAAAGTAAAAGAAGCATAAAGAAAAAAAAGAAAGCCCGATGCGGGGGTCGAACCCGCAACCTTTTGATCGCACTCTATTAAGAGTCAAACGCTCTACCGATTGAGCTAACCAGGCGATGTCTTAGAAGTAATATTGTCGGTATTTCCAAACCAAGCTAATATATTATACACTAATTGAGAAAGGTCTGTAGACGAATCATCGGTTATAGCCTATGTCAATTTTCAAATACGAAGACATGAAACATGTTTCATTCTTGCATATATACCATAGAGAATATAACACGGCTGTGAAATTATTATGCAATCATTAGGTAACACTAAAATAGACTTATGTGCCAATGACCGACCTGAACTTACTACTACATTGAAATCATGCCAGAGAGAAGAGTGCATCATCGCAATGTTTAATTTTTCAGTTTCGGCAGGATGAACATTTAGTCAATTTTCACAGCTTATATCAAAACTGACCTATTAGATTGACTACTCTTGGATGGAAAACGCTAAGATTTCCCGATGGGGCTCTTATGCAGAAATAAGGATTGATGAGCATCCCCAAAAAATACAATAACTTATTAAAATTTCGGATAAACTACCTCATCTGCGGAAAAATTTAAGATTATCTACGAGCAGAAATGTCGACATTATGACTAAGCCAAAGTGATATCCAATCTATCTGCAAGGTCCCAATGAATAGTCCCACATTTGTGGCGCTTTGGGCTTGTTCCGTTGCGTTAGCTAATTACTTGCATATCCTAAAAATCTTCTTGTAGCTAAAACAACTTTTCTTAAGCACGTAAACTCCATTGTTAGAGTATTTTCAGCTTGGGAGCGCCCTTTGAAATTACTCTTGAGTTCTTTATTACCCCAACAGTTCTATTGAAGGGGTGACTTCAGATACCCATACTATTGACCTTCAGTATTGTAGATAACTAAGACGGGATTAGTTTCCAAAAACAACAATGTATAAGTCCACGAAATTTAGAGTTAGGCATTTTCCTAAGCCATCAAATCACGTTTCCAAATCACAATTTTAGGTAAGAAACTGTGTAGCTCGTAGTCAATGAAGCTTCAAATGACTGAAGCCAGGTACGAAAACTGTGTAAGCTTATCTTCAATATACCCAACATATCAATTTTAGGAAAAGGAAATGCATAACGTCATCTTTCATTCAAAAAGGTCCTCAATTGTCAAGGTTCCATATATAAGGCAAATATAAGTATTTGAATATTGAATATTAATAAGACTCTCAATCTTAGTTATCCAAAGGCCGTTAATGTCATCTCCAAGTCGTCTAACGAGAATTTACCGCGCAACCTATTTCCAGGCAGTCCTTATTGGATTTTTATCTTTCACTCAACCTGGAATATGGAGTGCTATTGCAGGCTTGGGTGCCGGTGGTTTGCAGAGTGTAACCACTTCCAATTCTGCAAGTGCCATTCTCTTCGCAATTATGTTTTTCTTCTCGCCTGTATTCGGTATCTTGATCAATAAATGGGGAATCAAACCTATTATTAACATCGGAACAGTTGGTTATGTTTTCTGGTCTGCTGGTCTTTATAAGAACTCAAAAGACGGTTCTCAGGCTTTAATAACTGCTGGTGCTACGTTGTGCGGCATATCTGCAGCAGCTTTTTGGACCGGTGAGGCTACCGTCGCCATCTTATACCCGGAACAAAACCAAAGAGGTTTATTTATTGGTACTTGGCAAGTTTTGAATAAAATTGGTGGCTTGATCGCTGGTGCTATATCCCTTGCTTTAAACATCAACGATGACGAAAGCGGCGGTGTAAGCTTGAATACTTATGTTGTTTTGTTATCAATTCAATGTTTAGGATTCCCGGCATCATTTCTTTTGTCTCCACCAGAAAAAGTTATAAGAAGTGATGGCACTAAGCTTATTTCGAATGTGCGTCATAAGACTCTCAAAGAGGAAGCTAGAACCTTCCTCAAGGTTTTAAAAAGAAAAGAAGTTCTTGGTCTTGCTCCATTATTTATCTCAGTCGTTTGGTTTAACTCTTGGCAATCCAATTATATTACGAATCACTTCAGTGTCAGAGCTAGGTCATTGAATTCATTGTTATCGGCGTTGATTGGCGGAGCGACTGATATTGTTGCTGGCCAGTTCCTTGATACCAAGTATATTCGTAGATCTCTTAAAGTTAAGGGATCATGGGTACTTGCCGTTGCATTGATGACTGGATTTTTCATCTACTCCTTGGTGCTTCAACACGAATTTGATGTAAACCCAGAAGAAGGGATTGATTGGAAGGGAAATGCCCGTTTTGCAAGGGCTTTCATTCCATTCCAAATTTTCAAAATTAGTGGTGAATTTATCTTCAACTGGACTTATTGGGTCATTGGTGCCTATCAATTCTCATCAGAAGAAATTCCACATGTATCTGGAATAATTAGATCCTTAGAGTCCCTTGGCCAGTGCCTAGCATTTGTCATTACAGTTGTAAACACTAACGATATGACCAGCTTGATAGCTTCAGTCGTTATATTTTTCCTCTCCGTCATTCCTGCCTCATATATTGTGTCACAAGTGACGGACGAAGAAATAACAGGAAGAGAGGAATATGCCAATGAAGAATCTGATTTGGAAGCACCGGCTGAAAATATTGACGTGGTGATTACCGCCAAGGAGGACTGAATCTCATAGCAAATACAGGTAAAAGTACTTGCCATATAGTAAGGAAACGGTAAGCACCTAGAAACTTCTTTAAAATAGCGGCATAAGATGTAGATGATGTCTAATAGAAAATTAGTAGATGTAAACAGTATCCCATATGCCACTCGACCTTTCACTTCATTTATCATGAAAAATTGCAGAAATACAGTTCTAAGGTAAGGATCGATGTCCTTTTACCAAGTTAATCATGATTCCGTAAAATATTGATCTCAGTTTCGTGCTTACTCCAGAGTAATTGAGATCTTCCTGAACCACAAATCAAAGTAGTAGTAACCTTTGACGCTAAGGAAGACTCTTGAAGCCAGGCTACTGGGAAGTGGGCCAATCGCAATATTTTGGTCTGGATGGTGCGGATGTGTGGATGTGTGAGCGCTCTTTTGGGGGGTCTCGCTTCCATAATACTGAAGTGCCAAGTAGCATATCTTCTGTGGTGATACTAATGTTCCGTTTAAAACAATGCCTCCTGCATATTTCTGAGGTTGACAGCATGTAGTGTGTATTCGATTCGGATCGAACAATCAATGATAGAAATGGGACTTCAAAAGTATTTGATGCAGTATCGTAATGTAAATACAACTTAAATTATTGACAAGAGAGCCAATTAATTTCAGGTTTGGCCAGATGTAAGTTAACGATACCAATGATTAAGTGGACACCTATCTCTTTTGTTCGAAAGTATGATTATTAGCACACGAAAAATTTCTTGAAAAAATAAACAGCAATTACTTCAAATCAAGTGTGTACAACATTTTTAGTCTCTACAAAACTCTTTTTGAATCTCTTTCTTTAACCACCTTAAGTAAGCCAAAAGAGTAATAATCACAAGTTAACTCATTGTACCTTTTGGAAATCACATCCTCAAGGTTCAAGGTTCTGTTAGTCAGAGAATTTTCCACTCGAAAATACATCTGTTTGATTTATAATATTAATTATTCTACCCCACGTAAGCCCTCCGTAGATTTGTACCAGTTTGGTAGATTCTTAAACCGTCAACTTCGATCATTTCCAGACTGCAGTGAAGGAGATCGTGAGAAATTCTTGCACTGCGGCTCATCAAATTTGCAGCAATTTCTGGAATGATCACCTGTCAAAAATTTTTTGACATCATGGCTATAGAGTAGCCTATCCTGATAAAGGCGAACGAAGCATTCTATAGAAAATTATGTTATCAATCAGATCTGGGCCGAGTACGGATATTAACTTCAGACCTATCACCACGCATTATGTCAGTTACTATTTTTAAAATTAAAATATCTCTCATTTCTAGTTGAAATGAGAAGACTTAGTGTTGCATTCGGATCGAGAACCGGTTCATGTGTTTTTTCGTTTTAACCCATTTTTTACTTAGAGAAAAGGAAATTCTACAAGATAAAAGTGAGCGGTAGCGCTATTTAAGGGCCCAAGTATGCCCAGACTGGAATTTCCACCTCAAAATAAAAAAGCTTGCTGACCCAGATGGGTACTAACATCATTTGAACTATCCGAAAATTTTTTCCAGAAGTCGTTATGCACCATCTTCATGCTGCATAACAATGTTGCATAACATCGTACATGAAGATTCAATAGATTAAAAGAAATGCTAAGTATACCGAAGATACCCGTAGGATAGAAGGAATTATGACATAAGACGAGATCAAGCTGGTCGTATGAATTGTATTTAATGGTAAAGATTGAACGTGTCAAAAATAAAAGTATTCAAAAGATATACTCAAGTAACAATGATGGAAGACATTAAGATACAACCTAATTGTTCTCAGGAAGAAAATTTTGGTTCGAGCTCAGGCTTTGGGGTAATTGTACTGGATGGTACCAAGAGTATTGAAGATGCTGAGAAGAAAGTGATAGCAGGAGAAGCAACCTTTAAAGACGACGAAGACATTCCAGAGGACCTCTTAGATATTCCAAAAATTGTACGTGAAACAGTTCCCTTGGAAGATGATCCTACCATCCTGGTAGTAACGTTCAGATACTTTTTACTCTCAATTATTTTCGTTATTCCAGGAGCATTCTTAGACACGATGAATTCATATCGTACGACGTCAGCAGCATACTCTATACTCTTTGTTCAAATCGCATCCCACGGATGTGGTAAATTTTTGGCTGAAGTATTACCTCGAAGAGTATTCAAGTTGCCTGGAGGTTATAAGTTTTCTTTCAATCCGGGTCCTTGGTCAATAAAAGAAGCAGCTTTGATAACCATAACAGCAAATAGCGGAGCTAATGTCTCTTCTGGGATAAGTGCTTTATCTTTGGCAGAAATTTACTATGGAGATAGAGTCAACTGGGCCGTCTCAATTTTCTTTATGTGGGCAGTAGCATTTTCTGGTTATTCTTTCGCTGCTCTTCCAAGAAACCTTTTATTATTTGATCCAAACTATGTCTGGCCGGAAGCTCTAATGCAAGCAAACCTTTTCCAATCTCAATCCAAGTCTGATCAAGACTCAGCAGTGGCCTCAAGACAGATGAAAGTATTCTTTGCTGTATTAATTGGTCTAACTATATGGCAATTTCTCCCAGAGTACGTATTTCCATTTTTGCTGTCATTAGCTTTCCTTTGTTGGGTTGCACCGAATAATGCAACTGCAAATTTCATTAGTTCAGGTCTAGGTGGGATGGGATTCTTGAACTTAACGTTAGATTGGTCAAACATCACATCACTGATTATGTTATACCCTTACTTTATTCAAGTAATTCAGTTTGTTGCGTTTGTTTTAGTTGCATGGATTTTGATTCCAGCGGTGAAGTGGGGTAACCTTGACTCTTTCAAATATGGTTTGATGTCAAATGGTATGTTTAAAGCAAATGGTTCGACTTATCCAACTTCTCATTTGTTGACTTCGAATTTAACCTTGAACACAACAGCTTACGAAGAATTAGGACCAGTGTATATAGGTGCGCAGAGAGCGTGGCACATGTTTCTCGACTACGCTTCATATGTAAGTGGAATCATCTGGCTCATAGTGTTTGGTAGAAAGCAGATGAAAGCTTCGTTTCAAAAGTTCATGAACAGTTATAATTCACAGTCAAAGAAAGCAGGCTCGATAAATCTTCAATACAGTGATAGAATCAACCAGATGCAAGCACAATACGAACAAGTTCCTCTTTGGTGGTATTTAGTACTCTTTGCAGTAACGTTCATTGTGTTAATTACGATATTTGCAACTGGTAGTCTCTTCATTCCATGGTGGACATATCTTGTAGCTCTTGGATTTGGATTTATCATAGTGGTACCATTGTGTTGGTTATATGCATTGACTAATTTTGAATTGTTGGTGGGTTCTTTCAATGAATTATTATACGGGTACATGGTACAGAACATGGAATCTCGACATCCCGCTGGAGCAGCAATGTACGGATCGCTTGCCGGAGATATATTCTTTCGAGCCCGATATATGCTCCAAGACCAAAAAATTGGCCATTATATGCAATTACCACCCAAGGCAGTTTTCTTTTCTCAGCTTTTTGGTGAGCTTATGGGTGTTCCAATCAACTATGTGACTATGAGATGGATCTTAAGTACAAAAATGGAATATTTAGATGGAACGAAGACAGACCCTGGACACCAGTGGACAGGCCAAAGTATTCAAATCTACCAAACCAACGCTGTTCAGTATGTTATTTTGGGACCAAAGAGAACATTCGACCAATATCCAATATTACCATATGGGTTCCTTGTAGGGTTTGCAGCTCCAATAATACTTGGCATCTTGTACAAAATTTCCAAGGGAACAAGATTTCGTAAATTGAGATTTGACTTATGGAATAGCACGGTCTTCTTTTCCACAGCTTCAACATTTTATGGGAACATCTCTACCGGCTACTTCTCACAATTTATTGGTGGAACTGTAGTTATGTTTTGGGCTTACCGTTATAAGCATGCCTTATGGAGACGCTACAACTATATCTTGGCAGCCGCCTTAGACACAGGCTATAACTTAACTGTGTTATTAATATTTTTATTTTTCTCTGCTGGTAAGACTGTTGACATGCCCAATTGGTGGGGTAACAACGCAAAGTCCGTTGAGCGATGTTTTGCAATGGAGGACAATTAAGGTGTACACATCATATGATAAAGGGCACCTTATCTTTATTAGTAATACATTTGTCAATTACAATTAAAAATAAGGTTTGAATCACCTCAACCACATTTTTTAGGTCTTCGAATAATATTTTCGATATCCCGTGTGTCAATTTTGTCATACTCTATTTATCTTGGCGATGTCTGTAACCTTAACTTGGTGAACTGTGGAAATATGAAAAATTTATCCGACCATTGAAAATTCGCTTAAAATGAAAAAACTCTTGGTACACCTTGTGGAGGATTAGCTTCCAGTAGGAAAGGCTTCGTAGAACAAAGTGCCTTCTCGAAAGCTTTTTCTGGGCATAACCTGCTTTATGAACCTATTCTCAAGGGCACTAAACATGAAACTTTGCATTGCTGTGTAGCGCTTGAAACGAACAAATCATGTGTAGCTATCTTTTGATCCCGCCGCACTGGAACCACATTTTACTATGAGAGCATCAGTGCGAAATGTGGCTTTTACATGATATTGCATAAGTTGCAACAGTGTGGAGATAGATAAGCATTAATTAGCCTATAACGGAATCATTCTATTGGATTATGGATCACCGAATGATCCCAATTAAGAAATACGGTCCTTTGTAACCTTATATAAGTAGCATATATCTGTCCCAAATGTAATGTGAATAATTCTTTAGAAGCAAAGCAAGTAAAATATGGGCTATCTTGACTTCCTTCGTGCGAAGACAAACGATATTGTTATCGGTAGAAAGCATGACATTAAGCGCTCTGAGCCAACTGTCGTTGATGAGGACGGAAAGGAAATTGCAGACGATAATGAACATGAATATGACGCCAACTCTAGTACTCTCCAAGAGTCCGAACCTTATATAGACTTGAGTCTTAACTTGACTCCTGAAGAGTTAGCCAAGAGGGAAACTGCATGGTTCAAGTTCAGACTCTTTCTTTGGGACTCTTACGATAAGCACCCAAAGGAAAAGAAGTTTTTATTTAAGCTTGATTTCTTTTTAATGTCTTCTTCGATGTTGGGGTATTTTATCAAAAATTTAAATCAATCTAACATCACCACCGCCTATGTTAATGGAATGAGTGAACACTATAATATGAATAAAAATCAACTTAATTACTTGACTACTTTATGGACAGTGGGTTACATTTTGGGTCAGATTCCTTCCAATTTAATTTTGCACAGAATTTCAGCTCGTTATTATTTGGGTGGTTTGGAGATTATTTGGGCCATATTGACATTACTTCTCATCACCTGTAAGGATTTGAAGTCAATGTACGCACTTAGATTCTTCTTGGGCTTAACAGAGGCTGGGTATTTCCCAGGTTTAGAGTACTTAGTTGGAAGTTGGTACAGCAAGTATGTATTTCTTTATTATCAAAAGTTCTATTTTGAGCCGCACGGTTAATTTTTTAGGTTGCAGCAATTATGCAACCTTATGACCTTTTTTTTTTTTTTTATTTATACTAACAATCACAATAAAGACAGGAACTTTCTAAAAGATCTTCTTTCTTCGCTTGTGCTGGTGTTGCGGCAGGCCTTGTTTCGGGACCTTTGCAACAATCCATTTTGCAGAATTTTCAAAATTCCAGATACAAGCCATTTCAATACATGTTTATTTTTGATGCAGTGATTTCATTCCCAATTGGGATTTACACAATGTTTGTTGATCCAAACACTCCATCGACAACTACTGCATGGTATTGGAATAAGGACGATGTATTGATTGCTCTAGAAAGACGTAGAAGAATTGGTGCTCAATTGAATACGAGAGAAAAATACTCATGGAAGAAGATAAAGTCGTTTTTCACTACATGGCACATTTGGGTCTTCCCATTAGTGTTTTTAGCGTACAACAATTCAGGCGCAGCTATTAGTCAACCTACCTTCACCACATGGATGAAGTTAGATTTAAAAGTATCGTCATATGTTTATAACACTTACCCAGCAATTTTATCTGGTATTGGAATTGCCGTGACTATCTTTATCTCCTATTATGCTGATTACATTGGCGGAGAGAAAAATCACCAATTCGTAGCCGCATTCTTCATATGTTTAATTATCGGATGTTCTTCTTTATCATACTGGGATATACCAGTTAATTACCATTGGCTCTGTTACTTCTTGATTGGTGTTCCAACATCTTGGGGTCAGCCACAAATCTTTTCTTGGGTAAACAGATTGTTGTTTGAAGATGACATGAAGAGAAATTTCGTTGTTGTCGTCACGAACACTTTAGCTTACGTGACTGGTGCTTGGGTTCCAATTTTAGTTTGGAACACAAAGAATCAACCAGAATATTTCGTTGGGTTCACGTATACTGCTGTTTTATCTTCGTTTGGGTTAGTAATGACTGGAGTTGCCTATTATTTCACAAGAAGAGATAATCTTAGACTTCAAGAAAAGTTAGCTACGCAGAACGCTTTGTTAGTTGAAAGTTCCAGTACTGACACTGACGCTCCAAGTGTGACAGAGAAGCTTCCACTGCAGGTTATTGTAACGGAGGAAAGAGTCTAGAAACATCAATGAATAATAATTATTAAATTTTCAAAATTGCTTGTAGTATAAAAAGCCAGGGCGAGTGAGGATAACGGACCCTTAGGAACCAAGACCTAGGTCCCTAAGAAAGCCTAGACATATTGTCCATTCTCTTGCTACCCTTTGCATCTTCCTGCACAGATAATTCCGCAGATTACTAGTACTCATTATGCAGGCCGTCTTAAATTTTTCGCCCGTTTTGGTAATTTCGTGTCATCAAAGCATGTCATGCTTTATATGCAGACATACAGCATGCAGGCAATGACAAAAAGTAATGATACCATAAATTGGCACTAGCAATTAATCAGTCCATGAAGTTCCTTCTCTTCACCAGTTAGTCAATTAAACCAGTCTAAATCAAGTATATATGTCGTTATTTGCAGAACAACCTCCTGTTTATGAGCAGGTCAATGACCAGGCTCCTCGTGAAGCCGGCGACAACATTCCAGATGACTTCAAGTACTCTGTTGATGTTGCCTCCTGTGAGCTCCCCGTCAGACAAATGTTTGTCAGGAAGGTGTACTCGCTCTTATCAGTACAGATCTTCGGTACTGTTCTTGTTGGATTTTTAATCAGATCGAGCTCATCGGTGCAGAGCTGGTGCTTTAATAACATGTGGCTCTTCTACGTATCAATGGTTTTCTCCATTGGGTTTTCAATTGCTACTATGGTCAAGGCCAAGTCCTACCCCACCAATTTAATTTTGTTAGGGTGCTTCACATTGTCAGAAGCCTATGGGTTGGGTATGGTTTGTGCATTGGTCGAGTCAGAGATCTTGGTCCAGGCCCTTTTGCTTACTTTCGTGATATTCATTGGGTTAACCCTCTTCGCCTTCCAAACCAAGTACGACTTTGTCAGTTGGCAAGGGTTTGTTGGTATGGCATTATGGGGTCTTATTGGTTGGGGATTCGTGATGATGTTCTTCCCACACCAATCCTCTGCCATGGAGATGATATACTCGGGAATTGGTGCTGCTATATTTAGTGTGTACATTGTCATTGACACCCAAAGACTTATGAAGACTGCTAACCTTGACGATGAGGTCATGGCTACTATGTCTTTGTACTTGGATATCTTGAACTTGTTCTTGTTCATCTTGAGAATCCTTCAAAGCAGACAAGACTAGTGCTAGGGAAGCAAGAGTTATATAGTTAAAATACAAATACACTGGTGAATACATGGAAAGTGATAATTAACGTTCTAGTGAAGGTGTAGAGTTAATTGTAGAGTAGGTGTAGATGTGTTGCAATGGACTACAAGTATATTCCTATACAATTTCATTGATATATGTATCTATAACTGCTATTTCTTCTTTGTCAAGCTATTAATCTTGGATTTTATATTTCCTACTATTAAGGAAAGCTTTGACTTCGAAGCCAACTTCTCTAATTCTTCTTCCGTAACCACTCTTCTAATCAACAAGTTAAACACAGAACCAAACACCAAAGCCATCACGGTACTGGTCAATATAATCACGTTGTAAGGCATCGAGAAATCGGGGGTTGGCAAGGTCACCAACAAACTAGTGGTACGCAATTGGTAGGCACTTTCTCCAGTATTCAAATCTAAAACAGTAATAACAGCAGGTTCGATAGCGAACCCGTGGTTAGCATCTGGTGGGTACTCTGCGTACAAGAGCAACGACTTATCAAATTGATAGTTCAAGGTCATTGTCGTATGGGGTGGCAATTCGATGGTTAGTTCCAAATGAGATGGTCTTTTTCTGTCAATAGCGGGTTTGTAGTATCTGGATTTTATGAAGTCAGATTCAGAAATCTTCCCACTGTTCGACGACGACGACAGCGACAGCTCACTGGTTATTTCCATAGACATCGTGTTAAAGTAAAGTCTCATATACCATGGCAATACCTCGAAGTAAACAAACTTGATCTTCTCGTCTGAAGGGTTTTTGAACGATATACGGAAACCACCCTGGCCTTGAGAGTATCCACTCAAAGATCTTGAAACCTTTAAAGGTGGCTGTTCAATTGAAGAAGTCTTCTCTGAATCCAGTGTCTCGAACATGAAATCGTACTCGCATGCTTCGTCTATCGTGAAGTGTATCCTACCTTCTTCTTGAGGTGTGATCTCATGGCGAGTGATAATGACCTCGCCTTCGTTTTCTGGGCTATTCTTAAACTTACTGACGCGGACCTTCCAAAACTCTTTATCAACATCAATAATTACGTTGGATATCGGGTAATTGGTACCAGTTAAGGCAGGGCCCTTTATCTTTCTGCCTAAAAGGTCACCTAATTCCCATGTCAACTCGGTGGGGTCATTTAAGGGGAAGCACTGCCAAATGTTATTGATCTTCTTTGGATCACATCTCAACTCCTCACCAGGAGTTGGCCTGGGGATACCTCCATTCTCCTTCTTATTCATGGACTTAATAACGTCTACAATGGAATTAACCGATTGGTGCATGGAAAAGGAACAAAAGTTACCATCAACACACTTGCTTTCGATGTCTATAGACATACCGTGCCACAAGCTGTCAAACACCTTGTGGCCCTCTAACAACGAACTTATACCGGCCTTTCCTCTGGAAGGTAACAATTTCAAGTATGGGGTCAAGTTTTCAGTACAAATTGGCTCACTAGGCAACGAGGCTCTCAAAAGGTAAAGCCTGTTAGTGCTTAAGAGCGGCTGTACGTGAGCATGCTGTTGTTGCTGTTGACTCTGGTGCTGCGGGAAGGTGGTGATGGAATCGTCAATGAAGTTTAACGAAGCGCAGAAAAACCCTGACAATGAATTCGTCAACTTGTTCCATGACTTTCTTGCAGCCTGGATGTCTCCAGCTTCTATTATTGCCCACAATTCCACACCGGTACCCCCGCTTCTCAACCCATCCTTTGGAAGCTTACCCCAGGACTCCAGATCCCACCAGCCCTGGGTGAATCTTATGTGTAATTCTCGAGTATTAGTCGACTGGATTATGGGCCCCAATGCTCTAGGGAAATCGGCAAAGTGGTCCTCAGACTGACTGGACTTCACTGCCAGTATCGACTCATTATGAAACTCGATCTTCTTTGGGTTCGACTCGATATCAAAGTCCCATGAAGCCATGAGTTTATTTCTTGGAAGCGGCTTGAGATATAGCGTTTCGTTGTACGACGCCATCACATGGACCACTGAAAGTAGCACAGGAACAAACCAGTTAACCAACATTACTACCCACTGCTTTCCTATATGAACTGCTACACTGCTAGTCTCTTTGATTACGTGGTGTGTTTTGTAATTTTTCACTTACGCTTTGGCATTGTGCTCGACTGGCGCACGCACTGTCGCACTGTCGCACTGTCACTTTTCCTGTGTGTCTGGCGCGCGCACTGTAGCGCATAGTCAATTATTTCTGTGTGTCTGGCGCATCTAAGTCTTCGCTACTGCGAGGGCTCTGCGCGAGCGGCGCGCGCATCAGTGTTTGTGAATCTTCAGTCAGTTGTTTACATTTCAAACAACTAACCAAAACAAAGCTGAGCTTTTCTTTTTATAGCATTGGAAGGCTGCTGAAACAGATCCAGACGCTTACATATCGGTACCATGGTTGATGCGTCCGTGCTAGAGTTGCACAAGGAAAACATCCAACCTCTTGTAGGAGGCAGACCAGCTTCCAAGCTCTCGGAAGCGCTTCAGCAGACGTCGCCTGCGAAGCTCTACTCATCTAACAGAGAGAAGTTTGAAAGCCAATTGGAGAACCTAGACGAACTAGACGACCCGCTCCAGGTATACTGCGACTACGTGGAATGGACCCACACTTCATTTCCTCAGGGAAGTAATGCGGTGAGCGGCTTGCTACTGTTGCTAGAGAGATGTACATCAGAGTTCCGTGACACTGCGCACTATAAGAACGATCCTAGATACTTAAAACTTTGGTTGGAATACAAGGATTACTCGGATTCACCTAGAGATATTTTCATTTACTTGGCCAAAAAGGAGATTGGCAGGCTCTTGGCATTGTACTATGAGCAATTTGCTGAGTACTTAGAAGCCAATGGAGACTGGGAAGATGCCAAAGAGATATACGAAGTTGGCATTGGGCTTGAAGCAAGGCCCATAAAGAGATTACAAAGGTCTTTCAAAAATTTCAGTGAGAGGGCCCGAAATAGCTATGGTGAGGTAGGCAGCACTAGAAGTAGAAGGGGCTTATCAGTCAGAGACCTGCAATCTCCACATCGAAGTCATGGCCCACAATTGCACACACCAGCACAGGAGCAAACGCCGAAGCGGAAATTTGAAATATTCAACGATAATGAAGAAAAGGACGTATTAAAATCCATCTTTGATAGCACGGCGAGTACATCAAGTATTCCTCAATTGGGCACGAAGAGGTTGAGAACCAAGGAAAACACTATGACTGCGAAGCCATGGGCTGGCGAAATATTGAAGCAAAAGTTTGTGACCACTCTACCCTCCAGTGTCACCACAAAAATACCTGTTTATAGAGATCTTCCTGAAAATTCTACGCCGTCGAGCACGGATGTTGATCTTCCTTCGTTTACGGTTGAGAAATTACCTAGTGGTGCTGTGCACTCGAGGATTCCCATAGAAGGGAAAAAGCCCGAAAGAATTAATATAGATCTCAATGAGTTATATAGAGAAGATGAAGAATTCTGCTTGGATGAAGTGATAGCAGAAAAGAAATTAAAAGAAAGAAGAAATCAGCATACATCTTCTCATTCCATTATCATTCCCTTAAAAAATGAAGAAGATGATTCAACGCTTCCATCGAGACAGAGGCCAAGTTCCCCTACTTTGACGATGTTCAGTCGAATGGCTAACAATGAAGTTTTAAACATGTTCAATGATGCAGCGCAAACAATAAATGACGAAGGCGAAGAAGAAGAAGAAGGGTTCAAAACAGATAACGAAACAACTAATTATGATGGCTTTGTTACGGAAACCATTAATTTGAAAGATGATCATCAACAGGAAAAGCAGCAGCAACGCGAACAAACCCCTCACCACGAGTCTAGAAGGAAGGTAGAAAACTCCACGCTCTTAGAGAGCCAATCCACTCCTCCTACAGATCAATATGATACCACGCATAGCTCTCCTTTCATTGAGAGACCATCCATAGAATCTACTAGTAACCAATTTGCCACTTATGACCCTTCAGATGACGTGCTCCGTGAGGCACTTTTAAAGAAGTCTAATCATCAGAATACAGCTCTATACGATGTTTCCTCTTTGAAGATAGGAAATGCGAAGAAGTTTTCAAATTTGACTCACCCATCTACCAAGATTATCCAAAAAGGCTCTTCAGAAGCGATCATAAACTATTGTGGTGAAAACCATTTCTGCTTAAGATACGAATTGGGCAAGGGAGGATATGGAACTGTTTACTTAGTTGAAACTGAAATGGGAGAGTTAAAAGCATTGAAAATCGAATCTCCAGCTACCAAATGGGAGTATTACATGTTGAATCAAATACACAGGAGATTTTTCCTTTCTAACTATGATAAGAGTATTCAAAGTATGGTGGTGAAGCCGGAATCTTTGTATCTCTTCAAAGATGAGAGTTATCTTATCATGGATTACATTTCACAAGGAACCGTCTTAGATGTTGTGAACTACTATAAAAATAACAACCAACCGTTTGATGAGACAGTAGCTATATGGTTTAGTGTTGAATTATTAAAAATAATTGAAATCTTGCATGACATTGACATCATCCATGGTGATTTGAAGGCTGATAACTGCATGGTGAGAATCCCACAGCATGACTCAACAGAAAATGGCGGTATTACACTTATTGATTTTGGTAGAGGCATTGACTTGACTCTCTTTGGAAAGAATTCCAAGCCAAGGTTCATTTCCAATTGGAAATCCGATCAGCAAGATTGCCCTCAAATGAACAATGGTGAAACTTGGAGTTTCGAAGCTGATTACTATGGGGTTGCCAGTGTTATTCATACGATGCTATTTGGCAACTATATAGAAGTACAACAGGTTGGACAGAGAATACTACTCAAGAACAGCTTGAAGAGATATTGGCAAACTCAATTGTGGGAACCATTATTTGAATTGCTACTTAACCCTGGACCGGCAGAAGACTTGCCTATATCTAGAAAACTTGGAGAGCAGCGGAGAGTGTTAGAGCACTGGCTTCAAGAAAACGGTAGAAGCAGGGGATTTAGTGAGAAGATGAGTGCAATTGAGCTGGACTTCACTCATTCGAGCAAGAAGCTTCTTAGAAGCTTACAATAGACATCTAGACACATTTAATGAAAAAGGTAATGTTATATGATTACGAGATATAAGTGTATACAAGCCGGGGTTTAGTGAGATGATCCATGCAATCGAGCTGGACTTCACTCGTACGAACAAGAAAGCTTCCTAAAAGCTTACAATAAGCATATATAGACACATTTAATGAAAAGTTATTTTGAATTGCGACGAGATGTAAGTGTACCGTCTCGGAAGTGCAGCGTAGGAAGGAGATGAGATATAGATATAAACAAGATCAAGGCACCAAAGAGACAGGAGACCAGCCATAGGTCACAGAAGTAGTATGTGTGTGGTTTGCAACATCGCGTGGGGGTCCAAGACAAGTCAAGGCAATGCTTAATTCCAGGCATAGTATTAAGAAAACAACCGGAGTCGGATAGCTTTAATCGTGACAAAATCTTAGTAATGCTTTCCAGAATGCTACAAGAATGTGTATATGTCAGTAAGGGTCTATTTAAAATATCGCGTGGGGGTCCAAGCCAAGCTAAGCCAATGCTTAATTCCAGACAATGGTAGTAAGGAAACAATCGGAGTCGGATAATTCTAATCATGATCATGACAAAGGCCGGTAATGCTTCCCCAGAAATCTAAAGTATGTGTGTGTGTATGTTCGGAAGATACTCCGATGCTTCTATCCCCAGGACACCAACCGGGCCGACCCAAATTAGCTCCCTGCCGCGGCGATCTGTGCTGAAGCCCGAAAAGTGAAAAGTTTAAGCACGAGAAAGAATAGAGGATTAAGACAGGCAGCTCCCAGATGGCAGAGACAGACTCTTCGATCCAGCTGTAATAAGAGCTCTGTACCGATGCCGGTAACACATACAAAAAGACTCTAAGAAACCAGTACGGCACAAAACACCTATAAAATGTACTAGGACAAGAGACCAGTCCCAGCTGCAACTCGTACATGTAAGATCATAGCCATTTAAGCTTTTTCTTTATTCTCTATTTTTTTTTTTTTCGCTAAGTTGCTACAGAGATCATAGCGCTTGGCGGTACTTTTTCGTAATCCGAGAACGGGAATGCAGTCTAAGCAAATTACTATAAAGTAATCTTCGCACATCTTCATTGTAAACAAAGTTGCATCTGGTGGGTTGTGCAGAAAAAGCATAATTTTTTTTTGTGAACGAAGAAAAAAGTTTCATGAGGTTTCTTTCCAGACGCTATTTAGCATACATGACCACGCAGACATTCAAGACGGACGTATTGATAGCAGGAGGCTCATACGCAGGATTATCCGCTGTAAGGGCACTTGCGGTGAAGTGGGAGGAGAAGAGGTCCCAGGGACTCACCAAGGACGTGCTTAACATTACTCTAGTTGAGCCCAGATCTGGGTTGCTTAACATTTTGGGTATACCCAGGGCTATTGTCGACCCAGAGTTTGCCAAAACGCAGTACGTCGGGTTGGAAAATTTAAATTTCAAGATCAACCAGGTTATCTCGAACGACAAGGAAGTGGTGGAGAGAATCAACCCTGAAGAAGCTGAAGCCGATGCAGCTGTGAATGTGACTTACATCCAAGGGAAGGTCAGTGATCTTAGCGAGAAGGAAGCCCAATATCTGTTAAACAATGAAGACACCAAAGTACCCATTCAGTTCAAGTATGCCTTGGTTTGCACAGGAAGGGACAGAAACTGGCCCGTGACTCCGGATGCATTCACTCCCGAAAGCTACTTAGCCGAGATGGACAGTTTCCGTAAGAGTATTGAAGATGTAGATATAATCAGTATTATTGGAGGAGGAGCTGTTGGAGTAGAGATGGCTGGAGATATCAAGCACAAATATCCCACAAAGACCGTTCAACTTATCCACCCTCACCCATTGTATCCACCAGAACCTTTGACTGACGAATTCAAGAAATTGGTCCACAAGTCATTGGTCGATGACGGTGAAGTCAAGGCAATTTTGAACACCAGAATTGCCGAAGAATTGCCAAACGGTGACCTTAAGACTACCACCGGAGAGATTATCAAATCTGATAAGAATTACTGGTGCCACAACCATAAAAACAATACGGGTATATTCTCAGAATCACTCAGCAAAGAGTTTGTGAATCAGAAGAATAATGTTCTTGTGAATGAATACTTACAGTTGACTAATGCCACCAACTTTGTAGGGCATATTTTTGTTTTGGGAGATCTTGTTGAGCTTCCAATCATCAAGAGTGCAGGATGGGGTTTGTACATGGGCAGACAGTCTGCTAATAATGTGGTAAACTTAATTACTGCCGGAGAAGTGGTGGAACCTATTCCAAATTTAGAAACAATGCCGAAGGGTATGGTTGTTGTTGCGGGTAGAGGAGAGATAGTTTCTGAACTTACCAAGATTGTTGAATTAAACAATGCTCATTACGTTCAAGAGTATAAAGATTATTGTTTAGGAAAAGTTAGGGCTACATTAGACTTATAAGCGTTTCGCTTTAATAACAGTTAATTGGGTGAGTCTAATGAGCAACTTAAATAATAGAAGGACAGAAAAAGTAATTTAGAAATATACAGTAAGCATAAAGACAGTAATGAGAATAGAAATTGAGGCCAGTATGAATAATCCGTGTAGGGGTAGCAAGAACAGCAGTACAACAGCAGCAGTTGCCGTTGTGCTGCTGTGCTGCTGAGCTGCCAGCGACTTAGCGATGAGTGCAGCCATTCCAGAGATGCTCGGAAAATATGCGGGGTGCAAACTTTAGGTGCGCACTTAATACGTCAAAAAAATATTTCGCAGCACCAGCAGAATGGCCCCATCTTGGACAGCACCAATAACCGATCTTTACAAACACTGCGTAGCTCCCTTTCCTGTAAGCATATTTCACAGCTATACCACATCATATCCAAAGCAAGTGCCCACTCTAGTGATGAGACCCCCCTCTCCCCCTCTCCCCACTCAACCTACCTGAGGATTTATCACTTGACATTCATGGAACCTTCAGCTTGCAACTCCGTTCGTTTTTGTCTGTGCAGCGCGCGCGCATTGATTCTTTTGATTGTGCATGTCATCCTGCTGATCTCGAAACTTCAGCCCCCTCTCTCTCTGCAGGACACGGCTCATTTGTGATTAACACCACTGGAAAATACCAAGAAAAAAGCAGGCACTGCCATGGTGAAGGATATTTCACTAGAGATTAGACCTACAGCGAAAAGGAAACATTGGTAGGCTGAATATATCTTGCGTGAACCATGAGTGGAAACAATCCCTTGGACCAGGGCCAAAATCGAGATCAAAATGATTCCCGGAATCGAGATTTGGATCTGGATCGGAGCACAAATCTCGATGTCGCAGGAGAAATGCCTGGATCTGAGAGCAAGAGTTCTCTAAGTGTGCCACCACAGCCTGGAAGGAAACGAGGACTTTCGCTCCGTTCTCAGCTATTCAACAAGGCATTTGCAGGAACATTTGCAGTGTCTTCCACGACCAATAGCACTTCCACTACAAGCACATCACCATCAGATGATTCGACCTCGGTGCGTCAAACGCAAATGGCCGAACCTGATGCCTACCCCAACTCGAGCTCAGACTTCGAGCTCCAGAACATGCCTACACCGCAGATTAAAGTGGAGGAAGCCCCAAATGAAGGAACGCATGCTAATGACCTCATTGGGGGTTCTACGGCGCCCAGAGTAGAGTACAATCCCTACAACCCCATGAACCGAGTGCCCTCCGCCAACAGCGAGAATGAGCCTTATAATGGCAGTGTGCTTGATTTTGCGTACTTCTTGCCCAATAACAGCAAAAGTAATAGCAGGAAAAGATCGGGCTTCTTGAAGTCTATCATTAAACTAAAGAATAAGGTTTTGGGTATAAGAGACTTACCTCCTACAGAAGGTGGGAGGAAAATACCAGTTGCAATTAACCATACAAATGTAAACAGCGAGTTAAATGGCGATTACTACGACCCATCTTCAAAGCAACTCATCGATGAAAGAAGCAATGAGCCTTACTGTAACAATATCATCACCCTGTCTAAGTATACCATTTACAACTTTTTTCCGAAACAATTGAAAGCACAATTCTCCAAAGTTGCAAATTGCTACTTCATGATAGTGGCAATCTTACAAATGATTCCTACCTGGTCTACTACAGGTCAGTATACAACAATAGTGCCACTTTTAATTTTCATGTCTATATCAATAGCCAGGGAGGCATTTGACGATTGGAAACGTCATGTCCATGACAAGGAGGAGAATAATAAAGTCTGCACGGTAATACGGGAGGACCAAGACTTCTCGAATGTGGACAGTCAATCCATACGAACGATTGTCACTGAAACAATGAATGTAAACGGCGAATCGACGGCCATGGACAGATTAGGTATTCATAACATCGACGAACACGACAACCAAGAAAAGAAAACGAGAGCACTTTCATACAGGAACCGTTCCTTAATGAAATCTTACAATATCAAGGAGTACAAGACAAAGTGGAAAAGGTTGAAAGTGGGAGAGATTGTGAAACTTCATGAAGACGAATGGTTGCCTGCAGATGTATTACTTCTTGCTACTTCTAATGACTCGCAGGATGCTTACGTTGAAACTATGGCACTTGATGGAGAAACCAATTTGAAGCAGAAGAACCCACATGTTGAATTGTCCAAAACGTATTCAACAGCTCTGGGTTTAAGTGCAGGCAGGACACTTATTACCGTAGAAGATCCTAATCTTGATTTGTACAATTTTGAAGGTCATTTCAAGATAGGGGTGGAAAATGAAGGAGCGGGCAGCAAGACTTATGCATTGGGGCCGGATAACGTAATTTATAGAGGCAGTATTCTAAGAAATACGAAGTCTGCCTTAGGATTAGTTATATTCACAGGTGAAGAAACTAAAATTAGAATGAATAACATCAAAAACCCCAGAGTTAAGTCCCCAAAATTACAAAAGAATATCAACTATATTGTGCTATTTATGGTTTGTGTAGTGATATTGTTATCTGCATTCTCAACAATGGGTGAACGTCTATTATATATGGACGATAGGTCCAAAAACTGGTACCTTATGGAACAAGATGCTGGAATTGCTGCCACTTTGATGGGATTCATTATCATGTATAACACCTTAATTCCCTTATCACTTTATGTTACTATGGAAATAATTAAAGTCATGCAACTAGTATTCCTTCAAAATGATATAGACATGTATCACGTGGAGAGTAATACTCCTGCTGATGCCAAAACTGCTACAATCTTGGAAGAGCTAGGTCAAGTAGGCTATGTCTTCAGTGACAAAACAGGTACCTTAACTGATAATTTGATGCTTTTTAGAAAATTTAGCGTTTGTGGTGTTTCATGGATACATGATTTAGATGTTTTACAGGAAGATAAACTAAAGCAGTCTGATAATGACACCTGGAGTAGATCTAGTTCTCCAATTGCACCTGTCAGGTCCACTACTGAAGCTGCTAGGAAAAGCATGGATGTGAAGAAGCTTCAAAAGGCTACATCATGGAAATCCACAGCTCATCCAAGTAGATCCCAGGATTTAATAAGATCAATGGAGCTATTGAAATACGTTCAAAGTCATCCCCAAACTCTTTTTTCTAAGAAGGCTAAATTTTTCCTTTTAAGTATTGCTCTTTGTAATACCTGTTTGCCTAAAAAGCATAAGGGTGATATTGAAGATATTGACGACGAAAACTTTTCAAGCTTGAACAGTTCAGAACTATCATTGAAATTAGACGAGTTAACCAAAGATGATGAAATAGACTACCAAGCAGCATCTCCAGATGAATTGGCTCTTGTCGAAGCAGCAAGAGATTTAGGATTTGTTGTTTTCGATCGTAAAAATAAAGTTTTGAAAATCAAGACTTACCCGAATGGTTTTGATGATGACTATATAGTCGAAGAGTATGAGATTTTGGATGTTATTGAATTTTCTTCTGGAAGAAAAAGAATGTCAATAGTTTTAAAGTTTCCCGACGGTAGAATCTGTCTTATCTGTAAAGGTGCAGATAATGTAATTCTCGAAAGATTGAAGAATAGGGATATGGCAGTGAACATGGCAAAGAAAATCAACCAAACTTCCAGCGACAGAAAAGTAATGGAAGCTGATGCGGTTCTTCATACTCGAATGTCACAAGATTTGGAAGGAGGTGGCGGTATTGAAGGTTCTGGCAATGGAAATGGTTCCCCAAGAAATTCTTTATCATCTCTTCGCCGTAGTTTAAGCCTCGGAAGAAATAGCATAGATCCAGTAGAACGATTGAACTCAATTGATAATTACCTCATGAGTAAAGAAGATGAACAATTAGATAATATTGCATTAAGAAGTCGCAATTCCCTAAAGCAAATACAAAGACAAAAATACAACTTGAATGCTCTTGAGGATAAAATCAAAGACTTTGTTCCGAGCGACAAATTATTGGTTAACGAAGAATATTTGTTAGAAAAGACATTAGAGCATGTTGAAGAATTTTCTACAGAAGGTTTAAGAACATTGTTGTATTCATTCAAGTGGCTTGATAAATCTACGTACGAAAACTGGTCCCAACAATATGGTGAGGCAAAAACTGCATTAACAAATAGAAGTACAAAAGTAGACGAAGTCGGTTCACTTATCGAGAATGGATTTGAGCTTTTGGGGGCTACTGCTATAGAGGATAAGCTTCAAGATGGAGTAAGTGAAACTATTGACAAGTTAAGAAGAGCAGGAATCAAAATGTGGATGTTGACAGGAGATAAAAGGGAAACCGCTATAAATATTGGCTATTCTTGCAGGTTGATTAAGGATTATTCTACTGTCGTTATTTTGAGTCAAGAAGAAGGTAGAGAAGGCTTGATGCAAAGAATTACTTCTGCAGGTGCTGAAATAAGAGCAGGTAGAGTGGCTCACAGTGTTGTAGTAATCGACGGTGCAACTTTAGCAGACTTTGAAAAAGACATTACTCTAATGTCGGTTTTCGTAGAGTTTTGCGTTGAAGTTGATTCTGCCATTGTTTGCAGAGCATCGCCTTCTCAGAAGGAGAGCATGGTCTCTCATGTCAGAAAATTGAAGAAAGATTGTGTCACATTGGCAATCGGTGATGGTGCCAATGACATTGCAATGATCCAAAGTGCAGATATTGGTGTAGGAATTACCGGAAAAGAAGGTTTACAGGCCGCAAGATCATCAGATTACGCAATTGCGCAATTTAGATTCTTGCTCAAGCTCTTGTTGGTCAATGGTAGATATAACTATATTAGAACGTCCAAATTTGTCTTGTGTACATTCTACAAGGAATTGTTGTTTTATTTAACTCAGGCAGTGTATCAGAGGTTTACATTATTTTCAGGATCCTCCATGTACGAGCCATGGTCACTATCAATGTTTAATACATTGTTCACTTCACTTTGTGTTTTATGTGTCGGGATGTTTGATAGGGATTTGAAACCTGCAACACTCATTGCAATTCCAGAATTGTATTCCAAAGGTAGATTATATCAAGCTTTCAATTTGAAACTTTTTATTGCATGGGTTAGTTTGGCAACAGCACAGAGTATGTTTTTATCATTTACATCCAGTGAATTATGGAGTAATACTGCATTAAGAGACAATACCACTCTTCCTATAGGAACTATGCTCTATGCAGCCATGGTGATTGTAATTAATGTCAAGTGTGAGATAATTGAGATGCAAAATAGACAATGGTTGGCATTTGCTGCGTTAATTATATCGGTTGGTGGTTATGGATTATGGAACGTTTTAATAATGTATCTTCATCGTTCAAAACCACCTCCTATTTTCTTTATCGATTATGGATTATTGATGTGGGGTGCAGATGTGAGCTGGTGGGCATCTTTATTGATTTTAGCTACTATACCTATTTTGTTTGACGTTTTACTCAAAGTTTTCCAGTTTATGTTCAAGCCAAATGATGACGAATTATTCAAGTTTATAGAAAAAGATATTGGTATGAGACGCTTGTTTGAAGAGCATTCTTGGAATGAATTACACCAAGGCTGGACAATGGAAAGGGAGCCACTGACTGTGAAGATGAAAATCTTGACACTTCTCAATAGGTTTGGCATAGTTAAGAAAGTCACTTTGGAGGATGTGAAGAGCAAAAGTGACTACCAGCGATCTGTGATACAAAGAAAGAGAGCCGGTACACTCCAGGGACCTGCGGAGCTTAATGCAGGTTCCGAGGGAGTTGCCATCTACCAGCTGGATGCGGATTATTTACCCAGTGGGAAAAGTGCCCACAAGAGTAGTTGGTGGAGGAGCAAGAATAAAGATGAAGAGATTGACATTGATTCATTGCTAGAGAGAAGGTTAGGAAGAGCTAGGTCAGGAAGTGGAGATAATGTATAAACGGAGAATAGGGATGAAAGGCTGGGCTAAGAAGGGAAAATGTATAAATGGAGAAATACGTATGACGAAGGTGTACATAGAAATATACTACTTTACTTGAAAAATATGCAATTGCGAAATAGTAGAGTGAATTAATGACACCATGAGAAGTAGCTAGCAGTAGAACAACTAAACACTGGACAAGAGGGGTATAACCCAGTACCAGGTCAATATTGGGGTTTTGTTAGAAGTACACATCAGATATAGTGGCCAACTAGAACCATTGTACTCGTGTGCCCGTTAGCTTCGAGTGCCCCCCTCGTACAGGAATGAGTACCCAGCTCACCAAGAACTATTGTACAGGAACCTGACTCGCCTGTCTCACCTGTCTCACCTGTCTCATGGAACCACTGTACAGGAATGAAGACCCAGCTCACATTGGTACAGGAATGGAAATTCATCACCAACTCCATGCACACGTGGGCCGCTCAAGCTGCCCGCTCCATCAACTAACGTGCGGCTGCTGCCAGAAGAAGAAAAAGAAAAGACAAGACGTCACTTCCATACTATCCAAATCTACTACCAAGACCCCATATGAAACTTGCACCAGGCTGCAATCCCAAGACCTCATGTATATGTAGAGACTCCAACTTCTGGAGATCCTTCAGCACCCGAAAAATTTTCGCCTTCAATCTTCCAACCACCATTCGCTCTAACTTGCGTTAACGAAGCACGTGTTTTTAAAAAGCTTTTTTTTTTTTTTTTTTTTTTTTTTCATTTTTTAATTTTTTATTACTTTCCGTTAATTAATTGCACCTTGTACGCTTAGGCGGTAAAGTCAAAAAAAGAGAGGTGGGACTTTCAAATTGATTAAGTAGTGGCAGGAAATTTGGAGGCCAGTTTGACATTTTTTCTTTTCTGGTTCTTATTTACTTACCTTCTTCTTAGTTTGTATCTTCTGGACTAGTATCTTCAATCGAAACGAGATGAAGTTCGGTGAGCACTTGAGAAAATCTCTCATCAAAGATTACTCCTTCTACTACATCAACTACGATGATCTTAAGCACTTTTTGAAGAAGGGATTGAAAGACAATGAGAACAAATGGTCCAATGAATTGGAAGAAGAGTTTCTTGCTGACATGGAAGATGAATTGGACAAGGTTTACCTGTTCACCAAGGTGAAGAACACTGAAGTTCACCGCAGAATCAAGGACTCCGAGAAGTATGTGTACGAAGTGGTCTCAGCCATCGACAACCCCAACCCTGCCGAAAGACCTAGTGAGCAGGTCTTTGAGGACTTGGAAGACGAATTGTCTGATATCATTGCCGACGTGCACGACTTGGCCAAGTTCACTAGATTGAACTACACCGGGTTCCAGAAGATCTTGAAGAAGCACGACAAAACCACCAAGTTCACCTTGAGACCCATCTTTGCTGTTCGTCTCTCCGCCAAACCCTTTTACAAGGACAACTACGACAACTTGATCGTAAAGTTGTCCAGGCTGTACGACCTTGTCAGAACCAGAGGTAACCCAGTTAGAGGAGATTCGTCTGCTGGGGGTTCTCAGCAGAATTTCGTCAGACAAACTACGAAATATTGGGTTCATCCTGATAATATTACCGAATTGAAGTTGGTTATCTTGAAGCATTTGCCAGTTTTAGTGTTCAATGCCGAAAAGGAGTTCGACCAAGAGGATAGTGCAATTACTTCTATTTATTTTGACAACAAGGACATGGACTTGTACTACGGTAGATTGAGAAAGGATGAAGGTGCCGAGGCTATCAGATTAAGATGGTACGGTGGTATGAAGTCAGACCAAATTTTCGTGGAAAGAAAGACTCACAGAGAAGATTGGACTGGTGAAAAATCCGTTAAAGCTAGATTTGCTTTGAAAGAGAAAAAGGTCAATGCCTTCTTGAGTGGTGAATTTACCGCTGTCCAAGCCTTTGAAAAAGCTAGAAAAGATGGTAAAAAATCAACCCAAGAAATTGACAACTTAGAAAGATTGGCAAAGGAAGTCCAATATAGAGTTATTAAGGACAAGATGAGACCGGTCATGAGATCTTTCTACAACAGAACTGCGTTCCAATTACCAGGTGACGCAAGAGTCCGTATTTCCTTAGATACCGAATTATCCATGGTTAGAGAGGACAACTTCGATGGCCATGATAGAACCAATGGTAACTGGAGAAGAACTGACATCGGTGTTGACTTCCCATTCAACCAATTACCAGATGCAGACATCGAAAGATTCCCTTACGCTGTGTTGGAAGTCAAATTGCAGACACAGTTGGGTCAAGAACCACCACAGTGGATTAGAGATTTGGTTGTGTCCCATCTTGTTGAAGCTGTGCCTAAGTTTTCTAAATTTATCCATGGTGGTGCAAGTTTGTTACCAGACTACGTTGAATTGTTGCCATTTTGGTTACCACAGATGGATGTTGACATTAGAAAACCAAAAAGTCAAGAGAATATCGGTATCAGAAGACAAATTCAATCTTCCCATAAATCATCTTCATCTGGAGGTGAATTGGACGAGGAAGAATTATTGGATGGAACTGATTACTCAGGCTATGGGGGAGTTCATTTCTCCAACGATATAAATCCATTAGAAGAGGATTTAGACGAGCAAACTCCATTATTATTACCATCAACTTATAACCAAAGAACTTCCGACAGTCCAATTACTGCCTTTGTTTACAAGGTTTACGGTGGATTCTTGCACTATTTCAATGACGATAGAACGTTTACGGTCAAGCCAGGAACTAATTTTGACTTGAACGAAACGTTCAAGGACAAATTACCAAAGGGTAAGACCATTTGTATCCCAATAAGAATTGAACCTAAAGTGTACTTTGCAGCTGAAAGAACATTTTTAAGTTGGTTGTCTATTGGTATGCTTTTGGGGTTCACCGCATCAGCATTATTGAACTATGGTAACAAGAGTGCAATTACTGCAGCTATCGGGTTCTTCATTACTGCTCTTTTCACAATGTCATATGCTATTTATACATATGTTACAAGGACTATTAATATCAGAGAAAAGAAGCCTCTTGGTTATGCTGATGAACTTGGAGTCAACTTGATTTGTTTATTCTTGGCTACTTCTACGTTTGCTACGTTCCTTTTCAAGTTTTTAGAATAATTAGAGGGAAACATTTGAACTGGAGCAAAACGAAATCTATAATAAAAGGGAAAAATCTCCTAAAAAACACTATTACTAATATTGAATCTTGATGAATGAAATATATATATATATATACGAGGTAAATACAATGAGTTAGATCTTACTAAAAAAAAACACGATATTACTGAGACCTGTTAGATATTTGAGGTGATGTAGTTCATATTTATTCAAACTTGGGTGATATTTAAGGTAATGCATTCATATTTATTTAAATCTGGATGATATGGTTATGATTTCTGGCATTCACAAGTTTGATTCTCTGATTAAAGATTTCAATAGAGCATCAACTTCTGTTGCTACACCGTATGATAGCTCGTAACCCGAACCTGCAAGTCCATAGGCATGTAATATTCTCCTACCACCATCAACATTCTCTAGCTCAATCCTTACACCACCATTTCTGGCCGGTCTGAATCCCACGTTGGTCTTGAAGACGTCGAAATATTTCTTGCCTGTCACCTCGTCTGTCTTCATCAATTCAGGGAATATCTTCTCGGCTCGCTTTAGGACAGCATCAGTATCGGATTGCCTTGGTTTATTGTAAAAGTCATTGGGTTGTTTAGTTCCTCCTACGATAACTCCTCCGTGAAAAGGCCTGTTAATACAGAATGTCCAATTACCATCTTTCCCCTGGTGGGTTGTAGTCTTGGAGAAGTAAGGACCAGCTTTCACAGGCAATGGAGGTCTGACCAACAATGTTTGGCCCCTAATGGGAAACGAAAGTGGGTCGTAGCCACCATTATACTGTAGCCCCTGGCCAGTACAGTTGATCAAAATTGAACTTGACGAAATCTCTGGAATTGAATACACTTGCTTCAAGCTAGTGAGGTTAGCCCTCATGAACTTGACTCCGTGTTCCACATTCAACTTGTTGAGCAAGTAGTTTAAGTAAATTGGAGGATTGACCACCCAGGTCTTGTATCTTGCACCAAAAGCAGCTCGTTTACTTGCAAGTTCGTTTTTATCATGAACAATCTCGAAGTCTTCCATATCTTCCACGTAAGATTTCGGCAAGTCCAAGTAGTTTTGTGGGGGATCCTCAAGGAAGTCTTCCCCAGTAACAAAAGTCACTGAAGATTCCGGATTTGAAACAGCTAACTTCCTAAAATGCTTCTGTGTAAGTCTAGTTAGTGGATATTCCTTCTGTTCAGCTTCATTTTTGCTTGGAAATGGTCTGAAATGGGCACCTGCCCAAGCAGAAGTATACTCCGGTTCGTGCAATGAATCATCCGGGAAGTACCTCGCAATAACTGTAACATTTACGTCTTTATGCTGCTCGCATATAAGAACCGCGTTAGTGAGCCCAATTACTCCAGCTCCTACTACTACAATATCTTGTTTCATAGCTAGTTTACCGATTCCCAGTGAAACTTGAAGAGCAAAATGGATGACTCTTGCAAATGCAACCTGGTGAATCTGCGAGTCATACTGAGCAGATGGGCATGGAAGGAAAAAAAAGGTCGTACCCGGATTCGAACCGGGGTTGTCCGGATCAAAACCGAAAGTGATAACCACTACACTATACAACCCGTTTTCTGAAGCTAAATGTTTTCGATTTTGATAGCAGGAAATCATTTGATTGACTCATAAGACTAGGCATATGGCCGTAGTCCTCTGTTCTTACCTAAGTGGTACTTAGACCGACCGGGTGTACATCGAAAGTGACTTCCACTAAATTGTATAAGCCGGCTTCTCTTAAGCATTAATTTTAGGTTTTGCTGCCCGGAGGCCATCTGGTCGACTCCGAATATATTAAGCATGTGGCTGCAGTTCCTCTGTGCTTACCTAAAGTGGTACTGAAACCGGCGGGGTGTACATAATATGCGTCTAGGCGAATTTCCCGATCCTTCTCGATACGCCTACTGCTTACAGCTAGCACCACTCTCTAGTATCACAGAGCTCAGTCTTCTTCTTCTTCTGGTTAGCTAGCAGTTAGCCAGTGGTGTCCCATGCAGGCATAGCGTCGCTCAATTCGCTTACTCACTACTGCTGCGCGCGGCGCGCCATTGCTATCGCTCGCTCCGCACCACGATGCTCCCCCACGTAGAAAAAAGGAAAGATAAGTGCAGCAGCAGTGTGGTGCAACTTTGACAGTTGAGTGTAGATGTGCTCGATGGATTTGTAGTTCATAACAAAATGATCCATTGAAGACCAAACTAACCAAAAACAGTCTCCAGCGACTTTTCGATTTCCTGACACCTCAAATTGTCGAAACTCGTCGTTTTTAAGCTGAAGTAAATGGGTCCAAAAACGTCAAATTAAACTTCCAAAACTCTTTTTTTCTTTCTTTTTAAGATTCTCAAAACTTTTCAAAGGAGCATCTCCACCCTGTCCCTGTGACTACAAAGAAGTGCGAGTACTCGTAGGGTGAGTCTATCCGTTCGTTGAAAAATTAATAATAATAATATATATTAGTACCTTTTTTCCCACATTGCCAGAACCTTTAGAAAAATCTTGCAAGAGGAAAGTTGGGAGTGTGCATATATATACATATAGATAGGGAAGTAGTAGATGTAAGATGTCTGTACCTCTTGGAACAATCATCTACTCCGCAGTAAAGCCAATATTTAAGATTTACTTGATTATTGGACTAGGCTATTTGCTTGCAAAGAAAAATATTTTAAGTGTTGTGACATGTAGAGACATTTCAAATTTGGTGGTGTCTGCTATCATGCCCTGTTTGATCTTTTACAATATTGTGACATACTTGAAAAGTTCAGACATTAAGAATATAGGGGTGATCTTCTTCACGGGAACATTATTGTTTTCCACTGGATGTGCATTAGCGTTTGCAATTAGCATAGTCACCAGGAGTCCCAAGAAGTGGTTGGGTGGTATTTTGTCAGTAGGTTTATTCCCCAATATTTCTGATTTACCAATTGCATATCTACAAACTTTGAGTCAGAGTGGTAACATTTTCACTGAAACAGAGGGTAACAGAGGTGTGGCCTATGTGTGTATATTCTTAGCTAGTCAAGTCTTCTACCAATTTAGCTTGGGATTGTACAGGTTGATTGAATGGGATTTCAGAGATGAGTTGGAAGGAGATGCAGAAGACTTGGAGAAGAATGAAGATGCCGTAGAACTTTCTGATGTACCCGAGAGCCCCCAATCATCAAGAGTAATGAAATCAGCCAGTGAGGCGCCAAAAAATGAATCCAGTAGCAAGGATTCGAATAATGAAGATGAAAATGATGACACTACTTCAATTGAGTCCGAGAAGAGTGACATTAACCAGACAAATTCCTTATCTCAAATGCCTCAACAGTTGGTTTCCGATGCAGATCAAGATAGATCGGAACAATCTCAACATTCTGCATTTTATTCAAGAAAACATGCACTCGCCAAGACATTATCGGGCAGAAGGTCCTCTATAACATCTACCTCTAGTGGTGCATTGTCAGTTCCTGTAGTTTCATCCGATTATTTATCACTCAGGCTTTCACACACGAGAGATAGCCACGATTCCAAACTGGCACCTCAAGATATTCAGGATGTTATTAACGAATATTCCCAATTTGAAGATTTAAAGTTGATGAAATCCCTTACCAGTACTAGCAAGATTGCACCACCAAATGAGGCGGCAGCGCCATCCATTCATGGAGCCAACGAGTCTTTCCTTGCAAGAAATGCATCCAGAGATAGTAATAATTCTCTACCAGGTTCCACTGGAAAAGTTTCAAAACTTCAGCGATTCAAAACTGAAGGATTGCAAGTTTTGAGGAATTTCATGGCGCCAAATTCCTTATCACTTATCATTTCCATTGCCCTTGCAATGTCACCACCATTAAAAGCACTTTTTGTAGCTAGTACCAGTTTCCATATACCAACAGCACCCGACGATAAGCCCCCGCTCTCATTCATTATGGATTTCACATCATATGTCGGGGCAGCTTCCGTTCCTTTAGGTCTTTTGCTTCTTGGAGCAACGATCAGTCGTTTACAAATCAAAACTATGCCTCCTGGATTCTGGAAGACTGCTTTGGCAATCACATTGACTAGATTGGTATTTATTCCAATAATTGGGGTCGGCTTGACTACCGGGTTCCACAAAGGAGGATGGTACGGTGATGATAAATTGGTTAGGTTTGTGAGTGTGTTAGAATTTGGATTACCAAGCGCAACTGCATTGGTATACTTCACTGCATTTTATACAAATCCTAATTCCAAAGAGCATTTACAGATGGATTGTTTAGCTGTATGCTTGATTTTCCAGTACTCATTACTTTTCATCACTTTACCATTTTTGGTCACCTTCACATTGAAAGTTTCACTTGGCATGTAATAAGAGAACGAAACGACTGGGATATATAGAGCAAAACCATCTTTCATACGCCAGTCACTAATAATTTACAATAAACTAAAGCTACAAGATAAACATTATAAATAGAACAATAAACAGTACAGTATCTGAAATAAAGAAAATAAAAACCACTTTGTAGTAACTAAACTTAAGCCTCCCCCTCTCACACATACATAAACACATTCTAGGCAAGCTAACAGGCAAACCCATCCTGCTTTAAAGTACCCTCCTTACCTACTGCAACTGTATCATGCTGCACAGAGTGCTGCACCCTAACGGCGCAGTAGCAAACAAGAGAGATTATAAATCCTGCATATATTCCCTGCATGGAAACTTTTCAGGTACAGCATTCCGCAAACATACATTGCTGTCTTATGGCGATAAAGAAGAAACATATTCCGCTGTTTTCTTAACAATTGAAGTTTCTTGTACTGTCAAATTGATATATCAGCTTCATATATAGTAATAAAATATAATAATTAAATAAAAAACACCATGGCTTTATACTATAACCTTGTTTTCGGTATCCTCGTCTTCGAGATGATTTTCTTCACCGTTCTTTCGTTACCATACCCAAGAAAGATCAGAAGAACAGTTCTTATGACTGTTTCTGCCCCATTTCAAAATGAACAATTCCAAATTGCTCTCAAGTGTGTCTTGGGATTCATTTTAGTTTTATTCATTGACTCTGTTAATAGAGTTTACACTGTTACTGCAGAATTACACCTGACTGCAGGCCAACAGGCTGCTCTTTCTGGAATGGTAAACGATAGATCAGAAGTTCAAGCAAGAAGGTTTTATGCGCAAAGAAACATGTATCTCTGTGGATTTACGTTATTCTTGACTTTGATTTTGTCCCGTACCTATTCATTAGTTGCTGAATTAATCATCACTAAGGATAAGTTGGACTTGGTCAAGGGTAACTCAGACTTGAAGACTGGAGCCAAGGGAGGTGATTCTGCGGAGATTGCTGAATTGAAGAAGGAATTGGCCAAGAAGGATGAAGATTTGGAAATCTTGAAGGAACAGGCATCTGGCTTATCCAGCGATTACGAAGCTATCTCTAACACTGCCAAGCCAAGATTTTAAATAGCAAGAATCACTGCTGTAATCGACAATTGTCAGAGTTTGAAGTAGATTGAAAGAAGATGTGGTTCCAATTATCTTCGTGCTCTTTTACTTTTTAATAATTAGAAGAACCGAAACTGGATTTTGTTTTACTTTCCAAGTGTATTATGCTGAATATGTTACATATCTGCCTGCAATTATCTAAAAAATGAATATCAATGAGAAAACTTTACCTTGTAGTATATATACTATCTAGCTCTAAAAACCTCCTCTAAATCCAGCGCTAGCACAATTGTCTCGCAAACTGATATTTTTCACCACATAACCATCATCTTAGTTGGAATTACTCTTGTGCTTTGGAGTAAACAGGAAGTTCTTACTTGCCTTTCCTAAAAACATTTCGGTGATCTTAATCCAGTCCCTGTAGTCCTTGGAACCCAACAAAGTCTCTAATTCATTTCTTCCCTTCCACATCGGTGGTCTTTGGTTAAGTTTTGCTGGTAACCTTTCCATTATTCCTACTGGGATATATCTGTGAGTGAAACTAATAAACTCACACATAAACCTTCTTGCTAACCCTACACCATACTCATCTGAGCCCCAATGCTCAATGGCAAATTTAGAGAATTGTTCAAGTTGAGCCAATCTCTCTGTTGCAGACTTATCCAAGTACTGTTGTGCTTCTACTTCCTCAAAGATCCATGGCTTGATGAGAGCTCCTCTGGCAACCATCACCGAGTCCACTCCAGGTAATGAAGTAGCATTATGCCAATCTTCGAAGTTATAGATATCACCATTACCAACAAACTGGGTTGGTACAGCTTCATGAGAGTCTTTTGCTCCGGTGGAATCTTCTTGTCCTTGGTTATAGTTATTGACTATTTGTGCAACTTCAGAGATATAATTCCAATCCGCTTCCTTAGTGTATCTTTGTTGCCTTGTTCTACCATGTAAGGTAATGGCAGCAACAGTGTTTTCAGCCAACACTCTACTTACTAATTGTTTAGCATTGTTATGTCCATCTTTGGTTCCTAATCTAACCTTGAAAGTCACTGGGATGTCTCCTGAGCATGCATTCATTCCTTTAAGAATTCTAACAAGTCTTGCTGGTTGCTCCATGAGAGCTGATCCTTGACCCTGTCTGTAGAGAAGATCGATTGGACAACCACAGTTCAAATTAATTTCTGAGACATCAGTGGTTTCACGATAGATAACTTCAGCAGCCTTAGCGGCAGCCCAGTGCTTAGAAGTAGCAATTTGAACACCAAATCCAGGATATTCAGATTTATGGGCCTTAGGTAAAGCCCATTCGGCATTAGTGGCTTGCAATAAGGGAAGGGCTAAAGCCATCTCAGAGTAAGTAACGTCTGCTCCCAACGTCTTCATAAGTCTTCTATATGGCAAATTACCCACAGTAGTCAAAGGAGATACGATCTTGGCATTTTTCAAATGAAGTCTTTTCTTCTCAGACACCTTGAATGGTGCCTCAACGTAGCTGGCAGCGTTATCCTTTGCTAACTCTTCTCTTTCCTTTTGCTTAGCGATGTTCTCATCGTTTTGGACTAAGCTGTCCAAGTATGGAATATACTTGTTAGCTAACTCAAAGGTGTACTTTTTCTTTTGTAGCAAAAGTTTGCTTTCGGTGGAAATCTTATTGACTTCGACATTGACGCCCCTGGCCTGTTCCTGTCTTTCCAAGTCCTTCACCAACTTTTTAGTTTCCTTATTGTAGTGACTTCCCAACCATCTACATTTCAATCCCAGAGGACAGTACCCAATAGCAGAGAATACAGGACAAGTGCCTTCAATATCTTCTTGCTTATGGGAAAAGTATTCGTCTATATCGTGACAATTTCTACAACCAGCTGGACCAAACTGACACACTCTTCCAGAATCTGGGTCTACAAGACTCGAACAAAGTCTGACATCTTCATGTTGCTGTCTCAAATCACGATTTTTATTTTGACCCTTTCTCTTACGTCCCTTACCACTAGCAGCAGGTGCTTCTTCCTGACGGTCTCCTCCTTCTGCCTCGTCGTCGTTGTAATCATCAATGACTGAGGCAGATTCGTTATCATTTTGAGTAACAAGATACTCAGGCTTGATTGGTGCGACACCTTTGGCAAAATGGTCTACTCTTTTGACGGAGTTGTCTGAATTTTCGGACTCATCGTTCAAGCGCTTTTCAGTCATCGTGCTTACAGTAAATAATCTCTCAAAAGATGGTGATCTGACTCCGGTCTAGCAGTACCTTCAACCTATTTAGCAACAGGAAGTGAAAAATCCAAAGAAAGGTTTCATGGTGTATGCAGGACACAGATGAGTATCACCTATATCTTGCAGGAACCATTAAATGTAATCCCTTCAGAACGGCCATGGAAAGCTGAAAATCATTCATAAAGTCCTGATTATTACTTCTCTGAGATAACATTACAGATTAGGAGCACACTCATACTCTTCTTTGGCTACTGATCAATCCCAAACTCCACTATTTGCAGCCATTTCATTCCTAACCTCATCTCTCCTGCATACAGTCGAGATGGGGTACACCTTGAAAATTTCCAATGTGCATAGAGAGTGAAAAAAAATCGAACAGACTAACTACCTAAATTGATCCCATACACCACAAGTTAACTAGTGAAATGGTCGAGGCAAAGAAGAGAAAAGTCTCTCAAGTGACAAAGGTTGCCAAGCCTTCCAGAATTTTCTCGCCATTTAGGGTTGTAGGCAATGTTTCTAACGAAACTAAATTCGCAATTGGTACCTTGGGTTCAACTTTCTACATTGTCACCTCAGTGGGTCGTTCGTTCCAAATCTACGATGCTGCCACTTTGCACTTGTTATTTGTATCTCAGAATCAGACTCCTAGTAGGATCACTTTCTTAGCAGCACACTTCCACTTTGTGTACGCTGGTTATGATGGAAAGGTCGGAATCTATAAAAGAGGAAGACTTGTTGAAACTGTCGATGTCAGCGAAGATGACAGGGAAAATGTTAACATTAGCAACATCCTTGTTTTCGGAGATTATATGATTGTAACAGTTGGTGAAAAGGTTAAAATTTTCAAAAAGAATGCCGAAACTAAGCTTCCAACTGAAACTTACACCACTCTTTCGATCAATGCGCAACTTGATGGCCAAATTGTTGATTTAGTACACCCTCCCACTTATCTTAACAAGATCGTTGTGGCAACTACGAACAATCTTTTCATTTTTAATATCAGAACTGGTAAACTTTTGTATAAGACACCAGACCAGCAATTCGAGACTGGCATGTCAGGTAAAAGCAGTATTTCATGCATAGAAACAGCACCTGTCCTAGATGTGTTAGCTGTAGGAACATCAGTTGGGAAAGTTTACTTATACCACATGAAGAAGGGTAAAGTATTGAGCGAAATTTTAACCAATCCTAATGAAGGACAAGTATCCGCTGCTGGCTCCAAAGTTACCTCAATTTCATTCCGTACTGACGGCTCTTCTCATTTGGTGGCAGGTTTGAATTCGGGAGACCTATTCTTTTATGATTTAGAGAAGCAAGCTCGTGTTCATATCCTTCGTGGTGCACATAAAGATGCATATGGGGGAGTTGCTAATGCAAAGTTCCTTAATGGTCAACCGATTGTTGTCACAAACGGTGGAGACAATCATTTAAAAGAGTATGTATTTGACCCATCATTATCTACTACCAACAGCTCAATCGTTTCTCCACCTCGTCATTTAAGATCCAGAGGTGGTCATTCGTCGCCTCCAGTAGCTATTGAATTCCCACATGAAGATAAATCACACTTCTTACTCAGTGCTTCCAGAGATAGGACATTCTGGTCCTTTTCTCTTCGTAAAGATGCACAAGCCCAAGAATTTTCTCAAAGGCCATTAGCTAGTGTTAAAAGAGTTGCTGGGCCTTCGATGAGAGAAAAATTCTCCGAAATTTCATGCATTGCTTCATCTCAGGCTAGAGAGGACGACTGGGAAAACATTTTAACAGGTCATCAAGATGAGAAATTTGCAAGGACTTGGTCAAGTAAATCCAAAAGAGTGGGTAGACATCAATTGGCCACCATTGATGGAGGTGTGGTGAAGAGTGTTTGCATTTCACACTGTGGAAATTTTGGAGTTGTTGGTTCATCTGAGGGTGGTATCGGGTCTTACAATTTGCAATCTGGTTTAATTCGTAAGAAATACGTTCTCCATAAGAAGGCAGTTACTGGCTTAGCAATTGACGGTATGAACAGGAAGATGGTTAGTACTGGACTCGACGGTGTCGTTGGCTTCTATGATTTTACTCAACTGAAATATTTGGGTAAATTGCAATTAGAAGGTCCAATTACTTCCATGCAATACCACAAGAGCTCTGACTTGATTGCTTGCGCTCTTGATGATTTAAGTATTGTAATCATCGATGTTATTACCCAAAGAGTCGTTAGAATCTTGTATGGACATACTAACAGAATTACATCCATGTGCTTTTCGCCTGATGGTAGATGGATTGTTTCTGTCGCATTAGATGGTACTTTAAGAACCTGGGATTTACCTACTGGTGGCTGTATCGATGGTGTTAGATTACCAAGTGTCGCTACTATAGTGAAGTTCTCACCTTTGGGAGATATGATCGCAACTACTCATGTAAATGGAAACGGAATCTCTTTATGGACCAATAGAGCCCAATTTAAAGGCGGCGTATCTACAAGACATGTCGAGGAAGAAGAATTCCTGACCATTTTACTTCCTAACGCTTCTGGTGATGGTGGTAGCACAATCCTCGATGGTGCATTAGATGATGAAGTGGATGAAGATGATCACTTATTAAACTCTTACACTCCTTTGGATCAAATTGATAAAAACTTGATCACCTTGACAGTTTCTGAGTCGAGAAGTAAATACAGCAATCTTTTACATTTAGATACTATCAAGCAACGTAATAAGCCCAAAGAAGCTCCAAAGAAGCCAGAAAATGCACCATTTTTCTTACAATTAACTGGTGAAGCAGTTGGTGATAGAGCTTCTGTTGCTGAAGGTGCAAAGCAGCTGAATGGAGATGCCTCAAATGGAGCCGATTCAGCTAATTTTGATGACTCCTCTTCAAAACTCCGTAAGCTCAAGGAAGGTACTCATGCATTTGAATCTGAATTCACTCGTTTACTCAGAGAAGGTGCAGTCACCTCAGACTTTACAGAATTCTTATCCAACCTCGTTCTGTTGTCTCCTGCTACTACTGATCTCGAAATTAGATCGTTAAACACATTCCCACCTTTGACAGAGGTTACAAACTTCGTAGATGCACTCACCCAAGGTTTAGTAACAAACGAAAACTATGATTTGTACCAAGTTATATTTTCGCTCTTTTTGAAGCACCACGGTGATGTAGTTAAGAATTTCAAGGACGCAAAGTTGAGTGAAGCTTTGGATAATTGGGCAGAAGCCAACACCAAAGGGCTGGATAACATGGATGAATTAGTTAAATATTGCTCTGGAGTCATAAGCTTTTTAACTACTGTTTAGGCTAACTTTAAAATACTTTTTTTGCTTAACTATTGTCTATTCTAGAGAAAGATTTCCTTAGCCAACTGATGCATTTTATGTTAAGAAGCACTTTAAAGATATATGGATAAGGCATAGTTTGCAGCCATCATCTTAGTATATAGAATAGAAAAAAGTAAAGTGTTCCCTTCGATTACCATAAAACCAAATGTAAGTAGAGCCAGTATCAAATCAATCTCATAATTATTGAATTTCTTCACTGGCATTTAGCTCAATGTATTCCATCTCTTTACCTTGGGTCGTATGCAGCAGTGCAATTAACGGTAGAGCCGCTTCCTACATGCAGGAATATCAACTTCACTTGCACCATTACATTTCTTTGTGGTTATTTTCTACGATAAGCTAAGCATTTTGCTTCTATTACGCCTCAAGTGCTATGAATATCGAAGTAATTAAACCGGAAGCTCGACTAGAGCTTCCAATTGAAAATAAGGTTTCTACTTTGCAGATAGTCACAAATGAAATTGGCCAGGAATCGTTGTTTGTCGGATTCTCCAATGGAGATATTTCTGTCTACAAGCTACCAGGTGATATTGCTGACACTGGTCCTATAACTTCTAATTCCGATAAGCCATTGAAGTCATATAGATCATTAAATGACATAAAATCACTTTTTGGAAAGAAAAACCTTGAATTGGAGTTTTCTGTCAGTAATGTCACAGTGTCATCTTTGCCTGTGGGGAAAATACTACCGCTCACATCGTCAACTGTGTTAGATTCTTCTTCCGTTCTTCTAGCCATAGGAGATTCTGAGGCCATAAGAATTCATGAGCTCGTGGGCCGTAAGCTAAAGTTTTTACAAGAGTTTGAAAATTCAAAGAACTTTGTAGATTTCGTTTACTTGAAGGACAGGAACTTATTCATATACGCCAACAATAAGAAGAAGTTGATGGCCTATGTAACCTCCCAATTATCCCCAGTTAATTTCCAGTTAATAAGTGAATTAGCCCTAAAGGACAGGATAAAGAAAATAAGTGAATTCTCAGAGAGCGAAGTGATAATTGGGTTGGCAAATGATTTTGTAGTTATGAATGTCGATAAAGACTTTGAAGTCGGCCAATTACCACAAGCAGCAAGCTCTAATTCACAGGGGAATCTCTTCAGTCAGACTACGTCATCTTCCTTTAGTTATTTTGGTTTGAACAACAGTGGGGGTCCTCAAGTTCAGATCATCCCCTTCAATGACACTAATTTCATTCTTTCACAAGACAGTACGATTGTCACATACGATAGGACCAAAAAAAGCTTAGCACCGGTGCCCATAGCATCTGCGTCTCCTTTATCCATACTTTGTCTTAGACCATGCTACTTAGTACTCCTTTTCCCAAAAAAATTGGAGATTGTGGATTATGGGAATGGAGAAGTCATCCAAACGTTCAGCCATCAGTTGAACTCAAATACAATAAGCGCAGTTCAGGATAGGAATTTTATTTATATAGGAAGTGGAAGAGATGTGTTCAAGTTTGAAATACTAAGTAGCTCAAAGTTAGTGACACAGTACTTAGAAAAGGGAGATGAAAACCAAGAGAGCAAACATAAACTTTTAAAGAAGGGCGATGCTGCAGATTTCAAATTGGGGGGCATTGAAAAGGCTATATCATTAGTAGCAAGACTAAATGAGGATGATGAGTACTTTGGTGCTTCATCGATAAATGCTAAATCGAAGCAATTGAAGTTGAGAGAATTATACCTGAAAAAAATGGCCATCCTCTTTGAAAAGTACCATAAATACCACGAAGCCTTAGTGGAACTTGGCTCCGACTGGTTGATTTCCTTCGAATTGATATTATCATTATTTCCTGATTATCTTAATGGTCAAGTGCAGCTAAGCAATATCCAAGACGAATCAACCACATCACTTTCCCCAGTTCAAAGTAACCCAAATGCGAACGTAGTTAAAAGCATATCTCTAGAGAGCCTACAACAATTCGAATTGAATGCAGATAATTCAGGCACTGACTATGATACCGAGAAAGCCACCAAGTCACAAACGCCTCAAATTCAAAGTAAACCACCTAATATCAAAAAATTCACCAGAGCTGTAAATAATCTTATTGTGTACCTCACCGACCAAAGGAGAATTATTCTGAATTTTGAGTCTGCAGGAGTGATGAAGTGGCATGATATAGAAGTTAGTCAGGAAGACATATACGGAAAGATTTCTATAGATGAACTCTCAGCTGTTGTCGATACAACTCTTTTCTTGTGCTATTTCCACACCAAACCAATGCTTCTTGGTCCTCTCTTGAGACTCCCCAATAACCATTGTGACTCGTCTATAGTGAACAAATGTTTATTGCAAAATTTGCATTCACATACATATAATATTTCGTCTGCTTCAACTATGGGCAGTAAGCAACCCTCAGGCCATATCAAGGAACTCCTAGACTTTTATTATGGTCGTTCATTGCATAAGGAGGCACTTGAAATGCTCAAAAAATTAGCGCATGACAAAGATTCGATAGAACATGATGATGAATTCGATGAATTCTTAAGAAGGCCCGATCTTACTATACAATACTTACAAAAGCTCGACAATACTAAGCTAGATCTAGTGTTTGAATATGCTGCATGGGTATTGAATGAACAAAACTCAATCGAGAATAGAATTGATATGTGTTCTTTAATCTTCATGAATGATTCATATGAATGTGAAAGTTATGACAGTTTCAGAGTATTAGAGTATTTCACTACTATTGAAGATGGCTCAACCTTAGTGATACGGTATTTGGAATGGTTATTATTTGAAAGTGATGTTATTGATAAATACAAGCGAGATACCAAGTCCATTCTGAAGCTCCACACGAAATTATGCTTGGAATACCTTAGTAAGTTAAGGAATGCAGGGAATGATCAACTGGAAGAGAAAGACTTACTGTCAGAGTCTTATTACACACTTCTTTATAACCTACTTGATACTACATCCATGTACGAACCATGGACCGTTCTTAAAAGTATACCTACGGGCGATTCCAGATTCCTAAGACTAACTGTCCTCATTTATAAGCGTCTAAATGAACATGACAAATCAATTGACATTCTTTTCAATCAGTTGGACGATTTAGATGCAGCAATGTCTTACTGCTCCGGCATATACAATCAATCACACAGTCAAGTAACTGGGCAAAAACTCTTGCACAAACTTTTAGAAGATCTCATTCTCGCCAACAACAGAGACACAAGCTCTATCGAAAAGCTTTTGAATCAAGAGGGTTCCAAAATGTCGATTTTGAGGGTCTTGACTTCTTTGCCAGAATCTTTCCCCATGAAGAATTTGGCTACATTTTTGACAAATACATTAAGGAGTTCCAAGGAGCAGTTACATGACAGTAGAATTGCAACCCAGCTTTATAAAGTCGGTCTGATCAAGTTAAAATCGAATTTATTAGAAAGTCAAAGAGAGTATTATAGTATTTCAAGTGGACAAAATAAGTGCTCCGTTTGTGGAAAGAAGTTGGGTTATAGCATTTTCAGTGCCACTAAAGCTGGTGATATCATTCATTATGGATGCCAGTCTAATTCACCTTAACGCAAAACTATAAGCTGCAACCAGCTCCTGTATACTAATCTCGTAAAAGTAATACATGCTAATAATTTTCGTATTTTTTTTTTATTTATCAAAAAAGTTTGGCGTGCCGTACTCAATTCACATCATCTTCAGTATCCAAGTTGAAGTGCCGAAGAGTATAACTAAACATCTGGAGGACTTATCATCAGCAATTGGCCAAAATTTTGTTCAATATGGACACAACTAATCATTCTGAGCAAAGCGGAAACAGAACGGTATTGCCACATCAATCATATTTGGTGGGTACAGAAAGTAATGTAGAAAACGGTGCTCCCTTGAACAACAACAAAAATCATCCAGATGAGGAAAGTAGAAAGAGACCAAAATTGAGTGAAGATGAAGGACAAATAGCAAAACGAACTACAGTTTTAAGCGAGAAAGCTTCTGGAAAAGCATTCCCTTCGTTTAACAAGCTTCCTCTACTTGAATTGCTCTCAGAATATTTCCCGAATCGTCGTCACCTCGGTACGCTAGTGTACAACCCAACAACTACTTGGTCAACTCTCCAATCAGAGAAACTCATTGGGATTAAACCAGAGCATGTAGAAATGTTTATAGATTTAAAAGAACGTTATATAGAAAAATTGGAGGATAAAGAATTCTTGGCAGAAACCAAGTATATTCCGGTGATCCCTCCTTTGCCAGTGGAGTATTCCAATTCATACCTTGAGATAAAGATACCGAACAGGTACTTGAAAGAGGCACGGGAGAGTAAAGAAAGAAGTATTTGGGGTGGGAATGGAGGAATATATACGGACGATTCAGATGTATTGACAGTGTTGAAGCATCAAGGACTTTTCGATGGGACAATTGATTTATCTGTATGGAATGATGGTTGGACAGCTAAAGATATCGTAAGGCCCGGTGCTAAGGATATCGACTCAGATTCAAACTCCGATGCAGAGTCGTACGATGTTTCAGCTACATTATTACTCTTACCACCTTTGCTGTCTTATGGAGGATACTATGCCAATGGAGTTAACCCAAGATCATGGAATAAACTGCGTAGAAAGCATAATGGAATTTCGTACGTGGTTTATGACGTGAAGTGGGAGTCCCGTGGGACATATTTGAACGATAAGAACGTATTCAGGGAGGCTATACTAGAGGACTTACAAGCTGGCAAAACGGTCAAGCGTGAGATGAGCGAGAAAGACGGATGGAGGTTTAATGTGGGGTATTTTCAAGAATTGAAGAAAAAGTACGATCTGTTGAATGGAGATAAACAGGAAACGGTCCCAGAAGAGAAGCATGAGGTTGTAGCTGAGCCCGTTGCAGCCGCTCCAACCGTGCCAACCTATACCCCAGAAAACCAATAAGCTAAAAGCTATAGAGCATGTATGATAGTGTCAAAAAGATGAATAATACATATACCGACAGAGCCCCACAAAAACGTAAGTAACCAATCCTCCTGGTGCAACAACACCGTTCTGTACAATGTCATATACAATATGATGTACTACACTACGATCTACGATCTACGGTCTATTGTCTGTTACCTGTTTTCCTTTTCTCTCTTTTTCTCCTTCTCTCTTTTCTTTTATTATCTTGAGCCTATCATATGCCCCATCTGCATACCAACGTACGCCTTCCGTGTACGGCTGGTTACTTACTTTCCCTCTTGCTCACTATCACCTATATATCTTACATGTTCCACTAGTTGCTTTTTTCGTCCTTGTTGTGTCCCGGACCTCACCTAGGTCTACTGCGCTATACTTTCCCTGAATCAGGAACAGACGGTACACCGCTGATGCACCACTTCTAAACCATGGGGCTTTTTTTTTTTCAAGGTCTTCGCTTTATCGTTAGTCAATACAGTCTTCCCTTCCATTCGTTTTTTAGTTTTTCCTCTTTCGCTTAACATCCTGTCTTTGTTCTGACACCACGTCAGTTGTTTTGTTTTTCCAAGCAAAGTCTGGAACAGTTACCATTACTAAAATTGGCTATCATCATCTTTTTAAGTTTCTTTTTTTTTTTTGCCTATGTATGTGTTTTAGGGTTTTTGGGTTTTTTTTTCCTTTTGATTTTCTCTTATACGTTTTGTTTATTCACTTTTTTCCTTACTCTTTCCAATCTTCTTCTCTTTCTTGTATGTTCATTATTCACACATGAATGAAGTGATATCTTCCACCACGACCACTACAGACCACAGACAATTTAAACCTAAATCTATTCTCCGAAACTCCAAATCATCTCCAATACTCAATAGCAATAAGAATAGTTCTGCAACAATCGGAGGCTCCGCTAAAAGCAAACTTCCTATACTCAAACATAAGCTCGGTACCGGAGGAGCAGGAAGCTCATCAAATAAGTTTTCCAGCGTAGTACACAAATTTGTAGCTAGCTGTAACACCTTCTTGGAAAAACTTCGAAGCATTTCAGACGAAGTTTTCTCAGTGGACGAGACAATAAAAGAGTACTTTGTATCTTCGGACGGTGACGATTCAAGATTGGAGAAAATCACGAAATCCAACAGAGGATACACTTCAGCGGAAGAGAGGTTCATAGAAGAGTTCAAAGAATCCAAGAGCCTTGAGGTAATGTACCAAGAGCGCAGACAACAGAAAGCAGCCGAACAGAGACTCGACCATTCCATTCCCCCACCTGTACCACCCAAACTGAAGCTGAAAATGGCCACAGAACATAGAGTGTCCCTTCAGGACGTTATACGCCAAACCAGCGGCGAAGGAGACTCTTCTTCAACCCTCAATGTTTCCTATCACGACTTGGACGTGTGTGAAATGAGGAAAGAGTTTGAAGTCAGCCCGCCTTTGGAAAGCACTTCAACGCCGTCTCCCTTATCGTCATCTGCATCAGAGTCTTCCTCGTCGCCATCTCCAGCAACTGAAATAAATATAGGTGAAACCCTTTGGAACTACCGTAGGACGAAGTGGTTGCACACCGACAAAACCACCGAGGAACTCGAGGACAGAATTAGCTGTAATCAGATCGAAGAGTTGCCACATGAGCTGCAAGTCAAGATCTACACCAATCTTGTGAACAAGGGGAAAGTTTTAAAGCAAGACAAGAGGCTAAATCTTCAAGATTTGGTGGTAATTATCAACGCTGGGTGGGTAGCAGAGGATAAATGGGAAAGGGCAGCTAAAGGATTGGCGTAAAGAACCACGGAAGTCTGTAAACACAAGACTGTAGCAGTAACGACCTGTCATACTGCTACTAATACAATACTAATAATAATAATAATATAATAATAATAATAATAATAATAATAATGATGATAAGATTAATTCATTCCAATACAACAATAATAGTTATTCTACTACACACTAATATACATAAACACTTCGAAGTACAAATTCACTCGTGTGACCATAAGTCGTAGTACTTTCTTCTTCCTCTTCATCAACTACTGGATCTCAGCTGTTGAACAAACTTCAAGGTGTTTTCCAATATTCGAAGGTCTTGATCCACCAATTCTGCTTTGCGCTGAAGCCCATCAACTACAGAAACATGCTCCACGTTTTGTGTTCTCTTTGGCTGATGGGCACTCGTCACATAGTTCAACATATCCTCATTCTTTGAGAGTAGCGTATCCAAGTTTTTCTTACTTTTTAACAATCTTTCATAGTTTGCAGCTATACCATCCTGTAGCTGTTTATTTATTTGCTTATCTAGCTGTTGAATGGTGGTTATTTTGTCTAGTACGGACAGACAAGATTGGCTCGAATTGCTTGAGTTCGACAGAATGAGCGCCCTCACTGTGCTATTGAGCTGCTGTGATGCCGTAGCTGAAGCCTGAAGTTGCTGTTGTTGCCTTTGCTTCGCCTGGCCAATAAGCTCGTTGTGCGAGGGCATATTACAGTGGGTAGAGCAGAGTAAACTGCAGCGTAGCTCTCTTCTTCAAAGAGCCCCAGCCATATCTGATATACTGGAACTATATGCAGGACTCGAGTATAGGCCAATTGGCGTATGGCTTGACCTGTTTACATTTGGGCAGTACAGGTGTAATTACATGGTAAAATAAGTATATTATGGTTCCTGGAATCATTCTGGAGCAGGTTTTTCTGTATTTAAGATTTATAGAGCTAGTCTGGGCTATTTTATTTGCAGCCATTCTGACAGTGCAACATACAGTGCGGTTGACAGAGTATGGGGCAGAAGAGCAGAGTACACATCCAGTGCCACTTTCTGTGATTTTTTTTTCCAGCTGGATTGTGTTTCAGTCCCCAGCACTAGGGCTCGCTGCTAGTCTGCTCCATTGCCCTATTCCATGAAAGTAGGACAGGGCGCTCGTAGCTGCTTACCTATTCTCTATCCATGGACCTACCCAGCCGAACCAGGTCTTATCAGGAGTATATGCAGGAACAGATCCAGATATGGATCCCTCGCGATTTGGCTGGCAAGTTCCGTCTATAGCGAGAGTGTTTGGAGAATAGGTCCAGATTTGGCGAAGAGATAGCGTCAATATCGTGCAGAATGTCGCTCAATCAAGACCTGCTATTCTTGAAGTTGCCTGCCCCACAGAAATTGGCGGAAAAAGGCGCTTCCTCGTCGGTGGACCAGCTTCTACACGATTTGAAGAACAAGGTGGAGTACTCTGCCTTGATCGATACTTGCTATTTCTTGCTTAAAGATGGCGATTTATCGTACGAGGAATCTCTCAAGGTATGGGAGATCAGGCTCATCTTGCACATATTCGACGGTGGTATAAGCATTGCGAAAAAGGAAGGTATAAACTTGAATAATGAGTTGTACTTGATTGAAAACAAGCTGCGGGAGCCTCCAGCAGCGCCCCAGGCTCCCGGTGTGCCTTCGTCCAGGACCGGGTCCCTAACAAATGCTTCTGCTACCGGAAACGAGGCAACACTCCCCATATATCCGCTCCCTAGAAACAACAATTCGCAAATAAGTCATTCGTTGCTCATCCTTCTCCTTAGGCTCAAGTCTATCCCCAATTTGAACTTGGTAAATGAACTATACAAGCTTACGTATCAAAGTAGGTTGAAGGCTTCAAGCAACTCAAAGGAGCCTGAAGTAATATCGCTACAGTTGGCTAATTTAAGCTACGATATTATTGTTGTGCTTACGATCACCAAGAACTACCTCACGCTTGTGAACTTCATCCAGTCCATACGGTATGAGCTTGATATAGGATCCGCATACTCATCCCGCCTAGCTCTTCTATGGCTCATAATAAAACTCATTCTCCATGTGAAGAAGTACGCTTCTACCACTGCAGGTAATACCGACAGCCTTACCGATGCCCTTGTGCAACAGTACCAAAAAGACTTCAATGGCATCTCGAAACTGACGCTCTCTGAGTTCCAGTACATCCTTAACAATTTCAATCCCAACCTTTCGGTCGGCTCAGTAAATGATGGAGTTAATGAGATCACATTGGAGCTACTTGTGAGTAGAGCTCAAAAGGGATTGATTTCGGGGCGCATAATATGCTGCACTCTTGGATTGTGGAATCTACAGAATAGATTTGGAGTTGAGTTAAGAGATGGTGAACTTGTTTTTGAAAAGAAAGCTAAAGAAAATAAGGAAGAGGGCACAGAGGGCACAGAGAGAGCCAAAACTGTTGAAGAATGCTACCTGGAGGTGACCCATCGTTGGCTCGGGAACATCAACAGAGTCTACTGTTTAGAGTGATCTAAATGCAACAGACGAACACGAAAACATGACGAAAAAAGATGAAAATTATGTAATTCAATGCATAACAAACGAAACTCTTGGTCCTAAGGAATACTCACAGACCGTCCATTACGATTCATTTGGTGTTGATGTAGACTGTCTCCTCTCTTCTCCTCTACACCTAGACGTGCTTAATTAGCATTAGGGCTAGTACCCTAACCACGTGATCAAACATTCACTTAACTTATATCACACTCGATCTATTCTGCATATAAGTCTCTGCAATGCGAGCCAAAATTTTTTTTTATAGCGCTGGAAATTTTCACTTCGCTTCATTAAAAAGTTTCTGCTCTTCTCCTTTTTCCTTTCTCTTCCTTTTTCTTCAGTTAACTCAGAAATCATCAAAATGGCTTTACAAGACGTTGTTACCCGTGAATACACTATCAACTTGCACAAGAGAGTATGTGTCTAATGACTTCATTACTAATAAGAAATGAAAATTGGGCTATTCTTTTTGTGTATGGGGAGTTAGACGGGAGAGATATGGAAAGTGTAGAAGCTTCCGGAATCCATAGGCGTAGTTTCTTGAGGAATAAGTAATTTTTTTAATTATTTAACTTGTTCCTTGAGAAACTATTGCTTCTCACCTTAGATGTCATGAATTAACTTAGGAGGAAAGTTGGGCCTTTGTGCTCTTCTATATCCTAGTTAATTCATGAATCTATAAATGAAAGATTTGAAATCTCTTCTCTGAAAAATTTCCTGTAAACAAAAATGAACTAGTTTGAAAATTTATTTTTTGATTATATAATGATTATTTCCCTTCTAAGGTGAAGGAACGCAGTATAGCTGCGGTCTTATTTCTCGCTCGTAGTATCACATTGAACCCTTACTAACATTCGTAGTTGCATGGTGTCCACTTCAAGAAGAGAGCTCCAAAGGCTGTCAAGGAAATCAAGAAGTTCGCCACTTTACACATGGGAACCACTGATGTCAGATTAGACCCAAAGTTGAACGTTGAATTATGGAAGAGAGGTGTCCAAGGTGTTCAATACAGATTGAGAGTCAGAATCTCTAGAAAGAGAAACGACGAAGAAAACGCCAAGGAAAAGTTATTTGCTTACGTTGAACCAGTTAACGTTGCCACCACCAAGGGTTTACACACCATTGTTGTTGATGAAGAAGAAGCTTAAATTATTTAAGCGTTTTTGGGTATCACTGGAACAAAACAAAAAATTTAATAGGACTTAATGTATAGTTGATGTATAATACGGATTTATCATGAAGTTATTAATTAATTAGGCGGCTTTGGTCGTTTAGAGTGTAGCAAGTAATAAGTAGGTGTAAACTAACTTCACAATGAGTGAGCGCAAAGAGATACAGTTCGGGAGTAAGGGAGCTGCTATCACAGAGCCAACTGCCTGGTTTTTGTTTTGGGTGCAGAAAATAGTGCCCCAAACTTTTGCTTATGTGAACTCTTCAACCTGAAGAGCCTCGAATATGCTACAAGATAAGTGGTTATAGAAGTGTTCCATCCTCCTCTGCACATCAAATAATCAATTTCTCTCACGCAATCAGTGTAACTATGACAAAACATACCGGTCATTGCAATAGAATCCATGTGCCACCAAAACGATGACGAATCCCAAGAAAGCTCATAAGTGGTATGAAAAAAAAATAAAGTTCTTCATCATTTAAGTGTGAGAGAGATTGTCTTATTGATCTCAGTAAAGATTTGGGAAAGAAGCAGTGCACGATGCATCGGTATGAACAAGTACACTCCAACCACGAATGAAATGCATAATTGGCAAGTACTGCACAAACACAATACTCGTGTACTGCTAACCTACAATAGACCTACGTATAATCTATGCTATAGTTTCTGGAACAAACATATGGTAAAGAGAAAGAGGTGTATAAAATTTTTTTTTAAATAGTCGTCAGGATGAGCAGCTCACCAAAATTGAAAAAGATTGAGACGCTTACTCTTTTAGGGTTGGCTATGTGCAGGTCACGAATATAGGTTGCACACCTTTGGACTTCACCGGCCTTAGTACACTGGTTCTAAGGCTCTGCAAAGTGCACCTGAGAAGTCTGAAATGTCTTTGGTCCAAGTGCGCTTGAAATCAAGTGGAAATGCAGGCACCTCCGGTGCCTTTTCTCGTATTCTCTTATATCCTATTCTTTCCTCCTAGGGAATGTCCCATGTACTCAAGCTAAAAATCATCACGCTACATGCAGGAGAATCACCACGAAAAGTTCCCCCACAAAACTTGACCGAGGGAGCCACCAACATTTCGGTAGCACGAAGGTAGCTTCGACCATATTTCACTCTATCAGCCTAATTTCTTTTCTTTCGAGAGTTCCACTTCCATAAAATAAGATGCCCAGTGCAGTGGCACAACATAAAGCAAGTAAAAAAATGAAACCAAAGACTTTGTCGGCCTATGTAAACTTTGTAAGTGATACTAGTGCTCCCTCCATAGATGGAGTGGAATTGTCAGTCAATCTTTACAATAAACTTTTCCCTGATTACACAGTCTCCAAGGAAGAGGAAGAAGAGGCCATTGAATTGTCCAGGTATGTGCTTGTACGATTTTTAGGAGCCCCAGACTATTTCAAGAACTTTAAGTTGTATAGAGTGACCGCTGTGAATTCACAAGCTACGGACAACCTCTCGGTGACGTTTATAAATCACACAAACTTGGCCAAGTTCAACGACCAAATTACATTATCCAAGTGCATTGTCCAATCTTTAGACTCGAAGAATATCCCGAAACTTGAAAGGGTCTTTGTTTCCGTTCCTGAGTCGGTATACCTGATCTTGGAGCTGAAGCCTTCCAGTGATGTCAGAGATTTATTCTTGAAAAAGTTCTTGGTGCACACGGGAGGTGTAGTTAGTAGTGGTGATATCGTTCGAGACATAAATGGTCAAGTCCAGCTCTGTGAACCTGTCTCCCAGGGAAGAATTGACAGTGGAGTTACCAACATTGTGTTGATCAAGACCGCCTACACTGAAGAAGACCAAGATGGAGTGGTCGATGGCGCTGCTGGCACTGTAAATGGAAATATCAGTAAGCTTGAGGCAGAAGATCTGGATGAAGGAGATGAGGAAGAAGGAGATGAAGATATCGACTTCTCATCTTTCCTTAACAGACCTGCCACATACACTCCCAAGGAGTCGATTCAACTTCAGGCGAAGCCTTTGCCAGAAAAGCTCACAATTGAGGGCCAATCTCCTTCACTTTTGGCAAAGGAAGACCTGGACTTGTTTGTGTTTATCAATTCGGCAGATCTCCTCAAGTTGGGCTTTCCAGTGTTTAATGGGGACTCTGTCAAATTGACAACCAAGTCTTCATCCAGGGAGATTTCAGTTGTCGTTAAGATATTAACCGTAATAGAGCCAAACAGAACTTTTCACCAAGGGTCAATATACCTTTCTCCAATTTTGCTTTTGAACTTGGAAATTAACAGTTTGGAAAGTTCATCCATTGTATTATCTCCATTAAAAGATCATCAGCTGTTACTTTCAAGCTTGCTTCCGACCGCTAAGTCCATAACTATAGCTAGAGTTGCTTCACCAATCACTATGGATAAGACGTATCAGCAAAGTTTCTTCGCCGAACTTAAATCTACTTTCCATAAGCTGTTCAAATGCGTGAGAAAAGGTGATCTTATTCCTGTTTGTATAGATTCGGTGCTATCGAAGACCATGTTTGACGCAGGAGATAATGAATCTACTGGCTTTGTAATCCCAACAGGTGATCCGGATGCAGTAGCCTGGTTCAAAATAGTTACCATTGGCAGTGACAATGGAGAAAACGATCTTTTATCCGATCAATATGTAATCGATCCACTTAAGACCCGTATGATTTCATCCGGTATTGAATCAATCCGTCTCCCAGAAAACGGATATTCCCAATGGGTAAAATTTTTACAACTCCCATCACCATTTCCTTTTACAAAAGTCTCAAAAAATGACCCATCTGTCTTCCAGTATGCAACAGAATTAAGGAAGATTGTTACTACTTGTCTTAATTCTCGCAATGCTAAACTTAAAACTTCCATCTTATTGAACTCAATGTCTAGAGGTTTGGGTAAGACTTCTGTTGTGAGAGATTTATCGCTTAGTCTCGGATTGAACCTTATTGAATTGGATTGCTTTGATATCATAAATCCTGGTGCGGAGTTGAAGACAATTGGTTTATTGAAGGGTAAAATTGATAAATTAATCGAGAATACCGAAGCAAACAAGGGGAGCTTTTACGTCATTTATTTGAAACATATTGAAAATCTTTGTGTTAAATCAAATGAAAATGAACAAGGATCAAATGTTACAACTTCTTTGTCGATGAAGGTTGTACAGTTACTCCAAGAATACTTGAACAATAACTCTAACTTAATATTAATTTCTAGCTGCAATGATGTGGACAAGTTGAATGAAGGTTTGAGACTGATGATTAAATTTCAAATTGACTTTGGGGTGCCATCTGAAAAGGAGAGATTGGAGATTTTCAGGTATCTAATTGATACAGAAGTTACAGGTAGAGTAGTGGAGGATAATTCTGAGGAATTCGATGAAGAAGATTTGGGTGAAGAATTTCAAGATGATATTGATGATGATTTTTCATTATCCTCTTTATCATTTAGCAAGAGAGGTGACGTGACTTATAAGGCCCTTGCTCTTCAGTCCGCAGGTCTTACACCAAGGGACCTCATATCTATTCTCAAAAATGCTAAAAGGTTGGTTATTGCTCGCATGAAGGATGTAGCAGCAACTTTAAATATATCCGTGAGACTGACTGTTGTCATAGGAAATGGTGGGTTACTTCAATTAACCCCTGAAGATTTTAATAAATCAATAAACGAAGCAAGAAATCAATTCAGTGACTCTATTGGTGCTCCTAGGATCCCTAACGTCAAATGGGAAGATATTGGAGGTTTGGACTTGGTTAAGGATGAAATTTTAGATACTATCGATATGCCATTAAAGCATCCAGAATTGTTTAATAATGGTTTAAAGAAAAGGTCGGGTATTTTATTCTATGGTCCACCGGGTACTGGTAAGACATTGTTGGCTAAAGCAATTGCTACCAACTTCTCGTTGAATTTCTTCTCTGTGAAAGGACCTGAATTATTGAATATGTACATCGGAGAATCCGAAGCTAACGTGAGAAGAGTTTTTCAGAGAGCAAGGGACGCTAAACCATGTGTCATCTTCTTCGATGAATTGGATTCTGTTGCACCCAAGAGAGGTAACCAAGGTGACTCGGGCGGTGTTATGGATAGAATTGTATCTCAATTGCTAGCAGAACTCGATGGTATGAGTGGCGGGGGCGAAGGAAGTGGAGATGGTGTGTTTGTAGTTGGGGCTACAAATAGACCCGATTTACTAGATGAGGCTTTACTTAGACCGGGAAGATTCGACAAGATGCTTTACTTAGGTATATCGGATACAAACGAAAAGCAAGCCAAGATTTTGGAAGCCCTTACCAGAAAGTTTCAATTAGCTGATGATGTGGACTTGAATAAAATTGCAGAAAATTGTTCTTTCACTTTCACTGGTGCCGATTTTTATGCCCTCTGTTCTGATTCCATGCTTAATGCTATGACTAGAACTGCCAATGATGTTGATCAAAAGATAAAGAAATTAAATGCACAGCTTGCAGAAGAAGGGAAACCTCAAATATCCTCGCGTTGGTGGTTTGACAATGAGGCTTCTGAAGATGATATCAATGTTTTAGTCACCATGGAAGACTTTGAGAAGGCACAACTGGAATTAAATCCGTCGGTCAGTGCGGAAGAATTGGAGCATTACTTGAGAGTAAGGCAGAACTTCGAGGGAGGAAAGGAAAAGGCAAAGCATCTGAACCAACAAGAAACCCAAGCTAATGGAAATGGCCACATCGAAAATGGAACAATGCATGACTTTATAAATAAAGTGCAAGAGCTTGTCGGAGAGCCAGTAGATGGAATTAGCGATGCGAACGGTAAACCAATTGCAGTTGAAAATGGACTCAGCGATCCAGAGGTTCACCAGTAATCTAACAAACTAGAATTCACATATATAGAGACTCTCCTTCTAATTATATAGTATTTATTAATAAATATATTTATATATCTTCATGTTTTCATGTATTCATTAGGTTCATTAGATTATTAATAAGTATGTAAATTTATGTACAGTGCAATTTTATAAAAAAAGGCTTATGTTCATGTTGAAGCTATCCTCCAGGTTGAGGTGTAGACACCTTCACGGGAGTAGTATCAAAAAGAAGAAAAGGGGAGCCAATAGTTCTACTACTTATCCTTTAGTAAGTAACTCTTTTCCAACACGTTTTTAGCCTGGTTTATCTTCTGCGATATATACTGGCTACCGTGCTTATCTGGGTGATTTACTACTACTAATTTTCTATATCTATCTTTTAGCATCTTTCGATCGAATCGTAAGATGTCATCTCCTTCGATTCCTAAAATCAATAATGCTTCACGTTCTGTCATTTCGTCATCGAATCCTGACTTAGGGTAATTTTGTAGCAAAAACATATGCTGTGCTGCATCTTTATGCCTTTTACCATTAAGTATATCTCTATTGATCTGAGAGGAAGAGTGTAATGTTATGTTATTTAAACTTGCGATCATTTGGGGAGTTAAATGAAGATATTTTCTATATGCACTTATGCTGGCTTTCGCTCCAAGAGCAATGACCGTTGCTCCTATACCTACAATAATGGGCAAAACCATAGTCGTTGTTGTTTTGAAAGCAGTGGCCCGATCAACAGAACGAAGAGCTTACCTACCTGTAAGGAATCGATATATGTCATCTGCAATATACAGGCCATGAAGGTATAGAGAGTGATGTGAGACAGTGCAAGTTGGCAGATTATATACAGGCCCAAACTAGCTGCCTAATATACGGTGAGTGCTACGGTTTAGAGAATATACGGTACTTACAACTCAAAAGCTGTTAATTCACGCTTGAACTACGAAAGAGTAAGAAGAGCTTCCAAAATAGGTATATGAAAGTAAAAATGTGTTCTTCTAAATTCCTTTTGTTAGTAAAAATATTCAAGCACTAAATTCTTGGGCCACAATCAAAGTATATCTTCATGTAGGTGTTAGTTGATTTCAATTTATACCCTAAGACATTGTGTAAATGGGTAAATCATGACGATAACGCATAAAATTTTAATCATTTAATATACTTCAATGGCAAAAAACCCGTATGTACATACAATTTTAAGTGTTAAAGTGCTACTGATGAAAGAAAGAAGAAAAGTAGAAGTGAAAAATTTCACAGCTTTTTTTTTTTTTTCCTAGCAAATCGAGAGGCCCCATCAGTAGCCTTTTGAAGTGTGCCAGGCACGACCTGAAATGGTTGCAACTTTCAGGGCTCCAGAAGCTCTACTGTCGAGTGGTGAATAGAGAAGTGGCTTACAGGACTTGCAACGTCTTATGTATGTTATCTTAAGAGCCTATCATCTAGCTAATATCAACCAATCCCAATTGATTTAAGAATCTGATGCAATCAGGCTTTGTATGTTTTTAGCCCACACTCTCATCTGATCTATATTGTCTAGTTGTTCATCTTCATCTTCATCATTGTAAGTGTGATCTTCACCAGATTTCATTGGGATGGAAGAACTGAAATTCATGCCACTCATACTCGCAGAATTCGAGGCTGATTGTCCATCAACAGGAATACTGGCCCCTATGACTCTTTGTTCGAGAATAACCTGCTCTTTCTGAGTCAATTCTTCTTTTATTCGTTTAGGTATACCACTGCGAAGCAATCTCAACCAATTGTCTATCAATTTAACATGCTTTTCTTCCGAATTGAGTCTCTCAGACTGGTATATGAACTTCTCAAATGTGTTATGCCCAAACCCACCAGCTACATCAACACCAGGTTTGCCATCGTTGCTTCTATTAGAGTTATTCGAAGTACTTATTTCAAAGACGGCATTGCCACTTCTGTTATCAATTTCAGTACTGTTACGATCATGCCCTACTTCCTTTTTCTCTATGGCATCTAAACATTTCATGTTCTGGAATATTTCTGCGCCATCCAACGTGGATGATATGCAATGAAACATGCCCTCTGGCTGTATCTCTATGAAATCATCCACAAAGTCAACCTTCAAGTTGGAAAACTTTCCCAATGTTATTCCTTGAATCACCATTTGTTCTACCTCCAGCTGGCTAATGAATAACTTGTCAGACAAGTACAGCAACCTTATTCTTCTGTAGGACTTGAAAGTATTTGTAAGAATATTGAAACGCAAATGACGAAGTATCTTTGAAGAAGAGTGCTTAAAGATATGGTCATTAACAATGGGATCATCCATCTTGGTCATTACTTCCTGAAATCCTATCAAATTCAAGTCATCGTAGTATTTTATCAACTGAATGAGCAGACTATATTCAGGAAGCTGAGCATAAGTTTGTGTTTCCTGTGATTCGAATGGATTGAACTGATTCTCTGTTAGCAACGAGCAGAGTGCCAAATACTTTAAAATCTTCCTCTTCTCGGAGGAACCTGCCTCATCATAGTTTTTGAAACTCTCGTAAAGCTCTATCCTGGCTCCTTCATAGTTGCCTCTATAGAACTGTATCGTTGCACCACACTGTCTTATGATACCCATAATTCTGGGGTGAGTGACTGCTGTTGTAATCTTCATAGCCCTCTTGTAAAATCCGTTCAACTTAAGTAGGTTCTTAGCCAATTGATCGTTAGCATCTTCATCATGCGAGTACACCACAATCTCCGCAGCAATGAGCTCTAAGGAGTAGGCGTTACGAGTAAGTTCTGAAGCTGTCTGTAGATTCTCATTGATCTGTGCAATTAACTTGGTACACTCGTCCCAGTTCTTGTTTTCAAGGTATATGTTGAGCTTATGCATATTTATCTTGAGCCAAAGTCTACGACCATTCCCGTTCCCATTGCTACCACTTCCCGAAGAGGTTAAACAGCCCAATATAATGTCATAAAAGTTACTGATGAACTGCTGGTCACCGTTGGAGGAATAATTGCTCAACATTCTACTTATACTTTCCTCCACGTAGTTCTGGTTAATTTTGGGTATCACACCTACTAGCTTTCTTAGGTATACTACGGCACTATCGTAGTCATGCTCAGCTACTGAAATCTTGATCAACTGCTTGTAACACTTGAAGATCCATTCTGCATTTTCTTCGGTAGAAGGCACACTGGCCACTTCCTTTAAAGCAGATATGGCAGAATTAGGGTCATCAGCCTTTAGGCATTTTGCGTTATAGTATCTATTCTCCTAGATGAAGCGGTTAGTACAAATCATAGAGACAGAGTATACTGAAGAAATCATCCACATACCATTCCAAAATCTTGGTCGTCGTGTTGCTCATCAAGAACTTCGTCATCCTCCTCCTCCTCTTCGAACTCAAACTCGTAGGACTCCTCGGACATGTAGTTATCATCTTCGTCAGACATAGTTGATTATATGAGGATACTTGGCGGTCCAATGGCGTGCTTCTTCTGTGCTGCTCTAGGGTTGTTATCACTGCTCAAATAGAGAATGTGTAGGTACTGCATATAGGCGAGCATGAAATTGCTGCATTTATGGTGAGCAGCTCGATGGTAATGCCTAAAGGAGATATAGAACGGCTGCGTGGTATAGTGGTAGCCAAACCAACAGAGTATATACGTCTACGGAAGCGCAGAAGAAACCATCTAGGTTTAACTGGCTTTTTTCTTGTTTCCTGGAAGGTGTGTTTCCATGCTGTTGGGCTGTAGTTGTAGAGATGAGCTAAGCGAGATAGACTTAGGCTCTAGCTTGGCAGACAAGACAAAAAATGCCAGGGTTCAAATGTCAGATATGAAACAGTATCAAGTCCAGTCCCAGTGCTTTACCGTTCAGTATAGATGGTCCTAAACCAATAAACTGCATCATTTGCACCTACATCGTGTGTCACTTTAGGAACATCAGTCCAACGATCTATAACGGAAAAATAAGCTGGTATGGCGCAGTGGTAGCGCAGCAGATTGCAAATCTGTTGGTCCTTAGTTCGAATCTGAGTGCTAGCTTATTTCTTTTCTTTCCTTTATTTTTTTTTTTATTTTACCTTCACTGGTTTCTTTCCAATGAAGCTGTTACTTCGCCTTATACCCCTACGCGGCCTTAGTGTGATGTTCTTATCGTACCCACACTTGCTATTCATAGTGGGTGCAATTTGAAAATTTAAATTGAGCGAGGTGCATGAAGAGAAACACCGGTAAGGCAAATTGAACTGCACTGCACCAAGCGTGTTAGAGTAATTGGAATGAAAAAAGTGTATATTGTTAGATATCTACATAATACCACCGTCCTACACATCTCGGTTAATCTAGAATCGTTTTTATTACTTTAATATAGTAGAGAAAGTTGAACAAAGAACCTTGAAACTTATACAACTGCGTTCAATTTTTTTGTAGAATTGAAAAATGGTTTCAAAAAAGCAACTAACTGAAAAAAAAACCAATCTGGAGCCTGTGATTACTGTTTCTTGCTTTCCTTCTGGTGGGGTACCTTTTGCTAATAATAATATTATATTTTGTGAGTGTTTTATTTCTTCTTTAGTGTATCAATTGCAGGTTTCAAATGATTTCGACTTCATATAATACAAATGGCTCATAATCAGTATCTACCAATGAAGCAAACTCGTGTAAGTTACTACCATCACCCTTCTTATCGAAAGCTTGCCCTCCAAAGTATCCATACTTCTCAATTAAATCTTTCTTGGCCTTGCCGATGTTCTTCCCGGTGGTCTTATCAAATTTAATTAACAGACATTCAAACAGTGGTGGTAACCCGTATCTCAAGACACTCTCCACATAAATTCTGATAGCTTTGATGTGGAACCATGCAGAGAAAATGTCAGAGTATGCAGTTTTGGCCAATCTGAGTAAGTCGTTACGTACCTTGGATTCTGTGGCCCTGGTCAAGTCGAATTCCTTTCTCATTTCGTTCAATACTTCCTCTGAGTAAGTGAAATCTGTTCTTGGGTGCCATTTATGCTCTCTTGAAGCGTTGATGAATTCCTGCTGGTATTTGGTGAATAAAGTAACTGCATACAATGTGTATTCGTTATCAGTTGCAACCACAGTGGCGGATCTTGGTATAACAAATTCAGTCAAAGTTTCGTAAGAACTCTTGAAGTCCAGATTCAAAGTCTTAGGAACAGCAATTAAAACGGTGGACAAATGCTCAGAATTCAACACAAAATGTTCTGGCTTGACGATATCATGCAACGATTTAATAGATAAATCACCGTTCTTTTTACGATCGGCGGCAAGGTAGTTGGACTTGGCGGTTTGATAGCTGGAGTACGCAGTTCTAACGTCATTGTCAAGTGCAATGGCCTCGTTAGCAATTACACCAACTAGTTGCTTGATAGGTCTATCGAGTCTATACTTTGAACTATTCCAAGAGAACCTTTCAACATAGTTACATGCAGGTTTTCCAAGCACCAAATTAGCTGAGTTAGAAGAACCACCAGATTTGCTACTAGCAGGGTCTACGGACAGCAAGATATCGACTATTTTAGATACAGAGCCGCCCAACTGTTGGTCTAATTTAGCCAAATCTTCACTTTCTTGCACCAACGAGTCCAAAGTACCAATTTGGAAGTCGTCCAACTTGAATTTGAAAACTGGTGATAAACCCCCGTTCAAATTGGACTTGAGCCATTCTTCAGAATCGGTTGCCTCTGGAAGGGAAACAATGAGATAAGAAGCAATTGGTTCAGACATGGTTTAAATGAATACAATTATCTCAAAAGAAACGAATCGTCGCAATAAATATTTCTCTTCTCGACAAGCTGTGAGGAGGAAAGGGAGCGCTATTAACAGACTCTGTGTTCGGCTTATCGAGATTTATTAGATTGAACGAAATTGATGGTGCAGTTTGGTGCCCGCGAGGAAAAGATGCGGGTAAACGTGAGCATGGAAATTGGTGCGGTGTAGCTGAGAATTACGCAGAGATGGTATGGTAGGGAGCAGTGGGTAATGGGTCGAAGGAGAGGAGGAGAAAGAGGAAGAAGAAATTCAGGGCGACAGGGCAGAGAGCTCAAAAGCATTCTATCTAGAGCCTGTCTATCAGTTCTGATACCGTTGCTGAGCTAGGCTAATGCTGCTTGGCTTTCCAGTCAGTGAGCGCCTACCCTTCGTACTCTGGATGGCCCCAATTATTCAGTGCGGCTCAAAAAAATAGAGAGATCTACGTTAAGTGAGCACTAGCGCAGGACCAGTCTAACTCTTACCTGGCATTTTGCTGGTAAAGCTGCTGGACGATGCTTTTGAGCCAGGAACTAAAAGAGCTCAGAGTGGGAAGCTAAAGAAAGAGAGATTGGTAATGCAATGCAAAAAAAGAGAGTACAGCATCATCTGTGGCTTCTCTTTAGTCAGCGCAATTAACCTTCGTTCTCTATATGACTACGAAATACAGTATGCTATACCATATTCTCGCACCGCAGAACACCATGGACCCAACCCAACCGTACTAGCAAAGAGCCACTCCCCTACTCCCCTACTCTCCTACCCCAGCTTGACTGGCTGCAATTCCCCATCCACAGTCCTGCACACCATTCCCCTCCACCAACCTTCCCTCATCGTCCTGCATACAGCCGCGATGCTTTAGGAACTTTTTTCAGTTAAATTGCATTTGTGATTTATAACTAGCGCTATACCACCAACGGACTAGACTTAATACCAACAAACAATGAGTAAATCGTTAGAAGTATGTATAAATTTACCCTTTGATGCGAAGAGTAAGAGATGTAGATAGTACGGTGGAAAAAAAAATCGAAAAACATGGCGTGAAGAGACCCTCTTTCCCTGTGTAGTATTATTCGATTTTTTTTTTTTGAGTAGGTGAATTAATTTGAAGAAGGGTTTAATTATATAATATATGTGTTTAAGGAAAAAAGGGTTTGAAGATTGGAGTATACTGGAGTGTAATGAGTATACAGAGTATGCACGGAGTACGGCTCTTAATATAACCATCTGAAATGAAAATAAAATAATATGGATCTACTTTCTATTTTGCTTTTTTGCTTTTTGATTTCCATTTTTAAGTTGTTTCCCTTTTTTACTAACTCATATTTTCTATAGGAACGCCTCCAAACTCATTCATCTGCATTTAACGGATTGTTATCCCTTATACCAGCCAAATATTATTATGATGACGCTACTCAAGATCAATGGCAGCAGCAAAAGAAGTCCAAGAAGGAGATCCAAGACAACAAGAGAGCTAAGTTAGACCCTAGCTCTAAAGATGAAGCCGATGACTATACGAATAGCCACGCCAGTGCCAAGGACGTCATGAGTAACAAAGCAAAGAATGCCAAGAGAGTAAATTTACCGACTGCTAATAAGTTCCAGCAGCAGAAGGCTGCTGTGAGCGAAGCACAGGGCGCTGTAGTGGAAGATGGTGAAGAAGATGTCGAGATCCCAGACATGGATGTAAGCGATGGATCTGACTCCGAAAAAAACGAATCTGACGATAACCTTATGCCGGAGAAGACTCTGTTGATATTTGATGATGAAGGAAATGAAGTTGACGCAAAGGCCGATGCTGTAGCCTCGTCTGGCGCAGCTAGCTCCGAAACTCAGAAGCAAAAGAAATCTAAAGTTTCTCCAGAGGAACAAAAGAAAAGACAAGAAAACCTTGCCAAATTGAGAGCCAAGCTCTCGGATAAGATCAATAATATGAAGGAAAAGAGAAAGGCACCAGGCTCTAAAAGCTCGGGAGTGGTACCTAAGTCTAGAGAACAGATTTTAGCCGATCGTAAGAAGAAAGAAGAATTGAAGAGATTGGAGAAATTGAAGAGAAAGAGCGAAGCTATTGAAGATGACGAATCATCTGAAGATGAAGACGACGAAGATGAAGTGGACCAAGACCAAGATGAATCTAGCAGTGTACCTTCTGACGTTTTGTTTGGAAACATTGTGTTTGGAGATGGTTCAAGGGTTACTTCAGATTTAACCAAACTTCGTGCCACAGCAGACAAAAGAAAATTGAAGGGACCAGCCAACAATGATCTCAAGGCTCATTTGAAGAAATTGGAAGCAAAGAAAGCCAGACTTTTAGAGCTTACCCCTGAAGAGCAAACTAAGCAAAAGGATAAGGATCAGTGGAACAGAGTCATGGCACAAGCTGAAGGTATTAAGGTGAAAGATGATGAAAAGTTGTTGAGAAAGGCCCTCAAAAGAAAGGAAAAGCAAAAGTTGAAGAGTGAAATAGAATGGAGAGAGAGAAAGCAAGTGGTCAAAGACACTGTGGCTGCTCGTGCGAAGAGAAGAGAGGAGAATTTGAAGTCTAGAAGAGAAAACAAGGGTAAGAAGAGCAAAAACCAGCCAAAGTTGAAGAAGTTTACTGGATCCGTCAATAAATCCGCTCCAAAGAAGAAGAGAGCAGGGTTTGAAGGAAGTGCTAAGAGTCAAAAGAAGAATAGCAAGTAAACAGAGTTCAAATGAAATAAAAAAAAACGATACTGAAGCACAACCATAGCTAAATAGACCATACGAGCCAGAATTGACTACTTGAACTTAGTTACAACTACTCTTGTCACTTACCGTATGGTGAAGCGTTGCATTAACAAAAAAAAAAGAATAAATTAAAATTGCATATAAGATTATTCATTCTTTCCCTTAAGGGGAGGGAGAAAGAATAACTGAAGAATCCTAAAGTCGTCACTTGGGATCATTTTTCTTCTAAAGAATGGTTTCTAAGCTAAGTCCTTAATTGGAAATCCATAGTTATCAATATTTTACGATTCTCCAACATAATTAAAGGTAACAGAACAAGTACATTAGGTTAAATATACGTTACTAGTAAAAATACAATAAAAGGTAAAAAAAAATGGGTACTGTAGCCAATTCTTCACTCCTTCATGATATATATCTTGTAGTAGAATAGAGTCCTTTGGATTATATCGTAATCATGGGCTTAAACAGTCTGTTTCACTTTCACCGTAGCTGGTTCCCCTGAACAGGATGCGCCTCATTCCCTTTCTGGCGAAATTTCCCATGCACCTCTGCAGCCTTTTGTTTAACCCCTGCATATAGCCTAGACAGCAAATCAAGCGAGAAAAAGATACACGTTATCTCCAAAAGACCCCTGAATAAATTTCACTCTCTTCTTCTTCACCGTTCTTCGACAATAAGTACATTTCAACATGTCAATTCCAATTGCAATCCCTTCCCAAATTAAAGACTTTTTAGGTCACATCGATAAGGTATGTATATATGAGTAAACCGCTCGCAATTGTGCGGCATTAGCCAGAGAGAGGAGGCTCTGGAAATAAGAGGTCAACCGTACACACTTGCTCTCTGAACCTAGCCTAAGAGCCCACCTATTGCGAGTCACTGCATGTTTACGAGCACGTCTTACACCTTAGAAGGAAGTCACACATTTAATTTTTTAGTTTCTTTTGTTTTTCTTGCTTGAATTAATTGGCTTTTCGTGCTTATTTGCGCTTAGTCAGAAGCAGGCAGTTGCAATGTATATAGACTAGTTGTGTGTGAAATTTTTTTTCGGTTCTGGTTCGAGTTTGTCATTTCCCTTTGTTTCGATACTAACATCACAAGCACCCTGTAGCAGACTTATTCGTCTTATCAGAGTTCGAGAAACATTCCGGTTTACCGCGTTCATATGCCGTTATAGTAGCAGGAATAGTATACCTTGCTACAGTCTTTTCAAACGTTGGTGGTATTGGTGAGTTATTATCCAATATCTCTGGCTTCTTGGTTCCTGCATATTATTCGTTACATGCCTTGGGAACCAGCACCACCAAAGACGATACTCAGTTGTTAACCTACTGGGTTGTCTTTGCCTTCTTAAATGTGATCGAGTTTTGGTCACTGGCCATTTTATACTGGATCCCATTTTACTGGTTATTCAAGACTATCGGATTACTTTTCCTTGCTACTCCAAGTACTGGTGCTGCCGATTTGGTTTACACTAACATCCTCCACCCACTTGCCCACAAGCACGTGATTCCACAATTAAAGGAGGAATGATAGACCGGAGATGATGAGATTGATGATTATGGACCAACTTGAATATGGCCCTTTTCAGGTTTAAATTTTTATATAAATACATTGGGACGTTTGAGTCGTTTGGCTCTACGTGACTATACTGACAAACTCCCAATACTGTGTTTGTGTGTCAATTATATATATTCAAATTTATATATATATATATATATATATATATATGTGTGTTTGATAGTTTTCTGTGTAGAGTTGTATTTGAAATTAATACCTTTTTTAGTCATCTATAAAGTGTTTTCGAATCCAGCAAAGTCAAATGTATCCTCAATAGTTTCATTGTTTGCAACATATTTCACTTTAACTCTCAATTTTATCTTTGCACCTTCCTTCCCAACAATCTTTAAGACTTGTTTGATAGTGCTATTTGAAGCGTCTAAGTAGTCCCCACTAGTTGATGTAATTGAAAGCTTTTGGGATTTTGGAACCGCAATCAAAAGTTGAAATTGAGTAATGTGTGTACCAGGGGACTTGGCTACAATATAAGCTTCTACTACCGCTTGTCCTGCCTTAAAAGACTTTGGAGAAAATGAAACAGATATGAGTGAGGAACTGAAAGCTGGTATTGAACTGCTCGATTCAATAATCGGGTTACTTGTGGAGGTGTTGGATTGAGAAGGATTGTCAAACAAATCTAGTATATTAGCATTCCTGTTAGCAATAGAATCTGGTTTATAGTTATTGTTGTCAGCTGCAGCTGCAGAATTCTCAGGAACTGGGCCATCATCCATTAAGTCCAAAAGTAAATCATCGGTAGTAGTAGTACTGCCTGAGCCTGAACCAGATCCCGACAAACTAACCTGCTGCTTCTTTGCCAGCTTTGGGTGTAAACTCAAAGCTTCTCTTTCTTTCATGGGTGGCGCAGGCATCTTGGCCAAAAGCCCCTTCTTCAACTTTTCATTCAGAGCAAATATTTCTTGATACTCTATAGCTCTAATCTGAATTTCAATATTGTTGTCATATGATTTTGAGCTTAAGATGAGTCTAAGCTGCTCTATTGATCTTTCGTCTTGAAATTTCACCGATAACTTTAACACTGTGGTAAGTATGTAAGTAACAAGCAGCACGGTTTCCAGGTCAGTAAAGTTAGAGTTGTTAAGCAAGTCTTCGATTAGTTTCAAGATAAGTTTCTCAGTAACTGCAACAGACTTCCCATTCACTTCAATGTTACCTCCCATTATAAGTTCTCCATATTCACCAAGACACCAGATGGTGACAAGAGAGAGGCCAAACGATCCATTCTCAGTGGTCTGGTATTGCTGCTGTTGATTTTCAAGCAGTAACAGCAATACTTTTCCAACAACGTGCTTTCTCAATTCCATATCTTTACATTGCATAATAAGTGCCAAAATATTCAGAAGTATATCCATTGTGACGTAATTTCCACTGACTTTCAACATTCTAATCAACGTGTCAAAGTGCCACTTATCATTTGGAGCATATTTGTTACTAGCAATCACCAACTGCAGGGTAATATATGGCTTCAAGTCATTGTCGGTACACGCTTCCAAGAATAATAAAACTTCTCTCACCAAGAGTCTAATATTTTGTTCGTTCAAAATTGCAAAAGTCAATTCCAATGCTCTTCTTCTTATCGAGATATCGCCATCTAACAAACATCCAACAATGGTTGCTCTATGTCTCTGAACAGCCATTGGCTCTATTGAAATGACCGTCAACAAGGCATCCAAGGCAACGTATCTGATGTTGTTATCCTTTGTAGAGAGGAACTTCCCTAAAAGATTGACCCCCAAGATCTTCAACGACTGATCAGATTGTATAGCGAAAATGGTCTTTACACATTCATAAAGAATCAGGTGGCCAGCATTCTTCCCGCTGCTACTGGAACCAGCGTCAGTATTACTGCTCTCTATATTGGAAGTAACTTGGGTTAATACATCGTTAAGTTGTTCCAAGTTGGCACTTGAACAAGCCAGGTCCACTGCAAGCATCCTCAATGTTTTCAAGATAGAAACCTGCAAAAATGGATCACTTATGCCCAATACATCATAGTCAGGCATATATCCACTTGTGGCAATTCTTTTCAAATGAGCAATCAATTTGGGGATGAGTTTGACCAACGTTGGCCTCAGTTCCAAATCAACTTCATAAATAATTTGAATTAGCCTTGTGACCCCCAACAAAGTGCTATGGTGTTTATCTTCTATCAACTGGGCAACCTTTGGTAAGAAAATTTCTGCCAAATCTGGATCTTTCTCGATTAACTTGGCCGCTACAAGGCATGCTTTCTTCTTCAAGTATAAGTTGTTGGTGGTGATTATCTTGTCAACGTTTGAGTACAAGTCTCTTGCCAATTCTGGAGATGCAATATTACCCAAGCAACACAATGCCAATCCGACAATGAAAGAGTTGGGATGTTGCATGTCGTTGTCCAACGAGTTGGTCAATAAAGTCAACACTTCCTGGTTCTCGTCAAGCAAGAGCATGGTGGCTAAGTATCCCAATCTCTTGTCTGCAAATCTTGGTGACGACAACAACTTCAAACATTCAACTTGACCGAAGTGCGTCTTCTCTCCCATGATGTAGAGGTAAAGCAACTTCGAAATATTTATTCTTCTAGTCGTTTGATCTAAATTGGGGTCTCTGAACGAGGTACGAATGGAAGCAGATTCCTTACGCACCACAGATCTCTCATCTGCGATAGTTTTCGCCTTTCTCACGGCTTTTATGAACGATTTTAACGAAGCCATAGTCGCCTTAGTTCAATTGAATAACTGTCTGCGTTCTATTTAAAAAAACTGCCGTCTAGCAACTGCTTAACTGTACTACAACCGCCTGACGTGTTTGATCTGAGCTACCAACTGGATGGAGCGGTGAAATTTTGTTTTGTTTTGAATTATATGCAGAACGTATATGTGCAGGATGCGGAATGGCTGAGTGGTAGTTAGTATGGGGAGAAGTATGAAGAGAAAAGTAGGTAGAGGGGCTAGTGGTGATTTCTTTAAAGGGAGAGGTTGATCCACGAGCAAGTATAGCAAGTAAGTCAACTAGATCCCGGATACTTATTTTAGGTCACATTGTTCCATAGATTAACGTGCTCTTCAGGTAATCCTTGCTAGTATGTGTTCCGGCACACGGCGCAGCTGAAAAGATGCTGCATTTCCATGTGCAGGAATATGATCACAGTATCAGATCGCATCTACTAAGAGAAGGGAATGCATAGCTTTAAATAGCTCTTTTCAAGGCATCTGCTAGAAGTATCAAATCTGGAACGGTATGTCTTTGGAACCCGCAACTACTGCTAAAGTGGTGCTTTACACCAGTAATAAAAAACTAGAAATTGAGCTTTGGGCAAAGGAGATTCCCAGCTCATCGATGGCCTTCATCCAGAACTGTCTCAATAAAACATACACTGGCCAGACTTTCAATCGAGTGCTCAAGAATTCCTTGATACAGTCTGATTCTAAAGATCCCAAGTACTTGCTCAATCTTGAAAAACACCCAAGGCTAAAGTTTAGCAAGCGAGGGTTGGTTGGACTAGTAGCTGATGATGCTAGTAAGTGCACTGCAGATTCTTTCTTCATAACATGCAGGGACACACCGGAGCTAAACGCTAGCCATACCATTATTGGTAAGATTGCGGGAGATTCCTACTACACTGTAGTAAATATAAACGATGGTGAGATAAAGGATGGCGATTTGCCAATTCATCCTGTAGAAATAACAGACTGTGAAGTGATAGAGAAATACTTCAAGGATCTTGAGCCTCAACCACAAGAAGTTCCAGAAACTCCGAAGAAAGTAGAGCAAAAGAAACCAAAGAAGTCAAAAGTGAAATTGAACTTAGAATTCGAAGATGATGCTGAGGACGATGGGAGCTTCCAGATAAGATCGGCATTCGAAAGAAGTAAGAAAGATAAGGAAGAAAACACAAATGAATCGCATGTCAACCCTGTGACAGTAGTGAAACAGTCCGACTTACAGAATGACCAAGCAGAAAATGACCCCGTTGATGAAGAAACTAATGGGTCACATAAAACAAATGGAGCAGCTGAAATATTTCAAACTGGGATCGACGAGCAGTCTCCTGAAGTGAATGAAACCAAAGCTTCGTCCCATAAACTAACACTAGTCCGTGATCCAACGGTGGACTCAGACTTCGATCCGTACCTCGATTTATCAGCGGAAGAGGATGTAGACCCAGAACTTATATTCCAGCATACATTTAAAGCATCTACTTGAAAGGATAAAAAAAAAAAACATGCAATTTTAGGCTATATAGAACTTTTTCTAAAAATCACAATCGCTCGTGCAAAAGCAACTCTTATTTATTCAAAAAATGCTTCTGTAGCTCCATTATCATCTTCCCCATTGCCTTCGTCCTGATCAATGGAATAAGGAGAACAATACCCGGGGACATCTTCTCCATGTGTTTCAATAAACTCACCATTCACAACTTTCCCATCCAAGGTACCATAGACAGCGCAATCGTAAAACCACGGATGGTTAGAAAGAGACCCAGCGTCAACCCTGTCTTTTGTTTCAAATGTAAGACATTTTCCAATCAAATCTGCAAGTTGCGCTACATTGGGGTCATCTTTCAGGAAATGATATTTCTCGACGAGAACATTGTGCAATGGCCAGTATTTAAGGTGTGGAATCTTTCTAAAGCGAACCTCATTGTTGCCAGAAGAACTGCTGTTGGTGCTGCAACTACCATTAACACTAGACCCAATCTTGAAGAAATCCTTAGCAAAATTACACTGACTCAAGTATTCCTTGCTAGGGAAACCACCTAATAGTTCTACAATCTGTGCCATGTGGTCATCGTCTCTATCATAATGCTTGCCGTCGTGCGGATCGAATAAGTAATCACCAGTAATCAACTCAAAGATCATGCAGCCGACGGACCAAAGGTCAGTAGATGCTCCCCATTTCTTGTAACCCAATATTATTTCTGGTGATCTATATTGACGAGTTTGTATCTGATCAGTAAAGTGAGTATGCGAGAAAGTTCCATTTCCCAAATCTGCTATCTTCACAGAGATAGAATTATCATCTGTAATTGAGGACGTCATTGAGTTGTTAGATTGGTAAGATGAGTTCTTAGCATTGAGCACCGCATCTGTTGGACTGTGCATTGAAGTGTCAACCAGGTGGTTTCTCATTACGCCAAAGCTGGGTTTCATTGGAGATTCTTGCTTATATGATACATTCTTGAAGACAATATCAGTCGTTATTGAACTTGGTAATGGTTTGGAGGACCTTATTGGAGTATCTGAACCTCTTTTGGATATTTGAGATGAGACTCTCGATTTTCTATAACCACACGACGAAAATGAAGAAGAAGAAGATACATTAGATGACTTACGACCCACCGATGCCTCTTCACCTTCTTTAATGGTAGATTTGGAGGTCTTTCTTGACAAGAAGCTGGACCCACTGTTTTTCTTTTCGTTGTGCTTAGCAATTTTATCGTTTTCAATCATCTTGATCAACTTTGTTATGTCTTTAATTTCAATCAATATATTTTCAGGCTTCAAATCTGTATGAATGACACCACAGTGATGGATGTAATCTAAAGCCAAGAAGATTTGCTTCGCTATCTGTTTAACAATCAACAAAGGCAAACCACCATACGTTTTCAGTTGGTCCATCAATGCACTCAAAGACTTGATGTCAAGGGAGTGAATCTTTTCATCCATTATTTGGCTCGTTCTAGCTTGTGAAACGAGAAATTCATCCCCAATGGAAGAAGCTACTGATGATGGGGGGCAGTCCTGTTCAACAGAAGACTGAGCCGAGGTTGGAAGTGAGGTAGCTTCTGGTGAAGGGTTCAGATTACAAGTAGGACTAATATTATTATTATTGTTACTTCCACCGCTAAGTAAGCCAAGACTCAATTTTGAAATAGTCCTCTTCTTCTTGTCACCACCATTTGTACTACTTGATTGCTGTACTTGCAGTTTATCCTTTCTAGTGCCAAAGTTAAACAGTTGCAAAGTATCAAACGAAAACGCTCCAACAACACCAGTAGCTTTCTGATTTTCCTTTTTCAACTTCAACTCTTCTTTCATACTACTATAAAAGTTCTTGTATTTGCACATCAAGTTGAAGACATTCTCACCAAGAATTTCGAATACCATACAAATATGAGTCCCATTTGGACCCAATATTTCAAAGTTATCCAAAAGTTTCATTACATTTTTAAACCCTGGATGGCCGATTGGTTCGTTGTATTTGTTAAACTGAAACTTTTCGAAATATTGCTTCTGCTTGGATGTAAGATGGTCGCCATGGACAAGAGGCTGGTTGATCGTTTGAAGAAGAGAAATTTCATCTTCTGCTGCTTCAAGGTAATGCTTATTAGACTTGACGAATTTAATAGCCACGTAGTATTCAGAAGTGTCAGTATCCCCCAGTTTATCTGTTCTAGTATCTTTCTTGGCATTATACAAAGATTTGGCCAACCACACAGTGGAAAAATGGCCCCATCCTAACTTTCTTAAAATTATATACTCCCTACCAGGAAGTTCCTTTGAGTAGTATATCTCAGCTTTCGCCACTGGATGATATCCACCTTTTTTGTAGTCGTTGGCATTTTCCTCCTGGAGGGGGTCAAAATTCAAGTCTGATTCACAATCTGAAAGGTAGGCAGTGATATCTGCTTCGGACTCTGCCTCAGAGAGTACATCTTTAGCAGACGAAGCGCTCGCCTCATCGTAGGGATGTATTGGGTAAGTGGATTCAAAATCAGAATCCGTTTCTGAATGAAGCTCAGACGGTATATCTGAGTGTAAGTCAGAGTGTCCAGAACGCCCGTCGTTATCCAATTCCACACCTTCCACACCTCCCTGTGGGCTATTCACACCCTTCTTGACACTAACTCTTAGTATCTCAGTTCTATTCTTTAGTATGCTCTTCAAAGTTGATTTAGGTCTATTATTCTCCTGTCGCACTATCTCCATAGAGCTTCTATCGTCTAACAATCTTTTACCGATCGGGCTGTAATTCATAGGATTGTTATAGTTGGAGTCTTCATCCATGTGGCTGGTCATATCGGAGTTCTGTAAAGATATGCAATCTGTAGTGAAGGATGTGTAACGCTCTTGATAATTGACCAGGAGATGTGAAGGAGAGGTTACGTGCGTAACTGGATGATATTCATCTCTCTTCGAATCGAAGTCGTGATGACCATTCTTGTGATGGCCAGCAACTGCAGATGAGTCGATCTCGATGTGTGCATTAACATGGCTGGGGTTGCCATCACCGCTACAAGAGTCTATGGATTGCACTACAGTGATGTGATTTGCATTGTCAAGTATCGACGGAGGGGCCTGCGTGCTCTGGTTGTTTCCATCTGTGATAGAGGTGTTATATGGAATTGATGGTGGTTGTTCTCGAGGCTGTGAGTGCTCCTCTTGGGCCTTTCTCTCTTCGTTCTCCAAGTGCAGCAAGTAATCCTTGGTGAACTCTTCATCCTTGGTGTTCTTGACTTCGGTTTTCGCTATGGTGACATTTGGGATCTTTTTCTTAAAGAACCCTCCAAAGTTGAACTTGCTTTTCTTCAAGTCAGATTCAGTCATAATCTTTTGTTCAGGTTGATAGCTGATTAAGTCTTGTGCTTTGTTAAGCAATAACATGCCATAAGTATTGACGCAATGTAAGCAGTTGAATGTGAAAACAAATCGAGAATCACTGGAAAATATATATACGTGGTGATGGAGATATGTGTGTAGTTATATCTCTTTCTGTTCTCTTCTCTTCTCTATCTGCCCTCCAAAAACTGTGGGAAGATCAGGCACAAAATTCCTAGTGGTTCGAGCAGTAGGAGTCCCAATACGCAATCGAGCTAAAGAAAGGGAAAAACAAGAACAAAACAGAAACAAAAACTTTAAAAAATATTCTCTCACAGTACTGGAAGGTAATGGAAGATACTGATAGTAACAGTGTTAAAAAAAGTAGACGCCAGGACGAGTCGCAAATGAGTGGTGCCAATTAGTAGATCAAGCTTTTTTTTTTTTGGTATGGCGCAGAATTTTAATTAATTATTTTTTGGTATTTGGGAGGGTGTGCGTGCGGAAGAGTGTATGTAGCACTAAAGCTTGGACCGTCGGGTGGTAGGGTGGTTGGGTACCTATGTGTTTAAACGTAAGGTTGGAGAAAAGAGAAGAAGAAAGAGCGTAGAGAGGAAAAAAGGGGTCCGAAATGTAATTAAGTATTTCAAGCAACCCACTCGCTCTGGTCATAAGTCCATTAATGACAAATCATACTTTTCATCACATCGGTGCTGGGACAATCGGAAAATAAATCATGCACCGTTTACTGGTTTAACCGAGATTTTTTCTTTTTATTAGCCTTTTTTAGCTTTTGGTTTCGGATATAACTGAAGATCGAAAGTCGAGGAATACTACATTACATCATCACAATTGTGGCAGGGAGGAGCACAGTAGGTTTTTTTTTTTTTTTTTTTTTTTATCGAGCTGGAAATTTGACACATTGGACTCCTGATGTTTGCTACATGCTAGGTAACGGATTAGCTTCCTATCATCCTATTCCTTGCCCTATTTTGTATATCTCTAAAATAACCGATATGGGTTTGGAGCAGCTCGTATTTGATACAGCCCTTATTGTCGTCATTTTTCCTTTATAGTTTCATTGCTGCCTTTGCTTATTGGTCACTAGTTTCTCTGGGGTATCAATCCACTTTTCTTTTACTTTGTTGAACTGATGCCCTGGAAAATGCCTTACGGCCCCTCTGTCCCCACTATCCACTTGAAACCCAATTTTTTACACTGGCCCCCCCCGCGAGAATGACAGTGGCCGGGTGCTAAAAAATGCGGAAAATTGCAAATTGTGAGCGACTTATTTACACTAGACGACCATTCCCGCACGCGCGCGACTCCACACTAGTGGGCATTCACCATCGATTCGCGCGGCAGAAAGCAGAGCCTAAATTAGAGTTCGGATTCAGAAAAATACCACCATTGGGCAAATATAAAGCAGTGAGCGAATGTGTTCACCAAAGATTGTGATTGCAAATTGTGAACGAGAAATTTACACTACACGATTCATTCCGGTACCCGGCTCTGCTAAGTTGCATGCTGCTTGAACGCTGTTGGTACGCTGTTTGCACGCTCTTTACACATTGTGCTTAACTACCCAGAATCGACTCGCAGGGAGAAAGCAAAGCCTAAATGAAAACTGAAAAAATCAGAAATAAATTACTGAGCAAGCTAAAGCAAACATTTGTTGCTCTCTGGACAAGTATATATACCTCCAAAGATCAGCAGTGTAAAGTGAAAACTCCTGGTTGCGATACTCTCCTTGGTGATATGACGACCTCCCTCGTTACCTTAGCTGTGTCACACGCCTTCAACTCTATATATATTCTGTGCTCATTTCCTTACTTTCACCCAGCGCCCATCCCGCCGTGAGACTCGTAAATTTTTGTTCTCCCGTAAAATATTTCCCATAAAAGAAATGGAAACTACAATAGAAACAGTCGTCTTAACAATTGATCAGTAGAGGCATAATTTCATTGCAATTATTACTGAATGTAGGCATCCGTCCGTCAAGCTCCCTTCCTCCTGGCTGGTACCCTGTACTATTGTATCTTACCTATCTTTACTCTTTTTCTTTTTTTTTTTTTGCAATACAGTTTAACCACTGGCACTGAATTTAAGCTGTAACCTTAATTTTGCCCAACATTTGGAATTTAAGAACATCTACCTTGATTGAACAATCTATGTGATCTGAGTATCAAGGCGCTATCAGCACATACCAAATTCACCTGATAAAATAGTCTTGCCCGACCTGATCGATTTTGACTTTCTAAGAATGGTCAATTTTTAGTACATCAGGTACACTTCCACATGATTTTGAACAATGTGGAGAAGTAAGGTATGGAAGGAATTTGTTGGGCGCAGAAACAGGTTGATGCCTAAAGGTATATGATAAGTGCAGATCGTACAGCAAGAGAAAAAAAAATATTGCTATCCAAGAAAGCATATACTTGCTAAAGGAAAGATAGATCTAATTGTTCTTTTGAAAAGGGAAAACTTATACTCGACATTTATAAAGTACTGGCCAGAATGTTGTCTCAGGGACCTAATATAGGGTGTATGTATATCTAAAGTTGCTACTGGTAGTATGATAGTAGAGATGGATGAGTAGGAGTCACAGAATGCGACATCGGCAAATACGCAATCTCGAAAGTTAATTCCAGAGTGAGTCTCCTGAATGGGCTCGTTGCTTTAGTTAACTCTAGTCTCATGATGTCTGGCTCAAGGATTCTTGAATAAGCTTGAACCAAGTACACATTCCATGATAATTCGTAAACGCTTCTTGACCCTCTCCACAATTTGTACTTCTTCTCATAGCATTCGCTCTCTTATTCTTTTATGATGGCTGCGAGCATCTACTAACTGTACAGTTGACGTAAACATTCTTGAAAACTATTCGGAAGATCCAAACATTGAGTTATCTTTCCCGTTACCAACGGATAAGGATACATATGTAGACTTGGAGGCCAATGAGAAGGTAGCCAACACTTGGTCAATTCTCCAGAACTTCATTAAATTCACCACTGGTGTGGACTGGGACAGTATCTACCACCCCAATGAGTACACTTATTCTATCAATAAGTACTCAAGTGCATTTAACACGAAGATGGCAAACTACATGAAGGACAGATTAGAGAACTCCGACGAAAAGCTCGACGAGTGTGTAGACTCTTTGGTGAACCAGGAGATCAGATTGAATTTAATTCAAGGTAAGGATTATGTAAGGCGGTTCAAAGAAGTTAAGGAATTCATGGTTAAGTATTACACCCAGGAGAATGAGAAGAACTTGCCTAAGTTTATGACTAGATCTTACATGAGAGTATGTTACTTGACAATTATGTCCCTTATGAAGAAGATGTTTCCCAACGGGATTTGGTGTAGTAGAGAAGAATTCTCAAAGTTGCACCAAAAATATTTGGAAAACCCCATGTCAATCATATTCTTGCCAAACCATCAATCGCATATTGATTATATAATTTTGCATTTAGTCGCCATTAGATTCCAATTATCGACCCCAACTGTCATCGCTGGTGAAAATTTGAACGTTGCTGTCTTTGGATCTATCTTGAAAGGTTTGGGTGCCATTTTCATCAAAAGGTCTTTCAATAATGAAATGTACACTGAGAGAAACTTGGCCAATTTTATCGAATTTACCTTGTTGAACAAGATTCATTTCGAAGTGTTTATTGAAGGTACTAGATCAAGAGACGGGAAATTGCTTCTTCCTAAGTACGGAATTTTGAAGACTTTGGCTAATATCTACATTAAACAAAGAGAGGAAGAAGGTAATGACAACTTTGATATGTTGATGCTCCCAGTCTCCATTAGTTATGAAAGGATTTATGAAGCTGATGGATATTTAAGTGAATTGATGGGAAAGGATAAAGTAAAGGAATCCGGTGCCACTATTTTCAAAAATGGTCTTCGCCATTTCTTTGGTGGCAGCGAAGGATTAAGCAATATCAACGAAGATTATGACAATTCTACTAGACATTTGCATGGAAAAATATACATTAAGCTCGGAAACTTTTTCAGTCTTTCGGACTTCATCGAACTGGATTTGAAATCTGCTTCTGATATGGACTTAATCCCCGGTAGCAAGGTTAACTTAAAGAAATTGGGTTACAAAGTGTTGCATGAGATCAATAGATGCTCCTTTCTTCCAAAGATTTCTATCATTGGAGCGGCAATACAGACCCATTATAATTTGTATAAACGCCAAAGATTTGATATTTATCAACTTGTTCCAATTATGAGATTACTTATCGAAGCATTTAAGGAGGAAGAGAGCGAGAACATTATTAATATGTCGCTATTAGAAAGTTTATCCAGTAGCCTGGATAAGGAATTGGTGGAAATGACCAGGGAACAAATGCCACACTTCCTCAGAGAAATCAAAGTTAATTTGAAGACTAATGAAATCATAATTAAAGATTCAATGGAATTGTTGTACTACAAGAATCTCACAGTTCATGTTATAGTTCATAAAGCCCTTGCTAGTTTTATTTTACTCAGTTTGACGGACAATATGAGGAATGCAAATATTCTCCACAAGATGTTTTACATCTTTACCGGATTCTTAAAGCACGAGTTCCTTTTCGACTATGACTATAATGACAAACACAAATTATCTAATATTTTGAAAAGTTTGGTTGCGAATGGCAAGATAGAAAGGGTATTCCCTAACCCTAATCTGCTGCGTCCTTCTTATAAAATTATTGATTACCATTATCTTAACTGCTTTTCAGAAATCATTAAGCCATTCATAGAATCATATCTGATTTGCATATACCATTTGAACAATATTATTACTAAATTCAACGAGGAGCATGGCTTTGTCGATTTCAAGAAATTGGCTATTGATGATACAGGAATTGACTATCCACATACAAAATCCCTCTTTAAAGCAATCCAGTCAAACCAGGATTCTAAGAGCCTTAATCACATTGAAAGTACTAACAAGCAATACTTAATGTCGTGTTTGTATTACATCAATAACTTGCAATTGATAGAAATCATCAAGAATAAGAGAAGAACTAAGGCATTTGTGTTGATATCAAATGGGAAGGATTTACATTTCATCTACACATTCTTAAACACCCTTTTAAGATGTAGCACACAGCTTGGGGCAGGAGACGACAATGACACTATCAATGAAATATCTGTTGGTTATATGATTGACATTATTGACAAGAACTTTGAAAGAGATCCTGAGGAATTGGTTACTTCGACAGAGAATTTTGAATCGGGCAAGCTTGTTGATGTTAGTTTAAAGAGCAAGTTTTGAGTAACTGTTTCAATCATATATAGTTCGTTTTTAACTCTTTATAATTTTGCATTTAATAAATACTTTTTTGATGGCGCTTTGACAACTGAGTTACCTGTAGACTTGGCTGGAGAATCCAGGATTTTCTGCCTAATACGGCAAAAGTAAGTGTGTCTAGAAAGTATCTAGCAGGTTAACAGGATAGTAGGCTACGAAGCTAGGCGCAGAGAGAAGAAATTAAGCGCTCTCGCCTAGATTTTCGTCCGCAGGACGCAGTTACTACACTGAACGAATTCCAAGAGATATTTGACGTCTCAACCAGACCTATCTTGGTGTAGATCTTGATCAAATTTTACGGAAGGTTGTTGCCTTAAGGACACACTTTGCATTGAAATGCTTCAACTACGGAAAAAATACTGTAATATTATATAGCACAATTATGTTGTAGTCTCGTAAATGTGAAATGCTCCACATGCCGATGACGCCGTGAACATCTACGTGTTTTCGTTACTTGAAGTAAATATTTACATACGCCAAACGCGACTGAGTAATGGAGTTAGTCATCGGACATAGTAGAAGAAGAAGAAGCAGAGAGACGTCATGAGAAGACAGACTTAGCGAGAGCAGCAAGAAAATATCAAGAAAAAGACTTTCCGTTTTTCTTTCCAGTAAGCTCGCCAGACTGTTGCACCTTCCCACTCCAGCAGATTAAGCTTTTAGGGTCCCTAAGGGCTGCTTCGACCTAGAGTTGACACACCGAAATCCAGTAGAGCCTTGCCTGCATACAGCATAAGAGAAAAAAAAAGAAATAAAAATAAATATTCGTCGCTCTAATCGTAACTAGCCGACGCCCCTATTCCGTTTTAGTAACGCACGACAACAGCTGTCTTCCAGCAGCGAGCGCTAGCACAGTAGCGCGCACTGTGCAACCACTTACATACTCACTCACTAGGTACAGTAGGCTAAGCTCACACACCAATGGAGGCTCATACTAGCCATTGCTTTACAAGGAAGCAACCAATAGTCGACCACTAGTCAACCACACGACCGGAGCTAACTGTAGACACTAAATTTAGCAACAGTACCACACCATTGCTGTGGTCCCCGCCCCCTCGATGGTACTGGTTCTCTTCTCTTCAATCCCTCAGCCTTCTCTGACTTTTTTTTTCTGCACTGCGTATTTCAGCGTTATCATTTTTTGACGTCATTCATCTTCCCCTATATTCTTCTTCTTTAGAGTTGCTGCTTACTGGGAACAAAGTTTGGATTTCTTTTTTTTTTTTTTTTCCTTTTTTCGCTATTCTCTTCCTGGCATCGCCCCATAGTAATAAGTGACTGTAGGCTAAAAAAATAACAGCAAAAAAACGGGCTATTCTTATATTATAAGTCAGTTGGCACTTGATTCCTAAAAGTATTTCCTTGCAGCCTCTTTCTGGAGATACAAAACTATCGCAAAGTAGAAGACTTCTAGCTAACACTCCAACCGTTTGACGTTTGTTTTTCTTAGTTCCTTACCCGCTGAAATAAGAAAGTTTACGTCTTGCACACAGGCACACACTTTCCCCTATTAGCTAGACCTGCTATAAACTATTGATCTGCTGAGACTGTTGTTGTCTTTCATCTTTTCAAATAGGAACAAACAGTATACACGCCTCACCCGAATCACTTCAGGCATTACCATCCACCAATCGAACACTGAACTGCACTCTATCGGTTCCTCCCTTAGACACGAACCTCGGCCGCTCCCTTCCCCCATAAAGACAGGCGCCGAATTTTTCAAGCCAAAACAAACAATTAAAAAATAGGAGTACCTCCTTGAACACTTTTATAACGCATTTGTAGGTGTACAACATGAGGAAAGAGGTCAAGTATATCATTGGAGCGCATGTAGCGCTAGTGTTGTTTCTCGTTTGGCAAACGTTTGACTTAATCACTTTGCTCAATGACGACTCGTTCTCTGATGCGTTGCTCGATGGAGATTTAAACCCTCCTAACGGAGTCTTGGAGAAGCCTGCTATTATCCCCAAGATTATTCATCAAACTTACAAGACTGAAAAGATTCCGGAAGCTTGGCAACCTGGCCAACAAGCGTGTATTGATTTACACCCTGACTACAAGTACATCTTATGGACCGACGACATGGCCAGAGAATTCATTCTGGAAGAGTACCCATGGTTCTTGAAAACCTGGGACGGATACAAGTACCCAATTGAGAGAGCAGATGCCATCCGTTACTTTGCCCTTGTTTACTATGGTGGTGTTTACATCGACTTGGACGACGGATGCGAACGTAGATTAGACCCATTACTTACTGTGCCGGCATTCGTCAGGAAAACCATCCCCACAGGGATCTCGAACGACGTTATGGGTTCTGTTCCTAGACATCCTTTCTTCTTGAAGGTGTTGGATTCATTAGAACGTTATGACAGGAACTGGCTTGTTCCTTACATCACCATTATGTATTCGACTGGTCCACTTTTCCTCTCTGTCATTTGGAAACAATATAAGAGATGGGGAGTTCCAGAATCTGGTAAAGTTAGGATTTTACTTCCTCGTGATTACAAGACTCACACTTACTCCTTTTTTGCAATTGCTCCAGGTTCGCTGTGGCACATGGACGATGCCAAATTTATCAAGTCTTTGGCCAATCACATTGCGTTGGCAGTCTTCTGTGGATTTGTCATTGCCGCTTTGGTTTTTTACTTAGAGTACTTGTTCTACTCATTCGTGATTTCGAGCCATGCTAAGAAATTGGGTAGGAAGTTGAGATCATTTGCATGCTTCTGGAATTGGCAGTTGATTAGGTCCACCACAAATGCAACCATAAAGAGGAGATCAAGAAAGGACTCCAACTTACCTGTTCAAATTGATTTAGAGAAGATTGAAAATGAACAAGAGGTTCCTTTAAGCGTAGGTGAAATCGTTTAAACCAACTAATGCTATCGCATAACCAAAATAAAAGAAATGAAAACGACACACCCTCCCTCACAGCTATGTGCAACCTATATGACCTAAAGAAAGGGGCATGTTTTACGAGCCATATGATAACAAACATTTAATATTAATAGACACACTTTGTACTATAGAAAGGGCCCACATAGGCTCTCAACACTCATTTAAATAAATAATGTCAATAATAAATAAATATACAATAATCAATAATCAATAAGAACTACTGTTACTTGTAAGATACTTCTATTTCTGCTACACCTTCAACTTGTACCTCTTGTATGCCTCTATTCATTTCTATGTAAACTTTTTTAACTCCCTCTATCTACTATTTTCAGCTTGTAACATCTTCAAGTTCAATTTCTTGTATCTTTCTTGCTCATCCTTCTTCAAGAGATCCTTCACCATATCGGTAAGCTCCTCAGCAATCAAAAGAGCCCTGCTGCTCAAGTCCATCAACATCGTAGCATCAATAGGTAACCCTCCGCTCTTCAGTATCTGAATAAGCTCTCTGTTCTTGTTTATAGTAATCACAAGGGTACCATCTCTAAGAAGCTCCTCTTGCTGGGTGCAATCTATTATGGAGATCTCTTCGTTTAAATCTCCCTTGATGTTCTCCTCTACCGCTCCAGGGTTAAAGAATGAGAAGGAAACGCAAATGGGGACATGGAGAATGGAGAGAGCCACTGGTTGTCTCTCATCCAACAGATGAATGATTATATCCTCTCCATTTACAGAAATATCTGGTTTCTTGAAGTGCTGCAAGGCAGTCATAACTCCCAAACAAGCACTGTCAATGAGCCCACCATCGAAGTTCAAGAAATGTATGTCAGCTCTGATCAGCCATACTTTGCTACCTGCTACTATACACAAAGACTCCAAATCAAGAGCATTGGACCTACGAATAGCCTTTTCAATCAATCTGGATATCAATACTTCGTCATCTGTGTTCTTTCCGTTTTCAAAGTGTGGAGATGCCATTGGTGAAATTTCTGTGTTTATCGTGAACAAGCCTTCAAAAGGTCTGTCCTCGTACGGTTGCAATATCTCAGCGGAGATTCGTACGGCCAACTTGGTGAGGCCCCACTCTATTTCAACAAACCCATAAAGATCAGGAGATAGCGATATGATGGGTTTTCTCGACTCAAGAAGAGATCTGCCGTCTGTTCTGATGCCTAGTTTCAATGCCTCTCTGACAAAGTGCTCCTGGTTTGTGGAAATATCTATATCTTTACCCATTTTTTAAAAGATGTATATAGAGCCGCTATTTTTATTCGCAGCTATTATTCTCAGGTATAAATACTTTGTATATCTGCTACTAAAAGGTTGAAAATACTTTCTTTTGTGTGTGTTTCATCTGCCTCTTTACTCACTGTTCTTCTGTTAGCTCAACTCATCGATTCAGCGGAAGTGAAAATTGATGTTCCTGTATATAGCACTATATGAAAATGTATGTGCAGTACATACATATGGGTTGCAATCCCATGGATTTATGAACGATGCTATCCGGTCTAAACCTGGCCGCATTCCTTCTTAAGATATCTTATTGGGTCTATTAATACTAAACGGTACAGTTTGTGAGTGATTTGATCGAAGTATTGGATCAAAATTAAAAGGATACTTACTAATTTTTGACTAAACATCAATTTATGTATGTTAAGAGTATGTGCTTCATCCTACATGATCAAATATAGAAATACCACGGTTACAGGTGTCCATACAGAACGCTTGAACGCATACTGTGGTTAATTGTGGCAAGGAAGTTGAGAAAATATTCTTTCATGTTTCTCCACGCAAGTAAAGGAAGAATAACGCCGAATTTTACTTCCAACAATTTACTCTCTTAGCTCTTTCGCTTCCTGACGAAAGCGTTCAAACCAACTGTAATTCTCTTGATTGAGGTAGAGGCTCTTTTTACCCTAAGTATGATGCTTATTTTAAGGAGTTTTGCTATTTTAGAGACTCACTAAGAATATTGGCTTATTGGCTGGCTTGGCAATCGAGAACACTCAGAACATAAGCTTACTAGCAAGTTTGACAATCGACCCTGCGTTTATCTTAAACGAATTCATTCAGAAGTTACGCAGATGGCAATGACAACTGGAAACAAAGAGCGATAAGATGATCAATGATCATTATCGCCAACTCTCTATTATTTCTGATTTAGATAAGATAAGAAAATGGAGCAGGTAACGAAAAATTCCAAACTCCCTTGGCTAACCGCCTATTGACGAAATCGCAACCAGGTGTCTTAAAGAGATGTACCGATTATTGCCAATCAAGATAAGGCATGAAATACAGTATTTACGTATCTGCAAGATTGAAGAGGAATTCCCTGCTTATCTTCATCCAATATCATGCCTCAGGGATTTGGCAGAATGAAATACAGCAACGGAAAACTGTTACACCATTTTTAGAAGTCGTACATCCGTGCCATTTAGTTTTAGGGGAAACAATTCTGAATCCCACCCAAATTTACTATTTTCAATTTAAGCATGGCTAAATGGTTTTGATTGCACTATGAAATACCCTTTTGTAAGGCACTTGATACTTCGACTAAACTGTCGTAAAATTGCTAGGTAGAAGCCGAGTCTAGCACCTTTGGTATTTAATAATTCCTACTATACCACATATTGTTCCAGTTTCCCTCTATCATATCTCAATTTTATGCTCCCTTACCTTATCTTCGAGCCATAGAGCGTTAAAAAGTAACTGCAAGTGTTTGACATATGCAGTAGAATCCAAGAGTGATTGCGCCAATTATCAGTAGATATTAGAAGAGATGCATGCTGCTATACTTAGGCGTTCCCATACTTTGTCTAGTATGATCATTGCCGTATTAATAGACTAGCGATTCCATGCTCTGGGTGATCCGTGACGAAAACTTAATTGGATATCAAGATTAATCATGTCTAACTTGAAAGCTATTACCAGTATAGGATCCGTTGTTCTCTCTGAGAACGGGAATGTCTTCGAAAAGTGGGCAAATGAAAAAGATTCAGGTGAGGATTTCCATCATGTTCCTTTGGAAGAGTTTTTGTTCGAGGCAAGAGTCCAGAGAGAATTGGAAAAGTCTGAAGATTGGGGAGAAGCTGCTGCAACTGTTCCCTTAATGGAATTAATTAAAGTCAATTTTTTTGGCTTCACTCCTAGAAACACCACTCCGAAACTATCACCAAAGGAGAAAAGCTCCGATGTCGTATCGGAACAAGAATTATGTTCTGAGTCTGCTACAGATAGTCCTCCGCTGGAAGTTGAAGTTGCAAATAGAATGGCTAGAACCGCTTCCTGGGGTTCTGTATTCTACTTGATTACGACTGATATTCTCGGTCCGCAGAATGCGCCATATGCAATTGCACAATTGGGATATGTTCCTGGGAGTTTATTATACTTTCTCTTTGGTATAGTGGCTGCTTATACCGGATATCTTTTGTGGGTTCAATTTATTGCTCTTGACTCACATAAGTATCCCTTGAGAAGCTTTGGAGATGTTGTGGGTCGTATATATGGTAGGGAAGCAAGGTATGTTGTGGATGTATTCCAAGTAGTTCAATTAATATTCAATGTCGCTATTATTATTCTTGGAAATGGACAAGGCTTATCGCAAATGGCAAAAGGTAGAAGTTGCTATACTATCTTGATATTTGTTTGGGCAATTGCAGGTGCAATAGTTGGTCAAATTAAGTCATTACAAAAATTTGGCTTTTTGGCTAATTTAGCTATTTGGATTAACGTTTTCATCATTATTGTAACTATTGTATGTGCCGCCAAGGAGCCTCCAAATTATATATTAGCTCAGCACTCTGGGATTGCAATCGGTCCGGTAGTCACAAAAGTGATCAAGAGTGGGGCGGGTGAGGTAGCTTTCACTGGTCAATTGGGTGCCTGTATGAATATCATTTATGCTTATGGGGGAGCTATGGTATTCATAGAATTTATGTCCGAAATGAAAAGACCATGGGATTTCATTAAGGGTATGGCATGTGCCCAGACATTTATATTCGTTGTCTACTTAGTATTCGGATTGCTCGTTTATCATTATCAAGGTCAATTTGTATCTAACCCTGCAAATCAAGGAATCAGTAGCTATGTTTGGCAAACTATAACTAATTCATTTAGTTTAGTTTCATCTCTTATTGCGGGAGGACTTTATGGAAATGTAGGGATGAAGGTGTTCTACGTGGCTTTTATTCAAAAACTTTTCCATACTCCAGATCTTGATTCTAAAGTTGGAAGGTTTATCTGGATTGGGCTCGTTATTATTTACTGGGCCATAGCTTTCATCATTGCAGCAGCAATTCCTCAATTTTCCTCCTTGACCAGTCTTATTAGTGCGATCTGTATTTTACAGTTTACATACACCTTCCCTCCCATCATGCAATTTGGTTTGGATATTCAAGTTGGTGCGCTCGATGGTGATGGACCCTATGATCCCATCAAGAAGATTACTAACAGGGTGGATTCCTGGAGAAACCTTTCCAGATGGACACGAGGATACAAGAAACACTGGTTCAGAAACACTTGTAACCTTATCCTCTTTTTGGCTTCGTTAGCTACTGCTGGCCTTGGTCTCTATTCTAGTGGTGAGCTGCTTGCTGCCGCCTATAGATCTGGTGCTGTTACATCTTTCACCTGTCATTCAACAGTGGCATGAATATGCCCTCTGCCATATTTAGAATTGTAAACCTCTTTTTGTGCAATACATATTTCATGTCATTAAGGTGCAATTGCTTTTTCTCGATGAAGATTGTAAACAACGTAGCACTGAACTCCTCCATTTGCAGCCATTGAGCTTCTTCTTTGGAACAATAACTGGTCCCGGTTGGCAGACTGCATATAAACCCTCTCGAATTCACGAGCGCTTTGAGTTTTTGGAAATTTCAAGCGTTTCCAAAATTCGCCACTACTGAAAGAAAGACATTACTTCTTTGCACTCTAAGTTGCATTATATTGGTTTAAGTTGTGTAATCTGAGTATACAATATGTTGAAGAGATATTTGGCTACACTGAGACCAGAACTACAAGCATTTGCTGGCAGAATGGCCGGAGTTAGAGCAATATCTCCGTTGACGTTAAATGCTGTTCGTTCTTTCAGTAACAACTCCACTGCCCCATCTCTTTCGTTCTTCCAGAGGGAAAGACTTCCAGCTAACACTGTAATCAGATTTGTCCCTCAGCAAACAGCATGGATTGTGGAAAGAATGGGGAAATTTAACAGGATATTGCCACCAGGTATAGCATTTCTTATCCCAGTGCTTGATAAGATTACCTACGTTCAATCGTTGAAGGAAAATGCCGTGGAAATCCCTTCGCAGAATGCTATCACAGCCGACAACGTGTCTCTTGAACTAGATGGGATCCTTTACATTAGAGTCATTGACCCATATAAGGCATCTTATGGAGTTCAAGATTTCCAATTCGCCATTTCCCAGTTGGCACAGACCACCATGAGATCCGAAATTGGTTCAATGACCCTTGACGCTGTATTGAAAGAAAGACAGCAGTTGAACCAGAATATAAATAGAGCCATCAATGAGGCAGCACGTGAACATTGGGGTGTTGAATGTCTCAGATACGAGATTAGAGATATTCACCCACCTCAGAACGTCTTGGACGCAATGCACAGACAAGTCTCTGCTGAACGTTCCAAAAGAGCAGAAATCTTAGAATCTGAAGGTACCAGACAGTCTAGGATCAATATCGCTGAGGGTGAAAAGCAGTCTGTGATTTTGCAGTCTGAAGCTCAAAGAGAACAGCAGATTAACGCTGCTCAAGGTGAAGCTCAGCTGATCTTACTTAAAGCTGATGCCACTGCTTTAGGATTGGCTAAAGTGGCACAAGCTATCAAAGAGACGCCAGGTGGTGACAAGGCTGTCTCGTTGCAAGTGGCACAAGAGTATGTCAAAGAGTTTGGTAAATTGGCCAAGGAATCCAATACTGTCGTCATCCCATCCAACTTGGGAGACATGGGTAATTGGATGGCCAGTGGGTTGTCTATCTACGAAAACTTGAACAAGACAATCACCAAGAAGTAAGTTAGTTCAGCTGAGTAGAAAACATCAAAACCCTATAGTTATTGAAGAGAGGAATCCTTAGTCCTTAATCCTGTTAATAGTATTTGTATGTTATATATATGTATATGTATATACAACGATCTAATGCCCTAAAATATTGTCTAATTATCATGTATCTTTCGTTTCAACGGCCAATGCCCGCTAGCCAGTTCTACTTAACAATTCATCTTCTATCTTATGTTGCCTTTTTGAAAAATCCATCCAATGCACCCTTACCCACTGCAACTTTCTTGACCGGTTTCTTCTTCGGATCTGGCTTCTTCTTGCCCTTGCTATTAGCAGATGCCTTTGCTGATGATTCTGCAATGTCGTTCATGTTCTGTTCAACCATGGCCAAGTCCTTCTTCTTCTGTTCTAATTCCTTCAAATGTAAGTCGTACTTGGAGAAATCGGAAGACTGCGTCTTCAAGTACTCATCTAAAACGGAAGGTAAGCAGTACGAGCCAAGTACCAAGTCGACTACATGCTTTTCCACTGCTAGCCTCAAGATTTCTTCAGGGATAGAGGTTTGGTCCTGGTTTCTTTCATAAAGTTTTGATTTTATATGCTGAAGGAACTGGGTTTGACTACTTGGAGCCAGCTTGAGATCGGAAGAGAGAAAATGCTCTACCAATTTTGCAACTTTACTCTTTAAGAATGTCATGGTCACTGGCATCGAGAATTTATAGAAGGTTTCGCCATTTTCCACGATTGTATCACAAATTAGCGGAAGGCAATCCAAATATAAAGACTGTGGTAATTCCTGAACCCACGGATCGTCATATAACCCGGATAAAGTATCGATAAAGTCTTCAATTGTGATGAACCTCTTGCTGAAGGTTGCAGCATGGGTGCAAAATATCGAAGCGAGCAAATATGCAGGATTGAAGATAGAACTCACTACGAGGTTGGGTGATTGAAGTATGTACCCACCAGATACCACAGTAGACGAAAGCTTGGTTTCCTTTTGAGCGCTAGTCTCTATTATCCACGATTTCACTGAATCGGAGCTCTTTGGTAGCAGAATATTGTTGCTGGAGTAAGGGTTAATCCCATTCACTTCTCTTAGCTCGAAGATCTTATACGCACTGTCATCTTCAGTAAACAAATATGACTTTTTGGTTGACAATTCTGCAGGGTTTGGAAGGTTTATGATCTTGAAAGTGGAATACTGATCTGGAAGGACGATGATTTTCGTCTGGCTATCAACAGTCATATCTTTTAACGGATCTACTAGGCGGAAAGAGACATACCTAGAGAGAGTACAAGCGAGTGTAGAAACGCGTCAACTATTTTCTTTTCCAGGCTCTGTGAGTTTTCGCATTTCTCGATGCGTTTGCCGAGAACATGCATGAGAGCTTTTCGCAGCCATCAGGATGAGTATAGAAGTTAGGTATGGGCCATCCGATTGATGGTATATGGGCATACAACATTAGTGTAAGCTATTCAGATGATTGTATGTGAGTATGGAAAGGGATGATTACATGTGAGTATAAAATAGAGGCACGCGCAGTAAGAAGATGAGAGGCTTTTCGCAGCCATTTCTACATGGATAGTCAATAAATAAATAAATAATGCTAGTGATAGCTAAGAAATATGTACCTAGAAGCTGAATTGCTTCAGTTTTGCAAGTTATAGCCCAACCCAGCTGTTAATTGTATCCTTTACGCTGACAATAGCAGCCATGATAACCATAATTGTTCCAAACACACTAAATGCTAATGAACTCATCAGTGCAGCCCTGGGATCGACATTTAATAAATGGGCAGTTGCAATGGCCCCACAGTTTATGCCTAGACTAACCCCTCTGGTAACATAGTCGTTTTTCGGTACCCTTAAGAACTTAAATAGTTGATCGCCCACAAGTACTCCACAGATCCCACTCAAAATAGTACAGCAAGCCATAAGTGAGACTGAGCCGTCCAATGAGGTGATCAAAGGAGTACCGAGAGCTAAAGTCACTGACCTTCCGATGAACCCTATCGCTCTGGTGGGTGCTATTCCGATGTGGTAGCAAAATAATGGATAGCAAAAGAATGTTAATGCAATGGAAACCAATAGTGGTGGCATTAGGACCCAAAAATTTCTAGTAAAGTCCTTTCTATGAGTAAACATGGGTAACAGCAATGAAACAATAGAAATATCCATTAATGATGATAAAACATCTCCACATCCTGGCCACTTTGGTGTTCCAGTACGATCATCTTCTGGTAATTCATTAATGCCCACTAGGTTTCCACTTTCGGCCAACACTTTGTCATTGAATAAGTTTAAGTAATTCTTTCCAGTTTTATAGTACTTCAAATCGTCAATAAAACCCTTTGGCTGTCCTTTGTGATATATCAATGAACCTATGAAGAGAACGAACAAAATTTCTGCAGTCAGAATTAATATAGGGTGGGCAATTTTCTTCAAAGCGGGAAACTTTTGTGGGATAAGCAAGGCAATATAAAAAGAGATGATTGTAACACCCAAATGGTAGGGGAGGAAAGTGTGAATGGAAGTTATATAGTATAATGGCAACGACACTATGAAAAGGACCGTGTAAAGAATCCAATCAATATAATTTGTTAGGAAGATCGTAAGCCTTTGAGTATTAGGAGAAAGGCTATTCATGATCGATTCTTTGGTAGTCTCGCTCTTTGTAGTCGTTAAAGAGGGGGGAATTGATTGGGATTCCTCATCGTCTGGACTTTCATCTCCAGATATAGGCGTTAATGTCCCAGTTGGTGCATTTGAAGAAGCCATAGTAGATGGGAGTATAGAAGTACGACCATCTCTTAAATATACCTTCTCAGGTTGAGAAATAATGTCTGAATCGAATGGATTCTCAGAGCTTAACCTCCTTTCAGAATTTTCCTCAGCATTGGAAGCTTCAATCGTTTTGTTCAATTCAATCGTTGTGATATCATCCCTCATGCTGGTGAAGACTCCACCTCTAGTTTCAGGTTCTTGGCTTACTTCAATGTCTTCCTGCAAGCTCAGTTTAGAAATATCTTTTAATTCGATTGAATGAGCCAGATGCAGACTAGTGCCTTCATTATCGTACTTTAATAATCCAAAATTTCTCAACAACCATTGCAAGCCCAATATCATATAAACGTCAACACAGAATAACAACAAGAATCCAAAGAGAAACACCCCCGCAATTTTCAAACACTCAATGAAAGTAATTGCATCAGAGAGTGGTAAAATGATAAATGAAGGTATAAAGAAGACATTGATCCATTTCAATGTAAAGTTCATTGGTGGTTTGATAATCCTCAAATAGTTATCAAAGATAAAATTAGAAGTTGATGCAATCTTGCCAGTCCATTTATTCTTGTCGGTGTTTAAGCTCGCCAAAATGTTAAGTATACATAATAATACCAAGTTTATTAACATTCCCAACACAGAACTCGGGAAAGTAATTTTTATTGTCTGTGTGAGGAACACATTCAATCCATACAATATTGTGAAGATTATGATGAGTCCTACCGGAATTAAACAGTACGAATTAAAGAGATGGGCTCTTGAGAAGTACAACCCATACTTAATCCCTGAGCAGCATTCCGAGAATGTGAGCGACTTAATGAATGTATGAAGGCTAGTATCAGTCATCTATCTATTGCCAGGGAGGGAGAAGGAGGAAAGAGAGAAGCAACTGTTGTGCAGCGTTTCTCTTGATAACCTTAACTCCAAGGTAGGCCACTCGGATCGTGAGAAAATGTGGGGGAGTCATTTTCTGAGAAAGCCGAGCGATGCTCAGTTCCAGAGTCATCAACAGTGTTTCCCTTATTTCGACTCAGGCTCTCACATTTTAAGATAGCGAAGACGTCGAGCAGTTCGGTTATGCTACAAGTATGAAAAATACGGTTAAAGATCTAATGCAAAACCAATTTGGTGTGATATCTGCCCAAATAGCAGAAGAGCAATTTGCACCAAATCGGCCATACTGTGAAAAGTTTACCTTTTTCGCACACGATAAACTATGGCATTTTAGGACAACGGTTGGGACCATTCTGGCGATAGGCTTAACACTTTAAAAGAGGTTAGGAATACGGAAATGGGACCTTGAACTAGTGCAGCAGCTAATGGTATGTTCTCTGTTCTTCTCCGTTCTGCACATGCTTTGTGCTCTACTCTTATTGAACGCATGCGCCTAAATTATGTCTTACTATGAATAAATTACTACAGTATGCCCCCTCTGTGCGAATATGATTTGTATTCTTTCTTAGTTCTATGAATATGAATGCTCTCCTTCTGCTGGAGCACTTGAGAAGGCAGGTTTCTAGTATCTACTGCCCTACCTATTGTTCACCCGCGAATCATCCTCTGTCTTTCTCTTTTTTTTTACGATACACCAAATCCTTCATTTGGTTTAGCACATTGCTTTAATCATAATTTATATATGCTCCCCAGTATTATGTTTTTAAAATTTTTCGATTGTGTTTGGAATTTGACGTTAGACCTGGCCACTGAATTCAACTTGATTGGGCTTCAATGATATCCCTGTGTGATTCCTTGGCGTATCTTAATCCGCAGTAGCCACATGTTGATGCCTTTGGTTGGTCCAAGTTAATGAAAACTTTTGGGTGTCCTTGCAAAGTGCTTCCTCTATTACCATCACAAACTGCTACATTCCCGTGGGCCAAGAACTTGATTGGTTCCTTAGCAATTAAGTCTATAGCGGCGTACGGTCTTGGTTGCTTGGCCAAGTCCTTTTGAATGAATCTGTATGGGTGTTTAGAAATGACCTCTGCTCTGCTTTCTTGGCTCTGAGACCAGGTAGCATCTCTGTTAGGGGCTTGCTGAGCGGCCACATTAGTCTTCAACTCCGCTTTGGTCAATCCGGTAGAGGAAGTTGTCGAGTTGAAACGACAAAACTGCAATAACAGTGTTCTTGGGAGTATTCTGGATGACATCATGGCGAGATAGATACGTATGTTTCACGTGGAAGAGTGCCTGCTTACTTGGATATGGAGCTAGTGATGATTCCTTATGTTCTGAATGGGATTGGGTATTGTGAATTTTTCATTGGTCGCAGATATTGGATTCTGCACGACTCTCAAGCGTGTGAAAAAAATGTATGGGAGACAGAAGGAACGGTTCTACGTTTTTTGAGATAACCATGGTCTATCGTAAACGGCTCATAATGGCCAGAAGATGGAGTGCTGGAGTTATAATATCGAAGACAGGAACTCGGATGTTAATGAAATAGTTTTGAGAAATTGTCCGGCACCAATGGTCAATAGAAGTGTGTAGTATGGCATGCTTAACTTCTGCCGCACAGAGAATTGTTGCGAAATTTGAGTGTTAACCAGAACGGTGTGTAGGTCGTTTTTGAAGACTGAGTTAACGTTACTTAACTTCATTTCTATCTCGTGTAAGTTGTTACTTGATGATATGAGTATGGAAGATTAATTTTCTTACCTCGGCTTCACTATGGTCCCCTTGTAACGGTTCTATCTCGACACATGACCGAACGTTTTTGCACTCTTCCTTAGCTTCATTGTAGTCCCCATGCAACAGTTCTTTCGACAGTTGCATTGCCAACCGCTCTTTAAGTCTTTCTTACATGCTTCATACATAGTAATCTTTCATATTATTCAAATTATAAGATAGGTACACACTTTTCGCTCCGTCGCATTCCTCTGAATTTCCAGTTCACTTTCTAAACATTACCACAGTCGTACCTATTCACATACTTCCATATTTATTCATTCAGGAAACTCTCTATACCATTTTGGTTATTTGCATTGTTTCGTAGAAATTTTTTTACTTCAATTACAAATTGATAAGAACCATCTTTCCCCTGTTTGTAACAAAAAATCTTATATATTAATTTTTAAACACACAAATTATGCAAAAATAGACTAAACCTGAAAACCTCATTTTCCTTCATTCTCTTAAACTCGTACTCTTCTTCATTCCATCTACAATACAACACACTTCTTCTTCTTTTCCTTCTTTTCCTTGGTTCTTAATGAGGCTCTGGTTGCGGCCTCGAAAACTTCTCTGACACCTTGACCAGTTCTAGCTGAACATTCTAAGTAGTTGGATGCACCAATCTTTTGGGCAACGGCTTGTCCATCACTAGTAGAAACTGGTTGTTGTTGTACTTGTCTCAACAGCTCCATTGTGTGTGCGTCATTTCTTAAATCTGACTTACATCCAACCAAGATGATTGGTACACCTTGACAGAAATGTAATACTTCGGAAATCCATTTTTCTTGAACGTTATCTAAAGAATCTGGCGAATCAACTGAGAAACAGATCAAGATAACATTGGAATCTGGGTATGATAATGGTCTTAATCTATCATAATCTTCTTGTCCGGCAGTATCCCAAAGTGCTAATTCAACCTTTCTTCCGTCAACTTCTACGTCAGCAACGTAATTTTCGAAAACTGTTGGAACGTAAACTTCTGGGAAAGTACCCTTAGAAAATACAATTAATAAACAAGTTTTACCACAAGCACCATCACCAACAATGACTAATTTTCTACGGATTTCAGCAGGAGGAGGAACCATTTTTCTATAGATATGTTAGTATAAATAAATTTGCTTATAGAAAAAAAGGAACAAGAAAAAAAATTCACTAGAAACAGTTCCCACTCAACACTTGTGGACACTTCATAATTTTCCTCGGATTTTTTTATACTTTCTCGAATTTTGTGCACGATTTTTTTTCTTTTTTTGGCTTTTTTGGTCCTTTGCTCAGGTCTCACCTTAACGACCTGTTGACGATAAGGCTCATACACCACCTAAACCGCAACAAGGAAAAAAATTCTCTTCGCGTGGAGTTATCGCGAAAAAAGTGCTAATAAAAAGGAGGAGCATGTAAGAACGCGCGAAACGGCGGATTTTATGGCGTGTGAAAAAAATGCTATGGCAGGCACTGGCGGTATACAGCCATGTGCTGGATACCCGCTTCTGGTCTGACGATACAACAGAAGTACATTTAGGGATGGATAAACGATTGTAGCTTGACACAATACATTGAGTGCAATGCATTCAATAAATAACAATCTCTTTCATTTTGTTTTTTTCTGGCTTGCCATACTCTCCCCCATAAGTTTTTGGGGACTGCGATTGAGCCTTTTGATCCAAACATTCAAGATCCAACAGGCTCGCATCAACCAAGACCATTGGTAAGATAAATGGAGTAAGCCAAAAAACTCCATAAAGATCACACACACTCTCTCTCTACCCACTTTGCTATGCCAATCCATTGCCAGGTTCTGGAGTCTCTGGTCTCATGAAGGTTTTCTTTTCTATTTTGACTCTCTCTCCTATCTGTTCTTCTTTTCTCCCCTCCTCTCGCTCCCCCTTAAAACAGAGGGTGTGCTTCACACTCGCTAAACGATCCTTCGCCACTCCTTTCTCGCGCCTGCTCTTCACCTCCATTCCATCTACTCTTACATACCTAATTTATATATATATACCTTTATTTGACGTATCACAAGGTAAGATCAATTTTAGTAGCAAGAAGAAAGTAGCAAGAAAAGTTTTTTTTTTTTTAGGCTTAGATTTGATGTGAACGAAGCAAAATCTCACTCACTATTGTATTTTTTTCCTTCCTGTCTAGTGCTTCATTCCTTTTGTTTACAAATGGGAGAATTTTGTCAACGTGAAATTCAGCACAAAGGAAAAACAAAAATGGCGTGCATGCAGGAAGTGGTTCGTGCTGATGCATAGTACAAAGCAGATGCGTACATTAAAAAGCCGAGAAGCCCAAAAGCCAAAGAGCCATAGAGCCTAAAAAGTCAAAGAGTGGAAAATGAGAAATGATGAAATGATCAGCGAGGCTGTGTAATGGTAGGGAATATTTAGTACTTCTGAAAACAGATTTAAAGCATATGTACAATGCCAAGTCTTTCTGAGAGCCGAAAATCGCTAGACTACGATCTCCATAGCGGAATACGCAATTACACTTTAGTAAAACCCAATCTTGACCCGGTGGACACTGACTGGGCAGACACCAAGATGATAGAGGTGAAAGAAACAGGCTCAAAAATAAAATAAACTAAAAACCAAACATTAAAAATAAAAATAAATGTAAAAATAATAAAAAATATCTCAAGGGAAGTGGAAAGCGGGTTCAATACACCCTTCTCTTCTTCTCCTTCTGCAGAATCAGAAGGATATAAATAGATCCCGGGGGTCAAGGCTGCTCTGGGGAAAGAGTGACGTGGGATCGATCTAACTACGGTGCAGATACACGAACACACTACCTTAGGTCAAATACTGTGGGGCCTTGTTTTTTGTCTTTTCTCTTTTGTCTTTTTGGTGTTTTTCTTTTTGAACGATCTTGATCGGCTTGTATCTCTCCTTCGCATACGTTAGTAACTTTTTTAGTTTAGGTTGATCTTCCCTACTGAGGATCACTAATTACTGCTGCGACGCTTGATTGCTAAGTGGCATTTTGTTTTTATTTTTAATTGTCGTGCGCCTGAAAATACCTGCAGGCACGATTCCCAAGAGAGGTGCGTTTATTGAAATACGAGAATGCTGCGTTTCTTGAAACTGCAAAAAAAAAATTAAAAAAAAAAAAAATAGTACTATGCTATCTAGGACTTCTTCCTTATCAGTTTTGTTCATCTTCTTTGTCTTCTTTATCTCCTTCATCTTCTTCCCTTTCTTGCTCGTCATCATCATCCTCCTCTTCCTCCTCTTCTTCGACTTCTTCCTCACCATCTTCATTGGAGCTGCCCTCACCTTTTACACTCTTTTCTTTGTCTGCCTCCTCCTCCTCCTTCTTAACCTTTCTTGGTGGTAATACTATGTCAAATGCCTTTTTCCAGTCCCCTCCCTCCTCGTACCACTTACATAATAATTCATATACATGCGAAGTCGCTAAAACATGTCTGCCGTTCATCTCAATGTACTTATCTATGGGTAATTTTCCAACCTTCAACCCTAATTCCTTGGCCTTGTTTACGCAAAGAAGTTTATGTCTGTTCTTGTCAACTATCCCACCAATGATATATGTGTGGCCCTCTTCCAAGGTTTCAATAATTTCATCGGTATCAGCGGTAAGATATACCACATTTTCACGTTCCGAGGGCAAGATGTCTACCAATGTTTCATTTTCGGAAAATTCAATTCCTTGCCATTTGACATATTGAGAGACTGATTTATCGAATCTTTGCTTCAAGTTTTTATTGAACGACAGGATTTTCAACGGGATTTCGTAGTCACAATGTCTCTTGGCCGAATAAGATCTCGTTATCTGATTTGACATAGATACAATTTCCTTATTATTCATTAACTCGTCAAACTCACAATCCATGATGACTTGAATTCCAGTGGGCCGCTGGTGTGCAGGAATTTGCTTCTTCTTGGCCAGATGGTAGCTCTCATCATCTTTGGACTCGATTGCAGCAGCGACAGCTTCTCTCTGGCGTATCTTCGCGGCCCTTCTCTTTTCTCTTTTAATTTCCTTATATTTTTCTTTGCTGTCTTCCCATTTTTTCTGTCTTTGAAGCTTCTTGAACTGGTTTTTAGACATACCCTCTGGTACTGGAATCTTCTCTCTATTGATAGTGGCTGGATCTATTTTTTGGCGTTTTGCTGGTGGCGCATCTAGCACCGGAACATTCGTCTCGTCATTCTTTTTTGGTTCAGCGTTTAAAGTAGTCATCTTGTAAGGTAAGATGGTACTCCAAACTTCTTCTTTTTCCTTCTTCTCCAGGATATCAACCTAAGTGTCTGTGACCTCCACTCATCGATCTTTTTTTTCATCGGACTTGTGATGAGGACAAAGTTGAATTTTTCAATTATATGCAGGGAAATATTCATAGTACTACTAGTCGTCTTTTGGCATAACCTTCATGGGAGACTGGTAGTATTTGCAGCCAGTTGTTTTCGGTCTTTCAATAATCGCTGTATCTAATCTAGACTTGATCAAATCATGATATTTTTCTCGTTTCAGAGCTCATTCGGTGGATTCCGATTTGACCCTGTTGCTAAATCCCGCAAGATAGTGTAAATATAGTACAACACTATAATCTGTCTAGAGGCAATTCTTTACTCCGGAACTCTGGAACTTCCGTTGCCTCTTTCTATAATATTCTACAATGTTCCATAGTGTAGCTACTATCAAATCTCCGCCTTTATAGTTGAATGGCGTTCTGTATTGATCCAGGAAAAGGATCAGCACTAGTTTAGAATGGAAATGCTACTGGACTACAAAACTTACCTCCGAAGTGAGCTCTAAGCTCTATTTCAAAGAGTTGAACAGTCTATAGCAAATATTCCTTTAGTGTAGCTATCCCTAATCCTTGTTATTCATTAGACGATGTGTACTTTTTGAACTATTATTTCTTCACGTTTCATTGCCTTTTTGCTTTCCTTCAAAATTTTAACTTCTTCTACATGAATAATAAATTAATAACTACAAAATAAGATATCTGAAACAGTCTATTTCTTTATTTTACCATAGAATAATACGTGCATATAATCAGTACCATGGAGAATACCTTAGCCTAGCGGAATAAATCCTTCTCCATATGGGCATTATACCTCAAACCTTGAACGTTGTTCTCCAGAGTAATGGCCTGAATTTCATTCAAATCTTCCTCTGTAAGCTTGATCAAATGTCCAAAGTTACTTTCGATCTTTTCTGGTGTACTGCCTGATGGAATTGGAATAATCTGGCCAATCTTTCCAAATCCGGCAAATCCTGTCGATCCACTGACACTGGTTATCCATGACAAAGCCAATGCTTCTAATGAGATTCCCTTCTTCTCATGAGCAAAATCGTACAACTTCTTGATCAATTTTAAGTTATGCTTGAAGTTTTCTGGCGCAAATCTGTCAAAGCGGTGTCTCATGTCGCCCTTTGGAATATCGTCTAAGAATTTAGCATTGTTTTCAACCATGTAGTCGGTAAGTAGACCTCTTCCCAATGGAGAGTACGCAATAATTGGGATACCTCTCTTGGTGGCTTCGGCCAAGACACCATTAGATACGATATCTTGAGATATGAGAGAAAATTCAACTTCAACACCTGATATTGGAGCTTCATCAGCAGCAATTGCAATAGTTTCAGCGCTAGTTTCAGAAAGTGAGATACCATCAATCTGTCCCAGCTTAACGTATTCATAAATGTATCCGATAGTATCGGCATATGGGACCTCAGGATCAACCCTTGACTGCTCATATAAGATCTTTGGTCTATTTTTATCCCCAACAGGTGGGAAGTAAGAGACTATATTTTCAATAGATTTTGAAACAACTTCTTTAGTACCGACAACCTTTACGCCTGAATAGCCCCCCTTAATTGAAACAATCAACTCACTGGTTGGAGTCAGACTTACTTTAAAAAATTCTTGAAAAAGTTTCAAGTTAATGTTATCAAGACCATAGAATTCACCACCGTTAAGGAATTTAACACCGTACTTCTTGGTAACGAAGTCAATTGACTTAGCGGAAACTTCAAGTGGGGGAGGAGTTGGCTTCCATGTTAAAGACATGGTACCAAAACCAACTTTATCGTTAATAGGAACTTGTGACAT